TCGTACACAGGTACTCCAGCTTATGTTGTTTTCCATATAATTGATAGTAAGGAGTTGTGTACTATGGGGAACCTATGTTTTAGTTTCCTTTATATTTAGTATTACGAGTATTAAATACCTCAATTGACGCTACCACGTCTTACATTGTTTATTCTGTTAACACTTCACTCGGCATTACAATATAAACAAATGTGATGTGTATATATAAACAGTGCAGTACAGTTAGAGTAACGATGATTGTGTAATTATAACGTAAAATATTTCAAGGTCATGAGAAAATAATAGTTTAGATAGTGAATTGTATATAGTTGCTTAGTACAGCATTATGAGTATGTAAGGTAGACATGACCGATTTAGCAGATGTTAGGTTCTGCGTAATTGCTAAGTATTTGATCATTATATATGTAAATAGTGACCAATATGCGGTGGGTCTGAAGACTGGTAGTACCAATTGTCATTCCAGACAATAGCTTCCTGGGATTGGGGAATGGACCAATCAACGGTCGTTGCACTAAATGTGCATCCCCAATTCATCAGCACTTATCCCATACACAATAACAAATGGCGCCAAGATTCTGCATTTTGTGTCCAAATCGGTATCATTTTGACAGAATCTTGATATGGTTGGGTCGCCAGGATCAACCATTGTTCTTGAGGAATTTCCACCTGCGGAGTTGTCCGACTTTTGGCTTCCCGTATAAATACTGGGCAGTTTTCGCTGCTCATGGCACTTGGATCTAGGGATGCCAAAGAGACAACTTCTGGTTGTGGGACTGACTCTACGGAAGCGTGATAGGGAGCGAGCCTTCTTGTGGACTTCACTGTGCTATATGTAAATAACAAATAGAAAGGAATTTGGACTTGGCTTTTTCTTCGGGAACACAACGCGAGTGGGGGCACAATGGGGTTACAGGATGCGGTAGTAGCGAAACTGAAATAGAAAAATTAAATGCATTCGTAATAACCTGTATATGAACAAATCATATTTCTATCCCAATTGAAATGACTTTTACTTGATAAAAACCAATATGAAGGTATAAATAAAATGCATGTTGGAGATGAGATGAGAAACATACTTAAAAATTAAAAAAAAAAAAAAAAAGTATGCATATTTACTGACCTCTTCTGTCTGAACAAACCCAGTAAGCCACGGTAACTTGTCATCCTTTATGTACTAGCCTCGTCTGCCGAGACAAACCTATTATGTCAGGAATACTAGCCTCGCCTCGCCAGTCCAGGCAAATCTGTCACACTGAAGGTACTAGCCTCGTCTGCGGAGACAAACCTGTGATGTCAGGAATACTAGCCTCGCCAGTCCAGACAGATCTGCGTCCAAATCAAAAAACAAATACACGGACGACGAAATCAAAACAATTATCGAGTTTCTGGTTGGCACCATCTTCCTTGATTGTGGTGTTAAGATTCTCATACAACTTTTGGCATACCTATGGAAAGAGATTATCAAAACATGTCACAAAGTCCTTGCCACCTCGTTTAATTTCACTTTCAGATATTTTGTTGACGTCTTGTTTTTATATAACTACAAATTTATTAACTACGTCCATCGTATATATCTACCAAAATTTGAAATCAAAGACACGACAGACTTTTCTAAATCAGCCGCTTATTTCCAGCTTTTTGTTCAACGAAACCAACATGGACAGCTTTCCACCCAGCTGTATGATAATCGTGATGATATCAATTTCCCTATTGTGAATTTCCTGTTTCTGGAGAGGAACATCCCGGTATCCAAAACCTATTATGTGTAAATTTCGCTTTTGATTCTATATTCAAGGGTTTGTTCCCATTATCATGAAAGGAGCGATAATTTTCCAAAATGTGATGGAGTCAATGTCTTCGCAGCAGGAAAGGAGCGACAAGCTTCCTAAATGTGATGGAGTCAATGTCTTCCCAGCAGGAAAGGAGCAACAAGCTCCCTAAATGTGATGGAGGTAAAGTCTTTGCAGCAGGAAAGGAACGATAAGCTCCCTAAATATGATGGAGTCAATGTCTTCCCAGCAGGAAAGGAGTGGTAAAATCCCGAATTGTGATGGTGTTTGATGTGTTTACGGCAGGAAAAGCTTCTTAATTCTAAGTTTCTTGTGTCGGGAAGGGAGCGATTAGCTCCAAAAGTTAACAATGTGTTCAGGTTGTTGCATTCTCGTGACAGGAATGGAATAATAAGCTCCAGAAGTTAACACTGTGTTTGGGTTGTTGCATTCTCGGGACAGGAAGGGAATAATAAGCTCCAGAAGTTAACACTGTGTTTGGGTTGTTGCATTCTCGGGACAGGAAGGGAACAATAAGCTCCAGAAGTTAACACTGTGTTTGGGTTGTTGCATTCTCGGGACAGGAAGGGAACAATAAGCTCCAGAAGTTAACATTGTGTTTGGGTTGTTGCATTCTCGGGACAGGAAGGGAACAATAAGCTCCAGAAGTTAACACTGTGTTCCGGTTGAAAGGGAGTGATTAACTTGAGAATTGTAAACCTTTGTAAGGAGTATCATTTTCCAGTGACAGGAAGGGAGTGATAAGCCCAAGACAGATAAATGTCTAAATATCTCTTTCCTGTCATTTCAAATGTAGGCGTTTCTAGCAGTGGATGAGGTACGCGTCAGTTTCCCTCCTCAAATCATTGTCCAGATGAATTTTGTGTCATTCTGACCCTGATGCATGGGCCTAGTGTAAATATTTATCTTGCTTCTATTTTGTTCTTGTTTCTGGTTTCTAAGTTTTAATCAACATTCTGACAATGTTTTCTTTTCAGTTGGTGTCAGCAAGAAATTGTTTCCCTTTTTATCAACACAAGTATAACAAAGGTCAATTTTAATTTCACATTCTAAAATCATATATATGACCAATGCTTGCTAACCTTAGAGCTAAATATAAATCAATGACTAGGAAATTCATTGGTACTTTGGCTATGTATACGACACAGCACTTTATTGATAATGAAAGTAAAGTATAATACAAAGATAAACCTGTAACTAACGGCAACTATGCACCGCTTGCACAGGGCACATACAACAAATTACTTATCACATTGATAAACTCATATAGAATAATTTACATATTATATATAGAGATTGGAGTTGGTAAGGTAATTATATACTTATCTACCACTTATAAAACAGAGACCTATATAATATCTCATATTTAGGTCCCAGTAGAAACCCATGCATTTATAAATCTCTGGGGAGAAGTCCAGGCTTTTGTAAAGCCCCTTGAGAAACCCAGTGATTAATAACCCTCCTTGAGAAACCCGGTGATTTATAAACCCTAAGATAAAATCTAATCATTGAGCAAACAAATTGCACATTATTACATTTACTCAATTGCTTGTTGTCAGATAAAATCATTAGTTGTCAACAGCCAGCAAAATTGGTTAAGGAAAATAAAGGTATGTGCAGTTTAATATCCTAGAGGTCAATTTATAGTGCTACAAGCTTGAGAGTCAAAACATGATGTAATTAGTAAAGCATTTACTACCACACAAAGACAATAAGTCCAATATTGTTAAACTACATCCTTAGAACATGTGTCACATCACAGCTATAAAATATTTTAAAATGGTAGATTAAGGTTTAAAACTTCAAATGCTTATTACATTGTGAAATTACCTAGAGGATGGGACACTTTATCGTAAAACATGAGGTATTATGGAAATAACTAACCTGATACAGACAGATACTGAAATATGTAGAACATATATTTTCTGACAAATGCAATGTGAATTAAAATGATAAAACCATCAAAAGACGATATCATGCAGCAATATTTCAGTTAGATTTACAATTCAGTCAAGTTCGGTAATTAAAAGTGTATAATATCATAGAAATCAAATAAACGTTTATTTCATAATTACATTTCATTACTTTTGGGGGAAAAAAAGTTAATAAAAACCTCCTGCATCAAACACATTTCCTATTTTCCATTGCTTCTGATCCATAAAAGAAAATGTTCCATAAATTTGATCTCATCACTATGAACATTAAACCAAAATAACAGCTTACTCTCTTACCAGTTATAGAAACAAAACCAAAAACAGAATTTTAAAATCTAAAAAGCAAAACTAACCTGAATATAACAAACATATGAAGACTTTACAGATAAAAGTGGATTTTATAATTAAATACGAGGATGTTATATTTTAAGTGATTAAATGCTGATTTGAAACATGTGGTTATGTGGTTATAGCCTACATTAGCCGTTTGTCCTGCTTCTCCGCAGAGGGTATGTTGAAGGTACTCAAAAAATGAAAGTACATTATTACTTATTACAAAGAATACATCTGAAGAAGGTTGATTATCTATATATCACAGAAATTGACCTGCCTTTACAGCATGTTAAAATATGATGATCTCTTCCTACAAATGTGGGTTGTGTAAAGGAATGTATGCATGGAATTTTTCTGTTTTGCATATTGAAATATTTTGATTTTACATTCAGGTATTTATATAATGGTATACAGCATAGTACAAATGTACAGCTATTTGTGACTAAAACATAAAACAAACTTTTCTGTTAGTTGTTGCTACTAGTTCATTATAACAAACAACAAATGGTGGAACAACTATTTTCTAAAGACAAAGTTTTCAGACTAACATCACCTAACGACCATTGCAGAATGATTGTTGCAGTTGTCCTGTCAGCCACTCAACTGTATGGTAGAAAAAAAAATAGGACAGTTCCCAGATGGAATAAGTCGTCTTTAGTTTCCAGTGTTTTTATAATCATGTTTGGGGTCTTTCAAATGCACACAAATTGTGCAGTGGAGATATGTGGTAAATGTGCCATGATTGTGTAGTGGAGATATGTGGTAAATGTGCAATGATTGTGCAGTGGAGATATGTGGTAAATGTGCAATGATTGTGCAGTGGAGATATGTGGTAAATGTGCAATGATTGTGTAGTGGAGATATGTGGTAAATGTGCAATGATTGTGTAGTGGAGATATGTGGTAAATGTGCAATGATTGTGCTGTGGAGATATGTGGTAAATGTGCAATGATGTGCAATGATTGTGCTGTGGAGATACTTGAAACAGGTATGTACGTACATATGTACAACCAGGAGAAATACACAGAGTACTTTCATTTCAGAAATGCAGTGTATAGCTTACGGAATGGTGATTACATCACGAATCTCGTGCCTTCTACTGATCACAGTACAACAGATAATATATAAAAAGCCATCAACAATACACACGTGATAGAACCATAAGAGACATGATATGTGATAATGTGATAAAAAATAAATCATCACGTACAAGTTCATTAAATACAGAAGATGTAGTGCTGTGATGTGATATACAGTGATGATGAACATCAAATAGAAATTAACACAGGGTGTGTACTTACATCAGTATACAATATATAATTACCATGGTACAACACAAGTGAGAGAAAGGTTAATTAAACTGAAAGAAATACTACAGAAATTTTGACAGCATTAAGAATAAACAGAATTGCACTTGAAATGTAAACAAAATTATAAGTTACAAAAGATAAATATTCTATTGCAAATAAACAAAGCACTACATGTCCTCAACCTCGTTGTATATATATTTCAACCATCAACCTTGTTGTATATTTGCCAACCATATGTATGGTAAAGTTTTAACTACCTGTGTTACAACTCACAGTGCAGATAAACGCGGGGGGGAGGAGCCAACGTCAGATGGCAATAAGTGGGTTATATAACTCACAGTGCGGATACAATGTCAGCCAACCCTAACAGACAGCTGGTAGACCAAATAAGTTCTCTATCTGATTTTACACAAAACAAAAACATTTTAATGTCTGTATCAGGCCTTTGTTAATTATAAAGATGTTTATGTAAGCTAAGCATAACTGCCCTGCCCCCACCCCCTTACTCTCTCCTGATTTGGCAGATTTGCAGGATATAATATAATACTTAACACAAAGCTCAAAAACAAATTAAAACTATAAAGCTGTAGGTTATAGCCCAAAAGTGTGAACTTCAAAATGTAGTTGAAACAACTATTTACTATTAAACTTATGGCTGAAAAATATTGTATCCAACAGCGGACATGTGTGAAATCTATTAAGTGGACCTTCGTGTATCTACAATATACTAAAATTATGAAATTGTCCAGATTGAAGTCATCTGTCGATTAAGTATTTCAATAAATCAAAATAATTATATTATCAGTTACCAAATATGGTCATGGGACTTCTCTATTAAAATACTGAAAGGTCATCTAAAAAATAAAGCACACTAGCATACATGTTGTTTAAATACAAGTTATATACAGATACAGAAGGTAATCTCTCCTTAATCTTTATACATGTATACAGTACAGGAGCATGTAACAGTGTTTCTGGAGGAGGACAGTTGAGTTAGGACAAAAGCCCCATCCTAAAGAAACGCTGGTACATGCCCCAGTATTAGAGTCAAAGCAATGTGTCACCTTGTTACCTAAACATGATGACAATCCTCTACACAGAAATGATTTTTTTCAGAGGAAATTCTTGTTTTATATGTGTGTTCAAATACTGAAACAAAAAAGATAATAATGCATGATAGCTGCATAGGAAAAATGTTCTAAGAACCAGGGAAGTGTGTGTATACAAATTATACTAGAAAATGAACCAGGAAGTATATGTATACAAATTATACTAGAAAATGAACCAGGAAGTGTATGTATACAAATTATATTGGGAAATGAACCAGGAAGTATATGTATACAAATTATACTAGAAAATGAACCAGGAAGTGTATGTATACAAATTATACTGGAAAATGAACCAGGAAGTATATGTATACAAATTATACTGGAAAATGAAGCAGGGAAGTGTATGTATACAAATTATACTAGAAAATGAACCAGGAAGTATATGTATACAAATTATACTGGAAAATGAAGCAGGGAAGTGTATGTATACAAATTATACTGGAAAATGAAGCAGGAAGTGTATGTATGCAAATTATACTGGAAAATGAACCAGGAAGTGTATGTATACAAATTATACTGGAAAATGAAGCAGGGAAGTGTATGTATACAAATTATACTGGAAAATGAACCAGGAAGTGTATGTATACAAATTATACTGGAAAATGAAGCAGGGAAGTGTATGTATACAAATTATACTAGAAAATGAATCAGGGAAGTGTATGTATACAAATTATACTGGAAAATGAACCAGGAAGTGTATGTATACAAATTATACTGGAAAATGAACCAGGAAGTATATGTATACAAATTATACTGTGAGGAGGGTTTATATTCAAATTTACAGAGGATTTGTAATGTTAAGTATAATGCATAAATGAAAAGATGCTGTCCAGTTACACATTTGCCCTTAAAATTCAATATTCACCCTTCACGGCGAAAATGAACAGTAGGCTTTTTTATATTGATTGGAATAATGTATATCATTTAATACTAAAAACAGCAACAAGGCAGAAACTCTGGTGGACATTTCAATTCCATCAGTACGTACTAAGTGAACATGTGTTGAGTAATATCATATCTTTAATCATATTTACATACATGTATACATAATGTATATTCAACCCTTTTCTATAAACATGTGACTCTTTAATCATTTCGTTATATAGATATTTATACATCAAAACAAAACTTTAGGTGATTATAATAACTAAAGTCTTAAAAATCGCAAAACCCTGATTTTCCATTATTCAATTTAAACTTTTACATTTGATTGTATGAATCAACATTTCCAGAATCAACATTTCCAGAATCAACCACTACAATTTGACTATAAAAGTTACACAGAGATTCAACACTCCGACAGTTGAGAATTGCTGTTACTGGAGAAAATGATGTGTTATGAAATACAGACTATGATAGTTGAATCGTAACTTAACAGACACAGGGTAAGTGCTGACAACAGTATCGAAAATCAGGATAAAGACAGATACTATCTCTAAATTTGTGGAAAATGATCATGTTTAAACATGTATCTGTGTAGGATCCTAAAACATGTTCGGTGTAGGATCCTAAAACATGTTCGGTGTAGGATCATAAATCATGATCGGTGTAGGATCATAAATCATGATCGGTGTAGGATCCTAAAACATGTTCTGTGTAGGATCCTAAAACATGTTCGGTGTAGGATCATAAATCATGATCAGTGTAGGATCTTAAAACATGTTCGATGTAAGATCATAAATCATTATAATGACAGAAACACTCGTTACATTTGAATACAATGATTATGATCAGAGATGTATAAATATTTCTAACATATAATTCATTCATTTTATATGACAAACAAATAGTTTTACAAGCACCATTGATTGAAATTTTAAAACCTTTAAGTTTGAAAATCAAGAAAACAGAAAAAATACTACAAGAGAAACAAATTGAGAACCAAGTCAGAGGAATATAATGGTGACATGGAGTCTGCCTGATTTCTGTATGAAAAAATCTGTCTTAAAAACAATATTTCAAATGTTCAAGCATAGAAAGTTTGGTGAAAATATGATAAGGCAAGAAAGTAATGTTCTACAAAAAATATGACTGACTCTCAGCTTAAATCTGGCCACACAACATCACATCAGAACACAATACTTCTGGGCACATACAGACATGATATAAGGGAAGGAGTTCACAGAAAATCTATCTGATTTCCATTTAAACTTTATGATTTGTACTATGTACCGGGAACAATGACCAATTCAAGGTGTAATTCAGTTATCCACTAAGCCATTTCTATTTTGTATGTCAAACCACTAACAAAACATAAACAGGGTTGTCACTCGGCTGTTTAAACATTTCAACAGACAAATCAACAGCAAACCTCATCTACAGTATAAATTACAATAAGCAAAATAACTCTCTTAGTAAATATCTATTCTCTTTATACCTACAAACAAACTTGTGTGTGACTAAGGCCGGCTTGTCAACAAACAAACAAACAAAAAAAAAATCACACCATTCTGGAAGCCATACAACAATTTGATTCTTATCTCAGCTTATGTCGCTGTTTATCTACCTGTTATCAACTGGAAATTTGTTTCCATTAATTAATTGTTAATTGTAAGATAAATTGGACTCCTTAAAACTTAAGATTTTAGTTGCATCAAAAGACTTTCCTATTTCTGCAAAATCTAAACCTCAAAATTTCATAATCCAAGTAGTTACAAAAGTTTTTGAAAAATCATTTCAAACCAGAACAAAAAAATTTAATTTTCATGGTAAAAATTTGTGTTATTTTGAAATACATTTCATTATTGAAGAGATATCAAAGTTAAAAAAAATCTATTTGTTAAACAAAATCTACAGGTTTTGGGTGATAAGATTGTTTTATGTACCGTGTAATCTAAGTCCTCTGTATCATCAGATAACTGACATACTCTATACTATCACTACAATTATGCAACAAAATATATAGAGCAGCATTTCCTTCCTCTGAAACAACTATCTCTGTATCCTAACACATACAAACAATATGCACTCTGTTTAATGTATCTTAGTATCAATAGATTTTGAACCTAGAAACGATAGAGAAAAAATAAAACCAGCATTAAACTCAATAGCAGCATTGTTTTGACAAAGTTAAACTTTTACTGACTAACCATCAATATAACATCCCACAGACACAAATGTGACCTATATCTTGACCCCAAAACCACCAACTTCTTCCCTGTTTTACAATTTTAACACCTAACCCTGAACAGAACCATAATTGGTGAGAGCTGCTAACGTGTATGTCAATCGTCGTTCCTTTATCTATAATTACTTATATTATAGTAACAAGTGTAGTACGTTCTCAGGCCAGAACATGGCCCAACCCTCAATGATATCAATATAACATATAAATCTCATTATATACAGTCAGAGAGTATAAACAGGCATTGATGATTGTTACCAGATTTTGCTTCTGGTCACTACTTGCTTGAGAATTAGCCCATCTCCCAGTTTATTTTAGATAATCAATTGAGGGTCATTCATTAAATTACTTCATCAGCTTTTTGTGGCAAACTATCTGATTAAGGTAGAACATAAGTTCTAATAACACAACCAGTAGACGATTAGAGTGTGACATTTCGAAGACTACAGTCATCTTCATCAGACAAATGGCCAGTGTGGAGCGTACTAATACTGATGTACGTTGTGTAGAAGATGGTACGGAACTGACCAACTTTTTCAACTACACTATAATCTTATGAACACTAAGGTCGAAAACAGTGTGACGAGACAGTAAACAGATTATATACTAAAAATACAGAAGATGGTAACAATATACTGTAGTCAATTTGGCTACACTTTGTTATTTGTTTGATGAAGCTGACGGTGGAGTCATCAAAAGTCACACTCTAATCTTCTGCTGGTTGTGTTATGAGAACTTCTATTCTATTGACCTTACCAACCCAAAGAAAATGTTCCAAACTACATGATTCAGGATCATCATGTTTGCTGTTAACAAGTTTGATTTCTGAAATAAGGCAAGTACCCTCTTCAGCTCACTGTAAGTTGTTTCTGTTATTTCTAGAAGGTCACTGGGCACACACTCTACAGAAATGGACATATATACCAATCAATGCTTGGGTAGAATAAACATCGAAATATTTCTGAAAACAATGCTGATAATATTGTGACTATAATACCAGTATTCAATTATTTTTCAATAATTTCTTGACCTTTTTCTTTGTTTTTGGCATATTTCTGTCTCTCTTGTATTTTGCTTCTTCCTCTCTGAATTCCAGAATTCTTGAAGTGAAGAGTTCTGAAAAAAAACAAAAAAGTTGTTTATAGTTTACTGAAAGTTTAATATAGTAGTATATTTAATTTTGGCATAAGCAGAATTTCATACAGCTATTTCCTGTGCTTTTTCATACAGCTATTTCCTGTGCTTTTTCATACAGCTATTTCCTGTGCTTTTACATACAGCTATTTCCTGTGCTTTTTCATACAGCTATTTCCTGTGTTTTTTCATACAGCTATTTCCTCTGCTTTATCATACAGCTATTTCCTCTGCTTTTACATACAGCTATTTCCTGTGCTTTTTCATACAGCTATTTCCTGTGCTTTTACATACAGCTATTTCCTGTGCTTTTACATACAGCTATTTCCTCTGCTTTATCATACAGCTATTTCCTGTACTTTTTCATACAGCTATTTCCTGTGCTTTAACATACAGCTATTTCCTCTGCTTTATCATACAGCTATTTCCTCTGCTTTTACATACAGCTATTTCCTCTGCTTTTTCATACAGCTATTTCCTCTGCTTTTTCATACAGCTATTTCCTCTGCTTTATCATACAGCTATTTCCTCTGCTTTTTCATACAGCTATTTCCTGTGCTTTTTCATACAGCTATTTCCTGTGCTTTTACATATAGCTATTTCCTCTGCCTTTACATACAGCTATTTCCTCTGCTTTTTCATACAGCTATTTCCTCTGCTTTTTCATACAGCTATTTCCTCTGCTTTTTCATATGGCTATTTCCCGTGCTTTTTCATACGGCTATTTCCTCTGCTTTTTCATACAGCTATTTCCTGTGCTTTTTCATACTGCTATTTGCTCTGCTTTTTCATACAGCTATTTCCTCTGCTTTATCATACAGCTATTTCCTGTGCTTTTACATACAGCTATTTCCTGTGCTTTTTCTTACAGCTATTTCCTCTGCTTTATCATACAGCTATTTCCTGTGCTTTTACATACAGCTATTTCCTGTGCTTTTACATACAGCTATTTCCTCTACTTTATCATACAGCTATTTCCTCTGCTTTTACATACAGCTATTTCCTGTGCTTTATCATACAGCTATTTCCTGTGCTTTTACATACAGCTATTTCCTGTGCTTTTACATACAGCTATTTCCTCTGCTTTTACATACAGCTATTTCCTGTGCTTTTACATACAGCTATTTCCTCTGCTTTTACATACAGCTATTTCCTCTGCTTTATCATACAGCTATTTCCTGTGCTTTTTCATACAGCTATTTCCTGTGCTTTTACATACAGCTATTTCCTCTGCTTTTTCATACAGCTATTTCCTGTGCTTTTACATACAGCTATTTGCTCTGCTTTTACATACAGCTATTTCCTCTGCTTTTTCATACAGCTATTTCCTGTGCTTTTACATACAGCTATTTCCTGTGCTTTTACATACAGCTATTTCCTGTGCTTTTTCATACAGCTATTTCCTGTGCTTTTACATACAGCTATTTCCTCTACTTTATCATACAGCTATTTCCTCTGCTTTTACATACAGCTATTTCCTCTGCTTTATCATACAGCTATTTCCTGTGCTTTTTCATACAGCTATTTCCTGTGCTTTTACATACAGCTATTTCCTCTGCTTTTTCATACAGCTATTTCCTGTGCTTTTACATACAGCTATTTGCTCTGCTTTTACATACAGCTATTTCCTCTGCTTTTTCATACAGCTATTTCCTGTGCTTTTACATACAGCTATTTCCTGTGCTTTTACATACAGCTATTTCCTGTGCTTTTTCATACAGCTATTTCCTGTGCTTTTACATACAGCTATTTCCTGTGCTTTTACATACAGCTATTTCCTGTGCTTTTACATACAGCTATTTCCTCTGCTTTTTCATACAGCTATTTCCTGTGCTTTTACATACAGCTATTTGCTCTGCTTTTTCATACAGCTATTTCCTGTGCTTTTTCATACAGCTATTTCCTGTGCTTTTACATACAGCTATTTCCTCTGCTTTTTCATACAGCTATTTCCTGTGCTTTTACATACAGCTATTTGCTCTGCTTTTACATACAGCTATTTCCTCTGCTTTTTCATACAGCTATTTCCTGTGCTTTTACATACAGCTATTTCCTCTGCTTTTACATACAGCTATTTCCTGTGCTTTTACATACAGCTATTTCCTGTGCTTTTACATACAGCTATTTCCTGTGCTTTTACATACAGCTATTTCCTCTGCTTTTTCATACAGCTATTTCCTGTCCTTTGCTTTTTCATACAGCTATTTCCTGTGCTTTTTCATACAGCTATTTCCTGTGCTTTTACATACAGCTATTTCCTGTGCTTTTACATACAGTTTTTGCTTATTCAGCTCAAGTTAAGAGTTTGGGATGTAACAGGTTTTTGTAAAGATGATAAAATATGATTATCATTGATTTTATAACTGGTGTCAATTAAGTTTTTACTGGACTGGATTGAAGAGGAAGAGGGGTCGATCTGTGGGAGGAAACTAGACTACCTCCTCGCCTGTAGTCAGACATGTGCCCCCATATCTTGTTTGGAAATCAATCCATGGTTGTCTGAGTGATAACCAAGTGCTTTATCACTGTGTCACTAAACCATCTAAGATATGGGTTTGGATCAGATATAGCACTATCTTTACCAACAACAAATCTATCTCACTTTTCAAGCCTTACCTAGAGTCTTGCTGGTGCGTGTTTTTTCCACTTGGTGGGTGATGAACACTTCAAACATCTGTGTTTCTGTAAACCACTCCAGAAACTGCTGCATACTATCTGTCGGGGCTCCCTGGATAAAGCTCTCCTTCTGTTAATACAAACTCTGTACCATTACATCTGGTTACAGCTCCCCTAATCCCTATACTACTAGGAGTTTCAAGATCAATGGATATAATCCATTATAATAAATATATAATAGGTACTACTAACAACATATACTAAAAATATACACTGATATTCCTTGAAAACAAGGGCCATCAGAGACAGAGACAATCTTCATTGAAAAAATCCAAGATGGGTGCCTGGCTGCCATTTTGTTTTATTGATCAGTCCCAAAGTGCTTAAGTAACAAAAATTTATTTTTTTGACTGCAGATATGTACAAGTGGACTGCAGAAGAGTTAAAATGATTTGCTAATTCTATTATGAGACAAATCAGTGGAATCCGTCACATGACTTTGAAACTATAAAGATTCCTTCGACATTTTAATTCAGTCTGAACACAAAGTTACAACCAAAAAAAGGAAAAGATAAAACAACTTACTATGAACACTTTTTTCCCATCTTGTTGGTTATTTATGTGTTCTGTAAAATGTGCGATTGCTTCAACAAAGAAACGTAGGAACACTTCTGAAATCATCAGATTCTGTGCACTGGAGGCATCTGGAAAATAAAGTTACGTGTCCATTCATATGTTCAGTGACCTTGACTCTGATACTTTAATAAAATAAAATATTGGTACATACTTAACATTTTACTTACAAAAAGTTTGTTCTAATAACAAAACTCAATAGATACACGTTACAATGTGGTCTCATCTAGTCTCATGGTCACAAGCAATTTTTAAACCTGTAATGTTTAAGTTTATTTAACCTCTCATACATTATGAGGAAATTAATGATCAGTACTAAAATCAAACAGGCATAACAAAGGACAAAGGGGAACCTACATATGAAATTTGAGAAAAATCACAGATATTAAAACTTTGTCATGTGATTAAAAATATAAAACATTTCTACCAATCTTTACTTAATGTTTTATCACTTAAGTTTCGTGAAAGTCTTGTGAGTGTAATTTACTGATTTCAACAGAACTGTGGGTATACTTAATAATCTGAGTGTTGTCCTCATAGCTTTTTTGATGAGGGGAGAGAGAGATAGTGGGGGTGGGGGGCAGGAACTGTGGGTATATTTATAATCTTACCTGAGTCATTTTTACACATACTGAGCGCTGTCTTCATAGCTTTTTGGATGAGTTTCGGTATTAATGTTCCCTCATCACCTTGACTCCGAATCATTTGCTTCTTATTAAGGTCAAATATCACAATCTGTAAAAAAGGATGCCAGTTTAATAAAAATGCTTCATGTACACTTAAATTTTTTCAGATGAATTTTCTACTTAACTGTTGTGGATTTAGACAATGTCTTGATGCAAAACACTATACCTGACCTCATGTGAAAATGTTCACAGGATTCCTGAATCTGTTGTTTGTTTGGTGGATTAATTGCTCTATGAACAGCAAGGGTCATTTTGAGTGGGAATTCCTTGTAGTACAACATACAGGAGGCTCCACCCCATGCCGTCAAGAGAAATTACAGTAAAGTATTTTTCCCAAGGACACAACCATATGAACACAGACCAGTCCGTATCTCAGCTTCCTGAGAAACAAACTGAGCAAGGAGCATCACACCACACACCTCAAATCTTCACCTGAAGTTACGTAGGCTAACAATCGATCTGACTGAGCTGTGACAAAATCAAAATCAAAAATACAAAATCAAACAGTAAACAAGCACTTGAAATTGAACATCCTTGTACAGTCTCCAGTGGTAGGGGTAGAAACTTACATCACTGAGGGGTAGTTCCTGTACCCGTTGTAGATGAGTAGACAGGATCCCAATGAGGTAGGGAGTCGGGGAGCAGCACACCTCCAGCATACTCTCCGGCAGTACAGGTATGTAGACATGTTGCCAGTGAAATGGGTAGAGGAGGGATGCAAGAGCATGGATTGTCTGGGACAAGGTACTGTAGAAAATAACATCAAGGCTTCAATAAAATGGTCATTCTTATCATCATAATCGTGAATAAAGGAGATATTTACCTGTACTGACACCATCAATATACCCAATACTAATCAGTGGCCTTGACAGAAACAAAACATAACATGTTAAAGTACTATATCATCCCACTTTATCTTACAATCTAAATACATTAACAAGAAGCCTAGAAGCCTTGACAGTCACCTGAGTTCAGTAATATTGAGTATAAAGGTTAAAGGATAGTTATCAAGTGTCATGAAACAGAAATTGTGACACTGAATATAAAGTGTCAATACATGCATTACATCAAAACTGATAATTCTTATTTCCAGTAATAACCAATGTTATGCTCAAAAATACCATTTTTCTATGAAAATTACAGTAAAGTCTAAAAAAAAATTTCCTTTCCAGGAAGAAATGTGAGACTCATTGTGGTAATTAAAGCACCTGAAGATGCTTCCATTCATGAAGAGCATTTGATTCTACCATATCTGGATGTTGAGAAGAAGATTTTTTAAATTTAAGTCAATTTGACCCCTTTTGGCCCTGCCCTTTGGCCCCTGGGGGGCAGGGACTGTATAATTCATAATTTTGGTTCATCTTAAGCTAGGAAAGATTTCTGCAAAATTTCAATGAAATTGGATCAGGGGTTTTTGAGAAGAAGTTGAAAGTGTTAAATTGTTTACGGACCCACGACCTTAAAACCAAACAGCTGAATTAATCATAAGGAATTAGCATAAAACACCAATAAAACATCTACAAAACATCTACACTCAATTTCACCTGATTGTAAATATCAATCTCATTCAGCTTTACATAAATTTGATCTCTTTCTATTTACATATCCAAAATTTTCTGATATAAACAAAATCCTCTGACAGTAAAATATTATTATTATTTGTAACATCTTTGAAATCAAAGGACATTGTTCTTTAAAACAGACTTGAAATATCATGACATAGATAAATGTTAGCTATCTGACTGTGTTAAGACATAAATTTGTGATTGTTCATGTTATTAAAATAAAGGTATATGGAAAGTGAAACTCTTGGATTTTGACGATAAGACAAATAAAAACACTCAGTGTCACTTATAAGTAGTATGAATTCTTACTCAGAATAAGTTTGAGGTTTATACTGTGAGAATTTATGACATGAGCCTTGTAACATTAACGTCAGGCAACAAAATCAGCTGACCAGTGGCCTATATAGGAGAATGTGATCTCTTTCATATCAAGCCTGATTCATTATGTTGTTTGAGAGTCACATAAAATTTGATTAATGATCAGCTCTGATTATCACAATCCAAAAACCTCAGAAATTCAAAATATGAAAGTGTAAGTCAGATAGACATTGAAATACTTACCTAAGGTTTTTGGCACAAAGCAAAACACTTCTCTCTAAGAGAATACAAGCAAATATCTTAAGCAATTTATCCACTCCTAGTCTTGAAAGTAAAAATTCACGATTTGCCTGAAAAAACATGAAACAACAGATTAGATAATTTTTCATCATCTTAAATTCTGGACACACAGTAGACTTCATCCTTAACTAGATAATGTTGATAAGAAACAAACATGCCTGTTCTCTTATATCATTGTTAGATGAATTTTTAGAAGTTATCAAATGTGACATTTGACCTTTTAACCTTGACTGATGACTACCTTAATATTCCAAAGTAAAGACTTTGATCTTATGATACTATGTTGTAAAATTTGGACCAAATTTCTTAAGAAGTTCTCCAGTCAATTCATTGATTTGAAATGGGATGTTATGGGATTGGACTGGACAGACAGATCAATAAAGGCAATGTCTTATATATATGTTCCATATACAATAGTGACAACATCAAAAAGGTAAAATTCTCAATAGCTAGAGTGATTGTATAAATATGTATACAAGTCTTACACAGCATTTCTGTGGATGAAGTATGTGATGTAAACTTACATTATCTATTCTGTTGTCACTTGGACGAGTGAGAAACTTGGTACTCATTTCTCCATGTTCATCCTGTAGAAAGAGTACACACCAGTTATAGCAACATTTGACAACTTCAATCATCAGATAATTTAATAAGCAGATTAGCGGTAGTTACAGAGTGGAGAATCAGAAAATGGAAACGTAATACAAGGTAGTGGGAAAATATGATTAGAGGTAGGTAGATAGTGGGCAACATGGACAGGGAGACATAATGGTGGGGAAATATGATTAGAGGTAAGTAGATAGTGGACAACATGGACAGGGAGACATAATGGTGGGAAAATAAGGTTAGAGGTAGGTAGATAGTGGGCAACATGGACAGGGAGACATAATGGTGGGAAAATAAGGTTAGAGGTAGGTAGATAGTGGACAATATGGACAGGGAGACATAATGGTGGGGAAATATGATTAGAGGTAGGTAGATAGTGGACAACATGGACAGGGAGACATAATGGTGGGGAAATATGATTAGAGGTAGGTAGATAGTGGACAACATGAACAGGGAGACATAATGGTGGGACAATAAAGTTAGAGGTAGGTAGATAGTGGACAACATAAACAGGGATACATAATGGTGGGAAAATAAGGTTAGAGGTAGGTAGATAGTGGGGCAACATGGACAGGGAGGCATAATGGTGGGACAATAAGGTTAGAGGTAGGCAGATAGTGGGCAACATGGACAGGGAGACATAATGGTGGGACAATAAGGTTAGAGGTAGGTAGATAGTGGGCAACATGAACAGGGAGACATAATGGTGGGACAATAAAGTTAGAGGTAGGTAGATAGTGGGCAACATGGACAGGGAGACATTATGGTGGGACATTAAGGTTAGAGGTCGGTAGATAGTGGGCAACATGGACAGGGAGGCATAATGGTGGGACAATAAGGTTAGAGGTAGGTAGATAGTGGGCAACTTGGACAGGGAGACATAATGGTGGGAGAGTATGATTAGAGGTAGGTAGATAGTGGACAACATGAACAGGGAGACATAATGGTGGGACAATAAAGTTAGAGGTAGGTAGATAGTGGACAACATGGACAGGGAGACATAATGGTGGGGAAATATGATTAGAGGTAGGTAGATAGTGGGCAACATGGACAGGGAGACATAATGGTGGGAAAGTATGATTAGAGGTAGGTAGATAGTGGGCAACATGGACAGGGAGACATAATGGTGGGAGAGTATGATTAGAGGTAGGTAGATAGTGGACAACATGAACAGGGAGACATAATGGTGGGAAAATATGATTAAAGGTAGGTAGATAGGGGGGAAACATGGACAGGGAGACATAATGATGGGAAAGTATGATTAGAGGTAGGTAGATAGTGGACAACATGGACAGGGAGACATAATGGTGGGACAATAAGGTTAGAGGTAGGTAGATAGTGGGCAACATGGACAGGGAGACATAATGGTGGGAAAGTATGATTAGAGGTAGGTAGATAGTGGAACATCTAGAATGGCGGTCTCTATATAGTGATACAATGAGTCGAGGTGTAATTGTACAACCAGATCACAGGCTTAATGAGGCTCGACTGTAGACAGATTTTCATAAATATTGTCAGTACAGAACTTCATTGTCTTGTTTAGTACTTGTGTGATAAAATCACAAATATATAGGCTTGGTTGTGGAAAAGTATTGCTTTAGGATAATGAAACAAAATAACAACAGCTGACTAGTAATGACTACAGTGACTTTTATTTTTCTTTGGTTTCCTGGTGTTGATAGAATTATTGTAATGTAGATAGTAAAATAAAATGCAGAAGAGGACCAATTTATAGAGAGTACAGGGTAAGTGTCTCGAATTAGAAACTTTATTTATACTTTGGACAGAAATGTAAAAGTAGTTCGGGATATACTGGGACAGATGAGGCATACACCATTGCTTTGTACAGAAATACAGATCCACTCCTTTACTGACACATTGACTGTATCATTACTTTTCTTACATAAACTTGTCAAATACAATAATCAAAGTTGTTTAACAATTAATCATATTATCATTTAAATGATTCAGACAGTCATTCCAGTGAATAAGTGAACATGCTAAATATAGATTGTGTTTCATTAAATATACCATACCAAGGACCGTATATGTACAACATCTCCAGGACTAGGCATGGGTCGACCAAAAGCAGCAGCAATTAACTCCTGGGCATGGTACAATGAGTGCTGTCTTCTCTGCTCAATCTCATCTAAAAGCTAAGAAAACATCATGCTCTTAATGTACTACTGATTTACACAAAACACTCAAAATTGTCAAAGTTCAACTTATTGTAAAAAGAGCTCAAATACATGTACATAAGTACTACACATTACTGATATAGGCCTGTAATTATTATCAAGGGAGGTAATGTTTGTTGTATTTCTGTGGTTTTGAATGAAGAACAAGTCACTCTGAAAACTGACAACTGATATGTACACATTTTAACTCCAGTACTCGTTATGACAAGTATATATATAACAGCATTTGTTATATCTGTAGAATTTCCAACTGTTGTAATATATATTGACCTCAGCTAAGGTCATTAGCTTAATCATGATACCTCATTGTACATGCTAAAGGCATCTATGGGACTGATGATACAGATGACCTCGGGCAGCCCAGCTGGGGTCTCTAGTGGCTGAAAAAGCAAAACAAAATCTGTACATACATATCACATCACCATTTACACCTAATACTGCTTAACATTACCACTGACATGATCAAATTTTTCTACTTCAACTTTATATGTAAATGACTAGATGGATATCAGTAGGCATTCCTCACCAACTGCTTCTCTGTCTCTCCACCCACTGCCTCGGTGGGTGTGTCTCTCTCTCTTTCCATATTCACCACCCCTCTGTCACTCTCCACACCCACTGCCTTCTCTCACTCTCCACACCCACCACCCCTCTGTCACTTGCCACACCCACCACACCTCAGTCACTCTCCACACCCACCACTCCTCTGTCACTCTCCACACCCAACATCCCTCTGTCACTCTCTACACCCACTGCCCTCTCTCACTCTCTACACACACACCACCCCTCTCTCACTCTCTGCATACTGTCCCTCTCTAACTCCAGACCTCTCTCTCACTCTCTGCACACTGTCCCTCTCTCACTCAAGATACTTACCACAAATCTTCAGCAGTGCCACCAAAATCACCTCCTCCACCACCAGGTACTCATCAAAAAATCTTTTGTAGTACTCATACACTTAACACTCCCCACCCCCTCCCCCTTCCCCATCCCTTCCACCCTTCCACTTGATACTCACTACAAGTCTTCGGCAGTACCCATACACTCGTCCACCCTCCAGATTGGTTAGCACAAAGGAGTAGGACTCACTGTAACAGAGAATGATTTGATTTCATATAGCTGGTGTCTGATTTCACAAGGTTTGGTACAAAACATCCTTTTCAATAGAAGGTATAATGTTGTAGCAAGTATTAGGTTAGTATCCATTGTTTAGGATATTGGGTTATACTAAAATATATGCTACAGGAAAATTTCTGGTTCTTAGAAATGTATATATTTAAACATCAGATACAACTTCCTTACAAATAAAATATTGTCTTAGGTTGAAATTAGACCAAAAAAATTAAAATAATATTGTTGCAAGTAAATTTCACAACTTTAGCAACCTTCAGCGACCTTGACTTAACTCCACTGACCTTGAGTACAGAATACTTTAGAGACCTTGACTTAACTCCACTGACCTTGAGTACAGAATACTTTAGAGACCTTGACTTAACTCCACTGACCTTGAGTACAGAATACTTTAGCGACCTTGACTTAACTCCACTGACCTTGAGTACAGAACACTTTAGAGACCTTGACTTAACTCCATTGACCTTGAGTACAGAATACTTTAGAGACCTTGACTTAACTCCACTGACCTTGAGTACAGAATACTTTAGCGACCTTGACTTAACTCCACTGACCTTGAGTACAGAATACTTTAGTGACCTTGACTTAACTCCACTGACCTTGAGTACAGAATACTTTAGCGACCTTGACTTGACATTACTGACTTTCAGTACAAAATCTGATGTTAACCTGGACTAAATTCTACTGACCTTGTGTTCATAATTCTGGAGTGACATTGATTTTATTAGCCTTCGGCCAACTGAGAAATAATCTTGACTTGACATTAATGTGTACAGAATTTGACTACTGACCTCTGACTTACCTTAATTAAACACAAATTATTGAAGTTTCTTTGACTTTACTTTACTGACAAGAAGTACATAATGCTGGTGTAACATTGACTGACCTTGGGGCTGCTGGGGAAGCAGACTTGACATCAAACTCAGCAGCATCAGGGAAACAGAACTCGGGGACAGATACATTACTGTCAACCTAGAACAGATAACAACTAGATATAATATATTGTTGGTGTTGTTGTACAACTTATTACTGTACCACTAAAGTGTAACGAATGTTGGATGTACAACAGAGTGATGTTTAATATACATCGTACATCAAATAAACACAAAAAACAGACACAATTCATCAAATATTCTATATGTTACATTTTTCCTGAGAGAATATATGATATCACTAAAACACAAAACAAGAGGTTCCTGAGGAATCTTGGTGCCCACTATTTCTTGAATTTTATTTGTTCCTTTTAAGAAGTTGTCTCTTTTCACTTCTTTTCTCCTCTTCACTCTGTTTTTGATATTAATCATATGAAATTTGAAAATTCCAATAAGAAATCCATTTTGTTTCTCTCACCAATCATGAAATCACTTGGCACAACCAGGAACCAAAAAAATCTACTTAGAACTTCTTAAGAAAATGCAAAAACAAGAATTGTTAACAGATGGAGAGACCACCAGGCACAAATGGACAATGGGCCACAGACATATGGTGATTTAAAGTGGGCTTAAAATATAGTAAGTGAGTCTGTCCAATTGATATATATATATGTATTTCCTTTATAAGTATCTGGTATATATTGTACATCATATCTACATTTGTCTACATCGAAATCTTAAGGACAGTTAAAACTTAAGATACACTTAGAATCCAAAGTTATAATGATTACAATGTAATACTTTTCAACACATTTAATATGAGACCAATTTCAAGCAACAAGGCCTCAGAAATTATCACCAAAGACTGTAGTAAGTTTCCAACAATTCCTATTGTATTTCAATGAACAACTTTCATTACATCGGTATTTTGTCTAAACCATCACAAAAATATTTCACATTTAATTATGTCACTAAGAGTTATTTCATGATTTTCTATAAATAGGTCAGTAATGGATAACTTGACCTCTCTCAGAAAGAAAATCATTTTAGTAATGAAAAATAAAATACTTTTATTTCAACAAAAACAAAACAAAAAAACAACTTTTATCTAAACAATAAAGATAGCCTTTATAATGTACTCAGAAACATACTTTTGTTTGAAATACATTTTCATTTTTCTAAATTGCATCAATTTTATTAAAATATATTCAGAAATACGATAATAAAAAATGATGACTTCGACTAACAAACCGCAGCCTTAAGATATGACTCACGATTGACCCTCCTCGCATATTAACATGAAAATATACCCAACATGGTAATTTCTAATATTAATGTATGTTCAGCAAAGTTCAATAAGAAAAACAATCCAGCAGGAGTGCTAATAGTAACCCTGAGTAACTAAATCAATGGCGGTAATATTATCCTGTTGTATGACGTTTGATAGTAAAGAATTCAAAAATGAGGCAGCTCAGGTGATCACAAAACTTTTTAAAAAAATACAAAACCAACCATATTCATCAGACAAAAGAACATGCTGTGAGTCTACTATTATCTGTTGTCTTACTGCAGTATAACAAGGACATTCTAACCAAAGGGATACATACAGGTAACACAAAGAAACACAAGAACAGATATAAAGATAGTTAACTGATACAACAACGATAACGTGATAAATGAAAAACAATAAACATGGGTATTGTGCAAACACATTCTCTAATAACCACACTTATAAACATTCTGTAAAAAGCAAACCTATGGAGAACCAGCGAGCACAAAACTTTCAATCTTTGTTTAAACTGACATGCTTATCAAGAATTGAGGCATGCCAAGCATTCATAACAGCAAACAGGAAAAAATAGAAAAATTAACATGCTCATGATGTTCAGATGGACTTTGTAATCCAGCCACCATTCATCAAAATCTACCATTAAGGTACATGTATTTAAATAGCATGAAGGGAACAGCCTTTTTCTCAGTATTTCAGCTGGATATATTGAAAAAGAGAAAACTGAAATCATGGTCATTATAAAGAAGATGGCTGGATCATTGTGAAAGAGGAGTGGCTGGATTATCATGGGAAACAAAGATGGCTGGTTGATCCAAGTATCACTATCATGGTAATGACCAATAATGCTTCCACTTTCTATTCCTATATGACTCGGATCTTTACTGTAGAGTGAGGCAGAGCCTCCTAATTTACCAGACACCTATAACTTTCCTAACAGATATACAAGTAGTTATTGTACATTAAACTGTGAATCATCCCCCTCTCTCTCCCCCACCCTTTATCAATTTACTGTTTATTTAACAAATATAAAGTCTATAAAATCCATAGGTCTACAATGTTTATAAATATTATACCGTAATTCTTCTAGATTTGTACCCATTCATCTTGTACCCACGAGGCCGATGCATGATTTGTCTTTTAAAAACATTTTCCACAAATTTTGGTGCATGCCTGTCAAATTGTTGTATTTTTTCAATGCATAGAATGAGTAACACTTTATGTGTTTAGTCAGATAGATAGTTTGCCTGTTGTTGATCAATTGCTCTGTAGAATGAGTAACACTTTATATGTTTAGTCAGATAGATAGTTTGCCTGTTGTTGATCAATTTTTTAACAGCTAATATAAAAACAAACAAACAAAACGATGAAATCAATAATAATAAATATCAAGACATAAATAACAGCGGTACATAAATACCTAAAACTACAGTAACCAAGTAACAACATAGAGCACCCAAACTGTAGATAACTTACCAGGTCAGGCCCTAACCTCAATCGGCCCTCGTTATCTAGTCTTATGTGTGTCTACCAAAACAAGTAGTAAACAGCACCTCAACACAAGTCAGCATCACATCATCTAAAGATATCTCGCCATTTACATTTCCATAAAATACATAAACCGTTACATCATCCACAATCTACATCTTAGACTATTTTAACACAAGCTGCTGCTCGACTACCTTAACAAAATAACCCAGCCATGACAGCTATATCACAATACAAAACATCAAGATATTATTTTTCTAAACTTACAAATGAGAAAAAAAAACTTTTTGTGTTATAATTTATGGAAAAAGAATTGACAATCCTCCGAAATATATGTTTTTTACATGTTTTAATGGATTATTAGAACTTCATCATTATTACTATACTCAAAAAAATCTTTCCTCAGAGTTCGAGGTGTTAAATTCAGCAATCATGTCGTGTGCATAGCAACTGGTTGTTCAACTTACTGATGCTAATGGCTGATATTATAGATCAACTCTTTAAGGCTTGCTACTACTGTGTATAACTATATGTAATCCTGGTTTTTTATTAAACAATTTTCATTTTTATAATTACAGTTAGGATGGATGTACCTGATGATGATAAGCTGATGAAAGTGAAATAAAAGTAAAACAAATCTAGCCATGTTTTAGTAATGATAACAAAACATTTGTGAAGCTTGTATCTCATTCTTGATCACATCCAAAGCTCGACATTTGTGGCCAAACAACAAACATAGTATAGCTAATTCCACTAAGCAGCATCTAAGTATTCATTGTTTACCTGGTGCTGTCACACGGTACGTATACAATGCCACAAAACAACAGCCAGAATTTTAAAGTAAATAAGAATCATATGACTTAATTTTTAAAAAATCCCATTGTCGTCAAAGTCCCTAAAAATAATTATTAGTCTAAAGATTTACAGAATATGCATAAAATCCATTAACATTGTCAAATCATGAGTTCTAAGACTATAAATCTATTTTAAGTTTCCATAGCTTTTTGAAAACATCTTTTTTTTTTAACAAAACACATCTTTATACCTCTAATGACACACCTCACTATTATATAGGGGACGTAAAGACATACTCAGATAACAATGACAACTAAAATTAGATCAAGAAGACAGTATGGCAGTCATGAGATCACAAAGTCATGCCTGTTTTTCAGCAGCCTGACAGTTTCTAACTTCACACTTACACGAGACCAACTTACTTTTGTCAGGGCGTGCCAAACATAGAGTATAATTATAGGTTTGTAAGTCTGACATAGTCATTTGTCTAATCAAGCAAAACACAGTGAGAAAATTACATCTGAGTACATGTTTAGTAGTCTAAATCTTCAATGTCAAATGAAGTGCAATACAGTCTTGTTATAAAATTATCAAACATCACCTTTATTTTTTTAGTTTGAACTTGAGTTTTCTTACTTGGCATAAAAGCTATCAAAGCATAAGAATTAGAAATGTTGTAAACTTACATCAATAATCGTTATCAATATACTGAAAAAACCTTCCTACATTTTCAGTATATTCAAATGATATACAACTTTATCAATGAATTTTCTATAACTTATCTACAGAAAATCTATGTCTGATCACAAGTACCACACAGACACTATGGGAAATGCCAAAAGTAACAGTTGCTAGACTAAAAAAACCATCTGTGGGGCTTTATCTAATACAGAATATTTTAACCTCTTATTTTAACCTCTTATCATTCCACGGAGTTCAAACTAAAGAAACAAGGATGATGTTGGGGGGAAAGTTATCTTGTGAGAGACATTTTATACCAGTAAAATGAGGATCACATCATTATCTAACTACACAGAAGGTGTCAAGCAAGGCTCTAGCTTGAGTGTGATGACACATGTGTGATAATATTTTCCTTTAAAATATCAAGTTCAGTACATGTACATGTTATTAATAGAAACGTTTATATTAAGATACCTCTTCATTGTTAAACTAGAGCCAGGACGTAAATAGATATCCAGCATCATCACCGGTATCAAGTTGTATATTGACAAGTCAAGTGTAAAAAGGCCGTTATATGGGATAATTAATAAAACTGTATACATCTAAAAATAATTCTCATTATAAGATGGATATAGTTACTCTCTTATGACACAAATTAATGGCATGTGATATCATTCAATATTGTACTATCATTTCTAAAATGATACTAGTTGGGTGTAACAGTACCTACAGCAAGTTAAGAGGGGGAAATATGTACAAAAGTTAGCATTAAAATATGATAAAAGGAAATAATCAATTGATATATTACCATTTCAGGAAATTTACAGAGGATCTTAGGTTTATAGCCAACTTCCTCCTCTTTCTCCTCCAGGCCTACAATCAGACCATAGTCAAACATCTGTGGGTAGATCTTAGCCTGGTACCTTCGTGAGCCTCTTACACTCTTCATCTATAACAAACATATTAATCATGTACACACAATTCAACAGGAAATTATTTATCATCAGGAAGTGTTTGATTGTGTGCAAAATTCTGATAATCTATCTGCATTAATCAGAATTTCAACTTAGAGTGAAATTTACTTGTACTGTTTTTTTGAAAACAAAAGTTTTTTTTGCTCTACTTTTATGCAAATAAAAACAATATTATTTACCTGTCAAAATCCTGATAAAAACATTACCTTTGGTGTTTTAATTACAGTACATGAAATTTCATGACTTCATTTACATGTGTATCATTTACTTTATATACCATACTTATTGATGCTAGCTATTCTATGATGTACACTGTGGTGGGCTCTCAACAAGAGGTACAAGAGGCCTGCATTGCTCACCTGTGGACATATTCAGCTATTCAGTAATTTAACAAAGAATTTCAAATTTAGTAAAGCACCTAAAGACACTTCTATCAATGAAGAGCATTTGATTCTACCATACCTGAATGTTGAGAAGATTGAATGTTGAGAAGATTTTTTTTTTTAATTTTAGACAATTTGACCCATTTGGCCCTCATTCATCTGCCCCTTGGGGTCAGTCAGGAACAATATGGGCATACCATTAGCAGTCATCCTTCCCAACAAGTTAAACAACTTAAGCTCAAAAAGTTTTTTCCCCTATATAAACTATAGTAAATTTTACCCATCCCAAGGGACCAAGATCCACCATTTATACAGAAATTATTTAACTTCACCCAAGAATACTTCAGACCAAATTCAGAAACAGAGACCCAGAGAGGGCTTGGCACCCAACATTGTTTAATCTTTATATGTGCTTTTAAAGTTGGATATTTTCCCTTCTTTTCTCTTCTCTTCTCTGTTTTTGCTCTAAATGATAAGACATTTGAACATTCCTTTGCATAAATAAATGATAATCTTTACATGCCAAATCCAAAATGGCCATCTGGAAGCCATTTTGTTTCTTCTGATCAGTCCCAAAAGCAAACGAGCACAAGGAAAGACCAAAGGGAAATTTGAGAAATATTCATTTAGTACTTCTTCAGAAATAGCAATAACAATCTTTACTAGGCAAAACCCAAGATGGCTACCTGTCAGCCATTTTGTTTTTCTGATCTGTCCCAAACTCTAAAAGGCACAACTAAGGACCTAAAGAACCCTATACATGAAATTTGAGAAAGATCTATACAGAAGTTCTCAAGAAACAGTGATCACAAACTTTCGAAGTCAAAATCTAAGATGTCTGTCTGTAGGATATTGTTTTTCTGAGCAGGGTCAAAATCAAATTGGCACATCTAGGGACCAAGGGGAACCTACAAATAAAATCTGAGAGGTCCATTCAATACTTTTTAAGAAAAAGCAATAACAAACTTCAGAAGTCAAAATCCAAAAAGGCCACCTGTCAGTCATTTTTGTTTTTCTGATCTGTCCCAATATTAGATGGGCACATTTAGGGACATCATCAGATGGTGGGCTAAAAATCCAATCATTCCTACAGGAGGAGTAGGATTTTGAAGAATTTGTTCTATTACCCACTCCCACATCCAGTGAGCTGAGACCTTCAGGCCAAATTCGATCAAAATCTGTTCAGTGTGGTTCATGACTAGTAGCGATTTCTATGAAAAAGTTGACAGATGCTAGACAACCATAGCATATGCTTACCAATCCTGCAGACAGGTGAGATAAAAACTGATAACAAAAATAAAATTATATTTACCGTTCTCTTCCGCACAAGGTTACAATGTTCTTTCCTCTTAACAATCTCAGATACATCCACCAAACTGTCATTTTCTGAATGAATCAAAATTAATAAAGTCAAATATAAACACTATTCTAAATGTATTTTATACAAAATGTCTGGCAGCAATGTCATACTACACCATGGATTTTGAAACAGAGAGAAGCGTTTATCCACAAAATAATGTGTTCAAAAGTGTGAATGGTAAATTTATAACAGGTCAAATATTAACATAATACACCATTAGATATAATACCAGATTTAAACTCTGTTTATACATTGTCATATTGAATCAAGAAAAAAGACTATCTAAACGATGTTTTATTGTATTAATTACCTGCATTAGTAACGAGCTGATGATAATTGTATGGATGGAAGAGAACAGATTTTAAAGACATTTTAATTTTCTAAGTTCTGAATCCAGAATTTGATGTTGAATATCTAATTTGCCAAATTATTGCAAAATGGTATATTTCTGATGACAGTACAGAACGCTTTCAACTTCTCAGATTCTATAGAATTAGTAGTGACACAATGACACAGGGCCGGTTATGTGACTGAAGTAGAAGTATATAATGCTATCAGGTATTTTTCTTACTATATACACTAATAACTGATTCTCCAGCATTTCAGGAGTTCTTTAATCCAGATTTTCTTGGTGTTCTTACCGTCCAACCGCAGAGGTAAGGCAAATATTAAAAATTATCAGATAGCATGACAAGACGGGAAAACTTAGGTGTTTTATCATCAAACTATTCACTGATATGTGATATTAAACACAACTTTATCACCTGAAGGTTGCTCTGGTGTTTCCTCATCCACACTCCCTTCCTCGGTCTTCTGCTGCATAGCACGTACCACAGAAAAGGCCAGGCTGATCTTCAAACGTACCTGTAACCCAGTTCAAATATCATAATTATAAATCAACATAGCTCTTCAAAACAAATACAATTTCATTACTATATTTTATCTAACAATAATCCCCTCCGTATCTCTTGCTGTTTACTAGAATTACAAACAAAAATTATTTCAATGTTTCTCAATAAACCCACTCCATGAAATTGAATCAAAATCTGTTTCTTAATTGCCTGAACTTACCTGTAGTGAAGAGTGGAAAAACCAAAAATAGGCAGTAAAATAGGGTGAATTTTTATCCTATCTCTGGGAAACTAATATCCCTGGTATTATAAAACATATCAATTCAATATTTATTTCCAGAATCAGATTTTTTTCAATTTCAATTTTTTTAAAATTAGACATTTTGAATGCGTTAGTCCAGTGTGGGACAAAATAAACTATATACTTTAACCATTAAAACTATTTGAAAACCACACTATGTTGTGTAAATATATTGTATTGGTTAGAATTTATAACAGGTCATGTTTTGATATGCTACTTAATGAAATATTTGCTTAATTTCATTTGTGTACAGATTGTACATGTAAATCTGACATCCAACATTTAATATTGTTTTAGTTGTAAAAATTAGGTGTGATATATTTCTGCCTTACACTTTCCAGTTTTTTCTTTGAACTTTTGACATCCTCTTGTTTGCTTTTAGTTGGTGACTCTGTTTTTAGGAGTTTTTTCAGATTTCCCAACTTTGACCGCACTGCTTCACTGATGGGTCTGCATTTCTAGTATGAAAATAAAACAATAATATTAGTAAAATCCATCAGAAAGAATATTCAATTGTAAGCTGAAGTAAGTCTACCAGAAATATCATAATTGAAACATATTTAAGTTAAACAAAATATACATGTTACTAATACATAGGCTAATAGATATAATTAAGTTGTTTTTCACAGCCACATGAACTAGAAACACATTTGTCCACCACCCAGGCACTTAATGTAAATAATTTGTTTCCTAGCAACTCAGTGAGGGAAAATTTCTCCTTTGCACATTCTGTAGGGAGTAAGACTATACATATAGCTGGTAATACAAGGTTCCTGGGTTCCATCCTCAGTATTGTGAAAATACTGACTTCTGTTACAATGACACCCAAGGATTAACAGAAATATTTCACTTTGCTCCCACATTCATCTGTAAACTTCTAAAAACATGAGGACAAGTCCTTCTATGGAGCGTAACTCAAAAACCGGAAGTCCCAGGTTTGGTCTCTAGCACGCAAAAACTAGAAGTCCCAGGTTTGGTCTCTAGCACTCAAAAACCAGAAGTCCCAGGTTTGGTCTCTAGCACTCAAAAACGGAAGTCCCAGAGCACTCAAAAACCAGGATTTGGTCTCTAGCACTCAAAAAAAACCAGAAGTCAAAAACCGGAAGTCCCAGGTTTGGTCTCTAGCACTCAAAAACCAGAAGTCCCAGATTTGGTCTCTAGCACTCAAAAACTAGAAGTCCCAGGTTTGGTCTCTAGCACTCAAAAACTAGAAGTCCCAGGTTTGGTCTCTAGCACTCAAAAACCAGAAGTCCCAGATTTGGTCTCTAACACTCAAAAACCAGAAGTCCCAGGTTTGGTCTCTAGCTGAGACACTGAACACAGTGTGGCCATTATGATAAAATGTGAGTGGTTCATCCACTGTATCATTTCACCAAACAAGGTAGGACAGTACAACTACCATAAGCAAATACATAGAAGCACAACATAGCCTCATGGTCTAGTAGATGTTTGAAATGGTAAACCATAAAAAAGGTTGATACTGGTATCATATACTGGTAAATGTCTGTAATACACTGTGATCTCCTCCAATGTATGTAAGTATCAGTGTTAGATGAATTTGGGCAATTATCAAATGTGACCTCTGACCCTATAATCTTGACTGGTGACTATGACCACCTTAATGTAATCAGCTGTTGAACTTGATTTTATGATACTGTGGAGTAAGTATGATTCAAATCTGGGGCCAGGTTCCATGATATGACATGGATTCGCAATGGGATTAGGGGACTTACATGATAGGCCATGAGGTAACTGGATGCAAAGGATGAACATAGGTAATACATGTCAATTACTATATCCACCCCCATCATAAAATAGCAGGGGTATACATTACCACGACTTTCCCTGTAGAATAGGAAAAGTGGGAAAGTACAGTAAAATACTTACAGAACTAGCTTCTGGGTCTAGGGACTTTGTCTGTTGTAAGTGCCTGTGTTTGTAGGGCACAGCATATCCGCCAGCATCCACATAGATGTCATCTCGGATCTGTACGGGGTCCACATATACAGCCTCCCCTAGCATATCATCTTTTTTGTCTGCTACACACTCTGCACTTACACTTCGCCTCATCTTATTACGTTTCACCGGCGTGCCAGGTAAGTCCCAGTGTTTGATGTCATCCAAATCAACATGTTTTACTTTCATATCTTCATAAAATGGACTACTGACACTATGATCTCCATCTGGAGAGACTGGTTTTTTTGGAATAAATGGTTTCTTTTTTTGATCTTTAGTCTGTTTTTCAAAAGAGAAATCAGTAAAATTGTCTGAAGCAATTGACATAGGTCGTGTTCTTGGTGGCGGGGGGCGAGTGGGTTTCTTAGGTCTCGTCTCACGATCTTCAGAAACCATTTCCTCTCTACATGAGTTAACCTCGTCACCCTGATTAAGTGCAGATTTAACTGCTGGAGTTTTAATTGTTACTATCTTCCTATACACAGGTTCCGGTTTCTCTTCACGCAAATGTTTTTCTTCAGATTTCTTCTTTTCATCCTGAATGTCTTCAATACTTTCATACAAAACATTTGGTTTGATTACAAAGTCCACTTCTTTTCCCTTTTCACTATCTGGGTTCACTTTTACCCTGAGATAGTCATCATGAGCACCTGTGCGAGGGGGTTTCTTTGGGGGAGGGGGAGGACTAGACAGAGCATTTTTGCCAACATCCCATGGACTACAGTATCCCACACCAGGGCTCTCCGCAGTTCTAGAGTGATCAGGGTCACCATCACTTGACCCACTTGTGGGTCTGGATCGGGGTCGAATTGGAGGTGTTGGCCTTAAAACAACATTTGATTGTTTCTGCTCTGTTTGTTTTGAGAGATCAGCAGATTCAAACATTTTTGTCCTTTTAGACACAATATCTGAAACACTTTCGTCTGTTGTAGACCTGAGTTTTACCTCTATTGTACCCATAGAAGCATTCCTGGAGTGGGAGCTTGCTCTAGGACTCCTTTCCCTCGGTACAGGTGTAACCTTTCCTTGGTTGTTCATCATATTCACAGCTTTTACTACAGCTTCTGATGATTCAAAGACATCACTTTTAGCTCTTGACTTTTTCCGAACTGGTTTTAAATTACGTGTGACTGGCTGTCCTTCCGTCACTTTCTTGGCTACGATTGAGGGTGACTGTTTGAACAGTGTTGTAACAGGCCTTGGAGGACGAGTCTGATTGCTCTCCGGCTCTTTCAACTTCATTCCTTCTGACTTGATTGGCACAGTCGACAGGGGTCTGGGGCGAGTCAACTGTGGCCGGTTGTGATTAACACTTTTCTCAGACACTCCAAGCTTCTCTGGACTATCTGATTTGGATTCAAACATCTGACGAATATTATTCAGCTGTCCTGGAGCTAATTGTCTAACACTGTTCTTTTGAATATTTGTGTTTTCAGCCATATTTATCCAGCTTATTTGAAAAAAAATCACCTCACTACAACATCTTCATTAAGGGTCTTCTTCAATCCATTTTTGATCAGCCATTTTTCTAACACCAATGAAAATTTCACGTCAAAAATCTGAAAAAGAGAAGCATATTATTAAAACCTGTTTTACAGTAAAAAAATTCAACAGGTGAAAGGTCTATAGTTGAATAGATATTTGACAGCATGATTCTAAGGTAATTGTGACATTTTCAGCTTATTGAATTAGAGGACATTAACAGCATAACTTGAAATTCCTTGGAAATTGTATAAACATCACCTTTCCTCACAGAGAAAACAACAAATACAGGAGTAAATCAGCTTATAAGATAAAGTTGTCAACAAGAGTTTGGAAGTTGTATTTTTAAGATTGAGATGATGACTATAGGACATCTATATCATACACCTGCAGAAGTGGAAGAAAGAGGTAGCCCAAAAAGATGTCAGATCGGACACACCAAATTTTTAACACATAAGCAGAGGTATACAAACAAGATTTACCCTAGATAGATGCATGAACATCATCACTGGTGTTAAATTTATTTGCCTCACACTTAGGTTCAGATACAGGGATTCACAAGTGATAACAATTCCATTAAGTCATTTCAAGAATTTAATAGCATCACATCAACATTGAGGTTGAGGTGACAGCAACAAACAAAGCCCCAAGGTTAGAGAAAAACAATCTGAACCACTCAACTCTATCTGGAACCTCACTTCTTGGGTGAAAAAAATTCTTGTGTAATATAAGCAACTAGTGTGTTTAGCAACTGAAGAATATTCCCAAATAATTAGGGAACACCCCATCTCTGTCTCACTCGAAAGGAGGTAAAAATATTCTGACCTGATAGCTAGGATGCACTGAAACTCTAATACTGAAATAGAAAGGAGTAATGAAAAACACCTTGTCCCCATTGGAGTTTTTACTTACCGACCCCACGGGTCTCTTTATGGACATTCTACTAATTCTAACTCACTAAGGCTTGTAAGGTTACCTGCACTTTTAACTTTTACATTACATCCTCTAATCTCAGAAAAAAAAACCCTATCAATGTGCACACCTTTCCTTATAGGTAAGTAAGAAGGCTTGTTCTCTACTTACAATAAAGAAAATGTTCCCAACCTGGATTACAATATGTCAAAAGTCTGGGTACGGTTTCTATCACTCAGTGGGAGATGTGTTTCCCTAGTTCTTTCACATTCAAATAGCCGATGAAATCACGCTGGTTATGATATAAAGTCTCACATGTATTTTCTTGATGGGGAATTTGTTAATATTCAGAGGGGAAAGCATACCAATAGGGGAGATATACAACCCATTTCCGTTAGTAAAAATTATCCTGATGCTATCCTTTAAACCTGCATGTTCAATAACTCTATATACACAGTTTAAGTTGTCTGGTATACGATAATTAAAATGTCACCATTGGTTAGTACTGGCAATCAATTAATGCAACATTGTAGGAATGTATGCTGACGTAGCTACATGCATAGAGTACTTGACTTATTATCGGAAATAAGCACGATCACGAGGGGTGTATAATAAAAGTACCAAGATGTATTGTAATCGACAATACATGGTATGACAATTTATAAACAGCAGATCTCAAATACATATAGTTCACGTCTTCCAAATGAAGTTTCACCGGTGAGTTATTAGTGGTTTTGAATTCTGCTCTCTGTAATTTTGATGACGTTTAACATTTGCACTAAAGATTATCAAAGAGTTCTACACTGAGAGTAAACTTATTTCAATTGTGTTTGACCGTTCATTAAATCAGCTAATTTATGATCATTGAGTCACAATCCATAATTTTATGTAAACACCGACACTTCCCCTCCATTCATGGACACAAATTAGACGTAAGTGAATCACAACGTACTTGCTCTTTCCATTTTTCACAAATTATGTGTTTGTGAAACATACCTAAAAAGCACCATGACAGCTTAAATTACATGTTTCGGTTTATCTCAATCTGAAAATAAATCGCTTCCTTCTCTACGTCCGCCATGTTTATTTTATTCAAGTTCCGGTAACGCGTTTCCGCTTCCGGTCTTTTCTATCCAATATTCAACATGGTGAGTTCACACCACAACAAATATCTGAAATCTATCATCATCATCTTCTGTACGAAGTATTATGAACTGAAATAAAGCCAACGTGTTCTTAAAACATTTTTTTATCCAATCCTGTACATTTCACTGTCAACCTAACCCTAAAAAGCTAAAAATCGACAGTTGAAAATGTCGGTGTACAGTAGATACTAAGTGTTCGTGTAGGCTTGATATTGCCGTCTGAACGTGTTTTTATGATTTGCTGTTTGGTGAATGTTGACAAAGACAACCAATATGCATAAGGTTTTGTGCTGGAATAACCATCTCGCTTAGCTCTGTACGACATTTAGATAATGTTACTTGTTGCATTGAACAACAACTGATGCTCGCGGAGATCCAATGATCCTGGTTTTACCAGTGGATCTACGGCTATGTCTATTGAAATGTGTCTTTAAAGTGATAAAAACAATAATAGCGATGTATTCTGATAGGACATATTTTTTATCTTATTAAAAATTCACAACAATGGCTGGAACATTTACATTTAAGAACCATTCAAGATCATGCAAGCATCCTTTATAAATGCTTCTGATTTGTTGTTAACCAATTTATTTTTAGCTTCACGAGTCATGAGTCTGGGACTCAAATATCCGAGTTCCAAAAATTTAAATCGCCGAATCAACTAGCAGTGGTGAAACAATTCTGAGCCTATGCATTTTTGTTATCATTCATCAATGGTGATAGGATAGAATGAAATTATTTTCTTTCATTAGTGACTGATGTTAGGCCAATTTTTAAAAGTACAACTTAAGAAATGGAAAATTCTTTTCAGTCTGTTTTTAAAATTTCATCAATATTTATTTACTAGTCACCAACCATGTAAACGTTTACTAAATTAGTAATCTTTGCAGTCTTGCAAAGTCAATTAAGATCCGAATACTTTATAGGCAATGATAAATTCAAGAACATGAATCCAAAAATCCTTTCCATCTATACCCTTTTCCTAATTATAGCATCAGTCATTATCACTGATCATGATTGTAAACTAAAATCACTGCAAAATTTCTAGTTCAGTCAGTTATTAGTCCATCTTCCACAAATGAAACGTGATCACAGAGGGTTTAGTGATGATTCATTCCATTTATATGCATCCAATATGGTAAACATGCATACATACCTATGTACAAGTTGACCTACCATGTCTATGTGAAACTAAATCCGCTTAATCAATTAAAACACAGTCCAATGTTCAGGGTGCAATATTTAACAAAAAATTCCTATAGGTATTGCAGATAACACACTTAAATGACAAGACATGGATACAGTATTTGGTAATGATGTTCCTGATGATATGTTTGCTTTGTATTTACAGACAACAAAGTTGAAGAAGACCAGGAAGCTGAGAGGCCATGTCAGCCATGGACATGGTCGTATTGGTAAGTAAATGATATAGATTTTGTTTCCTTGGACAAAGAATACCAGAGTACACATCAGCATTTGCCAATGGCATATTTTATGATAGAAATTTAAATACAAAGTGTACATTTGTATGACCAGTATAATTTATAAGGCAATGATAACTCTAAAAGTTTTTACCTCTAAAAGTTTACATAAAACGGACCTGTCCAGTGATATGTTTTCAAGTAATTTACCATTTTACTCTAACAATCGCATCAATTTTATACATTTTGATGAAAACATAGAAATGTTTTGTAGTTTTTCCTTCTGGTAGGATTTAAATGGTCCATTCCTCAGCGATTTCAAAGTTACCACTTACATTGCACCTCTTATGCAGAGGTGATCAGTTAAAAGTATGAAAGAAAGTTCTGAGATACTACAATTTTTATTTGCAGGCAAGCACAGGAAGCATCCTGGTGGTCGTGGTAACGCTGGTGGTCAGCATCATCACAGAATTAACTTTGACAAATAGTAAGTTAGGATTGTGAGATTTCCATTGTGGTGTGAAAGTTTTGGCTATACATTGTAATAGTCTTTTACATTTATAGATATAAAGAATCAAAGAAAAACATAGAAATTATAGGGTTTAATCTGTAATAAATTTGTGTTTAAGCGTTATGATTTGTATTCCCCACCTGATATTTCCCTTGCAGACTCCAGAGTAAGTTGAAGCAGGATTTTCTTCAATTTATTCTCCAATGTAAACTTTCCCTCTTGTTTTTGAGAATTTCAAAAACAGGAAATTCTAAACCATTTTAGATAAGTAAAACCACTATTGAGAATGTTTTCAATAAGATCATAAATTGTGGCATTTTCATGAATGAAATTGGAAATGTTAAACCATTTCTTTGTAACAAGATTGATAAAAGTTCTCAATTTATCTAGTGTCGCTGTGAGCTAAACAAAGCATCCTAGTGGACAGGATACAAATCAAATATTCTTAATCAAGTTATTTCATCATCTGTACTTGAAGAAATTTGACTGCACAGGAGTTGGTGTATAAACCTTGTAAGTTGTAAAACCTATTTTGCTTTTCAGCCATCCAGGTTACTTTGGTAAAGTTGGTATGAGGTATTACCACAAGACATTGAACAAGTTCTTCTGTCCCACTGTTAATTTGGACAAACTGTGGTCCCTTGTGTCAGAGCAGACCAGACAAAAGTATGCAGATAACAAAGAGAAGGCTCCTGTTATTGATGTTGTACGAGCTGTAAGTACTGAAGCTGCAAAATGCAGCTCTAGAATTAGTTTCATCACTGTTGATTGGCTTGTCAGTTGGTCACTTTTATAAATTTAGTAAAACATTCCTAGAAGTACCATTTTTAAAATGTCTTAATTTTCAACTATCGGACTGTCCTACTTGATATCTGGGTTAAGGTGATGGTAAGAATAAATATGAGGGTATGAAATGTCATGAAGATTAGCAAGATTGTAAAAGTCCGTTTAATACTACACTGAAAATAATTTATTTTCTATCGCCTAGTAGGATATAATTATCTCCTCTACGGACAGTTTGACAGTAAATATCGCAGGGCTGCACTGGTTGAGTGGTAAAGGCATTTGCCCATCTTTATCACTAGCCCTCCACCTCTGGGTTGGGGGGATCGAGAACTATATTGGGAAGTTGCCAGACACTGACAGCAGAATGGTGTTTTTTTCTGGGAACTTCAACTTTCCTATGCCACCCAAATTGGTAGGTCTTTGAATGAGGCTGCCTGTTAATAGGACATAAAGCAATGATAAACTAAACTAAATGTCACATACATAGTTATACATCTTTTGTGTCATACATGTCAAAATATCATTGTGTTCACTTTACAGGGCTACTACAAGGTTCTAGGAAAAGGACATTTACCCAAGCAGCCAGTGATTGTGAAGGCCCGCTTCTTCAGCCGATCAGCCGAAATTAAAATCAAGGCAGCTGGTGGTGCCTGTGTTCTAGTGGCATAAATATGGACTTGATATATTATTTATGACATTAAAAGCAGGCTAAATACATGCTTGTTATGTTAATTTATTTCTGGCATTGATAAATTTACCTTCTGCAGAATAATTGGTAGAAAGGTATCCGGTATATTTAATCATCAAAAAGAGGCAACATGAATTCCCAAACCTTCCATCAAGCTTATCACTCCTTTATTTGACTTTGGAGATCAAAATTACAAGTCTCATTTCTTCTTAACAATTTTATATTCTAAAAATAGGGAAGTCTAGGAGAATATTTGTGTTGACAAACTGAAAGGTATGAACACACCTACAGAAAGTTGAAAAAAAATAGTATTGTAATAACTTTACACTGTTACAAAGTATGCAAATATAAAGTACAGGGTGGGCCATACGTGTACCTATAAACCCCATCAACTTCATCAGCCAGATCCATAAGTATATAGTTCGACCCTTGTTCGGGAACATCCTTGTGATGGTGAGTTGACATAGGCTGCCTGTCGATGGCTGACTTCCAGTGCGCTCCATAGTCCGTATGATGTATATCTGACAGCCTCCACTAGTCTTCACACTTGCATATCTTTTTGACAACACCTGAAGTCGGTACCTTCCAAACCAAGTGAGCCAGGAAACCCCCTTGCATCCTACTTCTACAGGAAACTGTCCAGTCACCCTGGCTACCTACATTGTTCCATGGCTTCTTCAAAATTGGCTCTCTCTCTCTGCTCAAGTTGCCTACTACAATCTGCCATCCTCAATGGCAGACTAAATTGCCACATTCAGACTTTATGTCTGTCTGACATCAAGAAATGCCAGTTCTCCCCAGATCTACTTTCCTCTCCCATGACTATGCGCCTCTTCCAGATCGCTGATGTTGGCTGCTACAGTTTCATTTTCCAGCTCCCCACGCATTTACAAACATGTGGTACTCCGCACCATGGATCTGACCAATGAGAGTTTCGACAGCTTGCGTCTTTACCAAGCTCCTTATATACACTTGCATCGATATACTTGAGTGGTTCCTTCATCCATCTGCATTGTCAATTATCTACTATGCGTATACGTGCCATTCAAACAACTTCTCAATAACCAAAAGGCTCAAGATGCTGATGTTAGGCCTGTATCCTGCTGGGATGAGGTGCTGTCAATTTTGTTCAAATGAATAGCCTTAACACACTTTCAAGGGTCACGGGGTAAAATATGTGAAAGTTTTATCTTCAAATATTTTTAGCCAAACGGACAAGAGCGTTGATGGTGGTTGATGCTTGGTTTGAAGGTTCACTAAGCATGTTCAAATGAATGACCTTGACCCACTTTCAAGGTCATATGTGTTAAGATCTTGAAACACTTTGTAATAACCGAAAAATCCCATTGTGTTCATGTTTGATATATAACATCTTTGTAACTTTCCAATTTGTTAGCTGTAGAACAGTTGAGCAAATGCAGCCTCTATGCTATATAGGGTTTTTCGTAGTCAGATGACCATGAATGTCTATTGACCTTTTGTTAAAACTGGATGACTTCGTAGGAACTACTCGCTGGACTGAAAGTACAGGGGGCTCAAATATGCTCAATGTAGCTATCTGTATGACGCGTTGGAAATTGTTTCACAAAAGTTGAAAATATACTCAAGGGGTAAAGAAACGCAGGGTAAACTTTGAAGATGATTCTAGGCAAGACGTCGAGTATAATGTTCAATATTTTAAAGTAAAAATCTATACAAAACAAACTGCAAAATCAATGATTTGTGTCTGGGTCGCGGCCACTCCTGTGGGTGGATTGTCAGAGGCGTAGCAATAATGTATGCTTGTATGCTTAAACATACATTCGAATTCCATTGAGATATATTTGCCCTACTTTTTTAATCTTACTGCGCCCCTAGACCCCCTTAACCGGGGCTTCGCCCTTGGATCCTCTCTTGAAAGCATACACTCTTAAAAATGTTTTGCTACGCCACTGATAGTGTTCGTGACAGTCTGCGCGAAACATGGTGAACCGGGAATATTCTAGGGGCATGTGCCGCCACCCAAGCCATACGACGCTGGCGACGAGATTATGTCCCAAATAGACATAAGCTCCCTTGCGTGACGGAGGATAAATTTTTTATACATGGTTGGTCTCTGTCCCTGTGGCGAGGAGAGGGTGCAAGGCCCGATAAAAAAAATGGGTAAATTCCTGATCATTTTTCTGCTTTATTGCCTGGCTTATGTCCCAGTGTGGCCGAAATCATCCTTTTGTGAAAGAGAATGAATTGTACCCCCAGTGGTGGGAGGGACAAGGGGCCATGGGAAATAGGTAAATTCTTTAATATCCTTCAGTATGTAAGGTAATTCTTGGGTGAAAGGAAATCTATTTTGTATATTTAGTGGGTCTCGGTCCAGTAGGGGAAATATAGCGTGTTTGTTTTTAAGAGGAATCAATTGTGTAATAAAAATGGTTCTCGGCCCGGCGAGGGTTAGGCTGGAGGTTAAAATGCCCGGATTCTGTCCCAATTAGGTATGAAGCATTCTTGGTTGAAGTGGAATCAGTTTAGTATAATCAGCCGATTTTGGTCCTATGGGGCGGGGTCCAATAGAGTGATTAAAACTCATTCTTTAAAACCCTTCTTTCGTAGGAATCCCCGGATTCCGTGCCAATTTCGTCTGATGTTTCCTTGGCCAAAGTGGAATTAATCTTGCAGACTTGAGATCTTTTCACTTGAGTTTTGTTATCTTGAATATTTTTTGTAATGTCCATTCCCAATTCCAGCCTGTAAAACATTTGTTGGTGACCAGTTGCCATGTGTGTTGGGTATATAAAGTTAAAATTTGGAGGTATTTTATGTGTATCTGATGAGGCCCGAGTTCGTTATTTCTCGGCGCGGAATTGGACCTATTTTATTTTGTTAAAATAATGTATTTGTGGCCAGAAGCGAAACCTAGAAGCGAAACCTGCAAGCGACAGTCGAACCAAGAGCAAAAAGTTGTGTAACATTTTCATGTTGAGTTACAAAACCATGCTGATACGTACAAAAAGGAAAACATTATCTACAACATAACAATATCTATGATATTTGGTATTTTAATGAGGTGTTCGCGCATAGCTTCCGAATATCCGTTATAACACCGGGATCGTTTGACCTACTGACGAAAAAATAACAAACTGCACGTGATTTTGATATAACTGAAATGTTTGTGATAGGTCTCGTACGATTACACAGAATTAAATGAAGTGACTGACAACTACTCGGATCTATATTGTTCGAACATTGGTCAGGTATGTCAACCTAGAGGTTATAGATCTCTTGTGAATCTAATGGTGAAAACTGCTGCCTTTATTCTCAGTGCTTTAGAGGGAACCTGTTTTACAATTAGTTACCATAAGCAAAGGTGAAATATCTTACCGTAACGATAAGGTATGATACATCACATACTCTATGGGTATAACATTAATTATATTTACTGTCAATGACAATAAACACATACCCACTGGTACAACATAATTATATTTACTATCAATGACAATAAACACACACCCACTGGTACAACATAATTATATTTACTATCAATGACAATAAACACACACCCACTGGTACAACATGGATTATATTTACTATCAATGACAATAAACACACACCCACTGGTACAACATAATTATATTTACTATCAATGACAATAAACACACACCCACTGGTACAACATAATTATATTTACTATCAATGACAATAAACACACACCCACTGGTACAACATAATTATATTTACTATCAATGACAATAAACACACACCCACTGGTACAACATAATTATATTTACTACCTATGACAATGAACAAATACACAGACTCACACTATTTACAGTTGATTTTAACAAGACTTAACTATAATGTCAATGTAGATTTAGCTTTAGCTGTTATCTAAAAGTGCATTGAAAACACTGGAAAGTGCTCAATGGTCTAGTGCTTTATAGTGACGTATGTTATCAAGTTTGATCTCTTCTATGTCGACAGGAAATAAAGGGAACATTGTCTTTTTTAACCTCCTCAACGCCTTCAATGCTATCAAAAGATGAGTAATTCTTCCAGCCTAAACGTTCCAGAATATATCAAATACAAATTTTGCTTATCGGCATAAACAATACACCAAGAAGACTCGATGAGTGGATGTGAACATTAGGAGACAGATCGATGAGATGTCTAAACGATGCCATATTCTGTTGTAGATACAGAATAGACACGTCCAATGTCCACGGTAACATTTTTCTTGTTATATAAACGAGTCATGGATAAGTACGTTGTCAGATTGTTTCCAGCAACAAACTTATTAGCTTCCTCGTTTTCGATGGGTTGTGTGAAGATGAGATCTCCCCCGCTTGGGATGTGAGACGCCAGCTTACGGAACAGCGCGTGTGCGATTTTAGTGTCGTCTGCGTACAGCGGATACATTTTGTGTCCTATGTCACCAGGTTTTAAGACGCCATACCCACAAACACGCCCTTCTCGCAAAGCTACATATGTTCTGGCAGTCTCGTTCTGGGCCCAGTTGCTGATATATACTGGCCGAGGTATTGTGTGAACCTCCGCATCATATGCAATGACGTCATCAAAGTTCACGTGTTCTGCTGGCACTATTTCGCAGTCTGGATCCGTGCAATTCTTGAGGAATTCCGGATTAACAGGTCCCTGATTATAATGAAATGTATATGACTTTATTGTCCACCCAAATTGCGCGTAAAACGAGATTCTGTTCGATAGTGATGTCCCTCCAACGTTCTTGTCAGACATGATATCCATTACCTTGCGGAACATGACCTTGCCGATCCCAAGTGACCGGTATTCGTCCTTGACAATGTTCATTCCAGACGAGGCGAAGTCCGGACTGTGGACCAGGATCCCGTTGTGTCCTGAAAGTAAGGTAAGATTACAATTATATTTTGTGGTGCGGTATCCCATGTTATGATATAATATTAACACCTTCTAGTCACGTGACCATTATCACGATGCCTTCGTATTAAACTAGCAAGTGAATAAGAAGATTGGTTTAAACAATATTTTATTTTCAGATTTTCATTTACAACATACACATACACAAATTATAAAATTGAAAATGGATCTGGCAACATTATCATAAATCTTATATTAAGCCATCTCCAATATAAAACAGTTACAATAGTACAATTTACATTAAACACATTGAAAGAGATTTTTTTTAAACTTAACATTCACTGATGAACACTGACCGTTAATATGTAAACCATAAGGTGATAACATAATTTGGTAAGATAGGAGAAAGGAAGAGGTAAAGAGAGCACAAAGAAACTCCATCCGGCACCTAGAATCTACCCGAATCTACGATGTACCTTTGCACCTTTTCAAATATGATATTATCATCTTGAGACAGGTTTGGGTCACCATAAATGAGTAATTCTAGTGATAAATTGAAATTTAATGTATCTAGGGTATTTTCTCTAGCTCGATTATAGCGTACACACTGCCTCAGATAATGATAAGGAGTTTCAACCTGCCCACATGCACACAGATCTGTATCTGAAACATGGTTATTATGGAGATGATAATTGAGAGAGCTACATCCAAGACGAAGACGAGTGTGCATTACCTGAGCCCAGCGTTCACCAACAACAAGAAGATTCTGCAGGCAACGTATGAATATCATACTTGTTATACAGTTTTCTCCGGGTATAAGGGTATCACTTATAAAATCTACTTTAAATTAACATTACGTTATTTCACACAAACTGACCTATGATTTCGCCGTCGTCCTTGGCTACCACCACGAGGCCGGTAGGGTCACTGTTAAACACACACTCGAGATAACTCTTTTCCATGTTCCACTGGTTTTCCCGGAGGAGCTCGTATAGAGGTTGGATGTCGCTCCTCCTCATAGGCCGAACCTCATAATTTACCTTCCCATCTCCTCTGTAGCTCAAAACAAAAACAATGATATTGTTATTAAAACATAGTTATGGAAATCTCCATGACACCGGGTTGTATATGATAGGGCATGTAATCTGAACTGCCTGTGACAACATCAACTTATCATTTGCATATTTATATGGTACACCCTAATTTATAATACAACATACGATACAATATGTACTAGTAAACCTTGCTCAAGTTTGGAGATCGTTTAGAAGCTATCAAACAATCTTGACGGTTAATATTTCAATGTTGTATACTTAGACTTTTCCCGCTTATTAACTTTAATGATAACACCTTCTGATATACTACATTTGATTGATGTCCACTGAGCTGTTGGAGGCTACAATATAAAGACTGTAAAGTGAGGTCTAGTTACCTAGCGTCCGAGGACAGCCATTTCGGACAGACAGTAGCTCTGAAAGGAATGCGAACACTTTGTGTCAACACGCGCTTCAACATCGTATGGTGTGGTCAGTGTCCGTGTCGCGTTCCTCGTTGTGTCCGAGATGTTGTGTGATCTTTCTATCAACGGGAACTTATACAGGACTTGTGACCCACGTGTAAATAAATCAGTTTATCTGCGTTCAGATCACTCCATATGTTAAGTGATATTTTAGTTAGAAGTTATCGCACCATGTGTCCAGTTCTCAGCTTCGGACAACGCGTAACCTGCCAATGACCAGACTAAAAGCGGCGTGACATTATCAGATGGTCAGGATTCGCTGGTAAATGAGTGTGTCCCGATTAATACGAGATACCAGTAAGGAGCGCGACAGTCAGTGGAACCTGTGCTCACTTAATCCCAAACCCCTACATTCTAATGTTGTTTCGGGAAAACCCTACTTATCACACTGTCTTTCGTAAGAGGTGACTTAGAATTTGGGCGTTTCTCTGCTGTACGATGTTGGCTATAGATGAAAATAGATGTAGTAGGCTGACACACAGGGATTGGGCACGAATTTTCGACCCACGGTCCATATATATACTAAACAAAAAAAAAGAAAGGTAACACTACTTTATTCTGTGATTAATTAATTAACCCCTTCATAAATCCTTACCAATCATGTACGAATAAAGTAATTGATCAATTCTGATAAAACTGCAGTCATGGTTCATTATGAAACTTTGCGTTCAGTTGATTTTTTCTACTGTAAATGACGTTGGGGTCAATTTCAAAGGTAACACCATTAGTAACGGGTATGGCCACCGTTTGCGAAGTAAACAGCATTGCAGCGTCGTCGCATGGAACTCGTAAACCGGCGGATAATTCGAGGAGAGATGTTGTTCCATTCAGCGATCAAGGCTTGGGCCAGCTCCTACAAGTTTGACGGCTGATTTTGACGTTCTCTCACGCGTCGCCCAAAAACGTCCCAGACGTGCTCAATCGGTGACAAATCGGGTGATTTAGATGGCCAATCTAACACCTGTACGTTATTCTGCTGCAAGAAAGTTCTGCTGACGCGACTGGTGTGCGCTGGTGCGTTATCCTGTTGAAAAATGGCGCCAACGCCATGGCGTCTTAAAGATTGGCAGAACCACTGGTCTTAAAATTTCGTCCCGATATCGAATGCCGGCTAAATTGCCATTTAACACAACAAGCCTGGTACGAGTCCCCCCCACAAATACCACCCCAAACCATTGCAATTCCGCCGCCAAAGCGGTCCCGTTCTGCGACGCAGCAGTTCGCAAAACGCTCCCTCGTCGCCTCCACACTCTGCGCCTTCCGTCACCGTGTTGCAGACAAAACCTGGACTCATCTGACAACAGAACATTGTTCCATTGTCGTAAGGCCCAACGACGGTGAACACGGGTCCAGTTACGCCGATTATAACGGTGACGTCGCAACAAATTGGGTCCAGTGTAGGGACGCCGCACTTTCAATTGGTAGGCCCTCAACCTGTTGCGGACTGTTTGGGGAGACACACGACGCCCAAACAATGTCCTTGTAGTCTCTACTGCGGTTACGAATCGATTGCGCAAGTGTATCAATCGTATACGACGGTCATCCCTGGCGGTCGTTTTACGGGGTCGGCCGCTTCGGGGACGATCGGATATTGACCGAGTTTGGTTTAAACGACTTACCAACTGGCAAATTGTCTTAACACTGCAACCAAAATGCCGTGCAACTCGACGGAGAAACTCCCCAGTCTGGATCATGCCTACAGCCCTTTCTCTCTGTACTTGTGACAGCCGGGGCATAATGATAAGGTTTATAGATAGCATTGTGAATGTTCATGAAATTTAAGCGAAGATACAAGTTAGTCGCAGAAAACCTCGTGCAGCTCTTTCGATAATACAGACTTTCACGCTTGAATGATTTTGGTAACCCCCTTTGATTTTGTAATGTAAAACATTACTATTTTCTAATATTGCACAAACGTCATTTTGTTTTCACTCATTTACAGGTATTCGCCAAGGAAACATGTTAACCTTTCTTTTTTGTTGAGTATATGTATTACGGTGATATGGACCGAGGGTCGAGAATTCGTGCCAAACCCCTGTGTGATAGCAGGGATAGGGTTACTTTAGTATGTTCTATTGAGGAAACACGAAAATACCAAAATGAATTCGCTGTCCATCTCTTGGGATGTTTAATTTATTTCTTCCTTTTCTGTCGTCTTGTGAATTGTTCAACAACCTCTTAGTATGACGTGAAAAATCTAGTGTTCAAAGTATTTTAATGCGGACAGACGTTACCGGCAACTTCTTTTGTCAACATTTTATGTTAAGTTCCCTCTACTGTACTATATCAGACTTGTTAATCATTTGCCTCTCTGAGGTGGATTTTTGTTAAATCGGCATTATGGTAAATAGGGTTTTCTGGGTATTTTTTTTAAATAGCCTGTTGTATACATCAAGCGCATCACTTTATGAACAAAGAAAAATGAAGGTGTGCATGGATTAATACTCTGAATAATTGCTAACTTATTCGCTGACCCATCAGTACATATCTTTCCCTTTTATGCTGATACAACCTTGATAATCTAACACATGCTTCATATATTCCAAGCTTATCTATAGTACATTGACTTGTACAATATGTACTATTATTTATAAATGATTATTCGCTCGTGATGTATAAGCATTTCATGTGATATGAATGTATATATTGTCTTAAGATATACGCCGTTTCTGGTTGAAAATAGACCAAAGTAGCCGAACAATATTTTCTCTCTGTTCCGAGCAAAAATTTATCTACTAATTAGAACGATGACCGTGTCATCTGTTTAACCAGCGACCTTCCTCGAAAATAAACACATTAAAAAAATCGTGATTGTACATTCGTCGTCCTCCATAGAATGAACGGCATGGATATGTATTCAAAACTGGTCAGGGAAATTTCGCGCAAATGCTCGGCTAGAAAATTTAAAATGGAAAAAAAACAACATTTAATGAAACATTTAAGTCCTATCTTATTACAGAGTAATCATTGAGACACGTGCTAGAAATTACAGCGTCAGGTTCAACAGGTGTTTTCTGCCACAATATACATGACAGGTGTATTCTGATGGTGTCAACAATATACACGACAGGTATATTTGATGGTGTTAACAATATACACGACAGGTGTATTCTGATGGTATCAACAATATATACACGACGGGTGTATTCTGATGGTGTCAACAATATACACGACAGGTGTATTCTGATGGTGTCAACAATATACACGACAGGTGTATCCTGATGGTGCCAACAATATACACGACAGGTGTATCCTGATGGTGTCAACAATATACACGACAGGTGTATCCTGATGGTGTCAACAATATACACGACAGGTGTATCCTGATGGTGTCAACAATATACACGACAGGTGTATCCTGATGGTGTCAACAATATACACGACAGGTGTATCCTGATGGTGTCAACAATATACACGACAGGTGTATCCTGATGGTGTCAACAATATACACGACAGGTGTATTCTGATGGTGTCAACAATATACACGACAGGTGTATCCTGATGGTGTTAACAATATACACGACAAGTGTATCATGATGGTGTCAACAATATACACGACAGGTGTTTTCTGATGGTGTCAACAGTATACACGACAGGTGTATTCTGATGGTGTCAACAATATACACGACAGGTGTATCCTGATGGTGTCAACAATATACACGACAGGTGTATCCTGAAAGTGTCAACAATATACACGACAGGTGTATCCTGATGGTGTCAACAATATACACGACAAGTGTATCATGATGGTGTCAACAATATACACGACAGGTGTTTTCTGATGGTGTCAACAGTATACACGACAGGTGTATTCTGATGGTGTCAACAATATACACGACAGGTGTATTCTGATGGTGTCAACAATATACACGACAGGTGTATTCTGATGGTGTCAACAATATACACGACATGTGTATTCTGATGGTGTCAACAATATACACGACAGGTGTATTCTGATGGTGTCAACAATATACACGACAGGTGTATTCTGATGGTGTCAACGATATACACGACAGGTGTATTCTGATAGTGTCAACAATATACACGACAGGTGTATTCTGATGGTGTCAACAATATACACGACAGGTGTATCCTGATGGTGACAACAATATACACGACAGGTGTATCCTGATGGTGTCAACAATATACACGACAGGTGTATCCTGATGGTGGCAACAATATACACGACAGGTGTATCCTGATGGTGTCAACAATATACACGACAGGTGTATCCTGATGGTGTCAACAATATACACGACAGGTGTATTCTGATGGTGTCAACAATATACACGACAGGTGTATCCTGATGGTGTTAACAATATACACGACAAGTGTATCATGATGGTGTCAACAATATACACGACAGGTGTTTTCTGATGGTGTCAACAGTATACATGACAGGTGTATTCTGATGGTGTCAACAATATACACGACAGGTGTATCCTGATGGTGTCAACAATATACACGACAGGTGTATCCTGAAAGTGTCAACAATATACACGACAGGTGTATCCTGATGGTGTCAACAATATACACGACAAGTGTATCATGATGGTGTCAACAATATACACGACAGGTGTTTTCTGATGGTGTCAACAGTATACACGACAGGTGTATTCTGATGGTGTCAACAATGTACACGACAGGTGTATTCTGATGGTGTCAACAATGTACACGACAGGTGTATTCTGATGGTGTCAACAATATACACGACATGTGTATTCTGATGGTGTCAACAATATACACGACAGGTGTTTTCTGATGGTGTCAACAATATACACGACAGGTGTATTCTGATGGTGTCAACGATATCTATATGACAGGTGTATGCTGATGGTGTCAACAATATACACGACAGGTGTATTCTGATGGTGTCAACAATATACACGACAGGTGTATTCTGATGGTATCAACAATATACACCACAGGTGTATTCTGATGGTGTCAACGATATACACGACAGGTGTATTCTGATGGTGTCAACGATATATATATATGACAGGTTTATTCTGATGGTTTTGTAGGATAAAGATGTAAGGTAAAAACAATACAATTAAGAAACAACACAACAAGATCTCAAATAAACAAATTAATTTATATATACATATTTTGATATCATGGATCAATTTCAATATTAAAAACATCGATGTTCGTGTTCTATCTTGATTCATTGTAATGGTAATTAATCACACCTCGCGGAAGGTGCTATCTCCTGTTGACCCCATGTATCCTCCCCAAATTTGCTTATCAGCAGGAAGGAACTTTAATGTAGTAATTTTGTTTTCGTTCAGGACATTGCGCATGCGTGGATGGACGGTGGCGTTAATAGGCGTGTATAACTGGCGCGCGAGGGCCTCCTCCAGATTAACCTTATAAAAGTCGGTGTCGAACTTCATTTTGACGAAGTGTGCGTATTTATCTCGAAGTATCCCAACGCTCACTACGTTTATAATCAAGTCCAATTTCCCGTCGCCATCAACGTCACCGATGGCGCCTAGAAAGTAGTAAGGTGAAAAATGTATTTTTACAAAAAAGTCAATGATATCATCATAGCCAGCATTATCGTGACCCATCATCTTTCAAGCATGTCTTAGAATTAAATGTAGTTCATATGTTTGGGAATGTCAGGTGAAAGTAGAAATACTATCTGAACTTCAATATTTATGTACAAAAATAAATGAATGGAATCCGTTAAGAACATGTGAAATGTACCTGTTGTTCGTTCATCCGGTTGTTTGAGGATACAAAACGGTTTTTCAGAATCCCTTTTGCCACGTGACCATGGAACCTCGTTTTCAGTCATTGTGTGGTTCTCCCCATAAATTTTCTTTACATCTTCCACCAACTTCTCGTCACTTCCTGTCAATTCTGTAGCAAGTAAGACAATGGAGGCTTAGAATCACAAATTGGCAGGAGAGTTCTGATCGTAAGGAATACTCTTGAGATCCAATGACAGCCGTTTTCAAAAATGTGTCGGAAACGTGGGAAAGTGGATATCATAGCCTAGTTAACACCTTCAGTTACTTCAATATACACAGGCTAGCAGACTTTTTAGGTTTCGTATACAGTATATATAAATCATCTACACGAATCAAAAGGAAGATGTGTGGGTTGTATGAAATATAAGGTGATGACAGATCTACCTATTAGTTGCTGGAATCTCTATCTATCTAAAAAATAGATATTCTGATTTTCATTTGCAAACGAACGCATATCGCTGACAGATCAGGTACCTTCCAGCAATGACCAAATCAGTTTTATTTCCTAGGTATGGTTTAGTATATAAATCGTATCTGCGCCTTTTATTATCAGTAGTAGGACTGCAGCTTCAACGACAAGCATAACTCACGATATACGATATGTATAATGCTTACTATGTGATACGTATCTCGATACTCGTGTATGCTCAAAAGTTCGTATGTTATTTAGTAAAGCCAATGGTAAATATTTGTCCAATCAAAATATCTTTTGATGTCATTTCTGATATTTTCATTTTTGAGATTTTGATGAAAGATAATTGAATATTTTAGTACTTTAAGAGTATCATGATACAGGTAAAACGAAACAGACTGATATGATACACAAGACAGTAATGCGATACTATATATACGGTATATCGTTGAAGCCCTATTTAGCACGTATACGAGATAAACCTACCACAATGTAGAACAGAAATAATAGGTAATAATGAGGAATTTTCACAAAGAATGAATGATTTTGAATATCCAAACGATGAATCAATTGCAAATGCATGTACTATCGGTTCAATGACGTGAACACCAAACTCTAAATGAAGTAACCTACTGTAGAAGAATTTCTCAGAGCCTCGTTCCCACAGTTTGATCGGGGCTTTCATTGTTGTTCGGTCCAAAGCAAATAATTCTGCTAGGAAAACGGTCTGGTCTGATTCACATTCTACATAATCCTTGTCAATCACGCGCCTCTTTGACCGGAAGTGGCCGCTGTCGACTAAAACGCCCTCTAGGTCTGCATTCGACTCATCTACGATAGTTTCCTCTAGAAAGGAGGTACCATCGCGCAGAGACCGTCTGTTGATCTGTCATCAAAGCAACAGTTATTTACTTACTGGTAATGAGAACGAATACGTACTATTGGAATGATTGAACAGTGACAGATTAAACCAAAAAGATATTGAAGAAAAATAATGGAATCCATTTATCATGATTCTGGAAATGAAACATTCATTTTAAAACATGGATAAATCGATTACATCATAACCGTTTGACAACAATACCAACCACTCTCTGGATACCAGTTGCCCCGTGGACAGCTCCAGCGTGTTGAGGGTCCTCACCATTTCGACCTTGAACTTTGTACAAAAATACGTCCCTGTTGTGTGCAGAGGATCGTGCCGTGAGGTCAGAGGAAACGTCATATCTACCGGAAGTCATATTCCACAGAACAGCCCCGTCCTTCCCGTCTATAATGATGTCCTTTAAAAGAACGTTCATAATCGAAACAAGCTTGGTTAATGTGCTTTCTTAGAAGTCCACTCAAGCCCTCATTGGTCATTCCGCATTTCTGTTTCATATGAATTCGCAACTCATACATGGTAAAATGTTCGACCATATCTTAAAGCTTATGTTTGTTGTTGCTTTAAGTACTATTAACAGACAGGGTCATTTAAGGAAAGTCGGAGTTTCCGGAGAGAAGCCACCGACGTGCGGCCAGTACCTGGCGACTAACTTCACCAAGGACCGGAACGTAAGGTTAAGGGCTAGTGATAAAGACGACCAGATACCTTACACACCCGGTCACCACGGCCCAGATGTGGAGCGCTAGTGGCAAAGATAGCCAGAAGCCTCATTTGCTAGGCCACCGCGGCCCAGAGGCGGAGGGCTTGTGACCAAAACGGTCAAATGCCTCAACAATTCGGTCACCGCGACCTCTATTCTCTTTAAGGTGGGCGCATAAATATATTACCTGACAGAAATTAACAACATTCATGTATTAAATCATATTGCGTACATGCTATCTCCCCGCAACTGGATGAAGTGATTAGTTTTAGGACAGCGTTTTAAGAAAGCATAACTTACGTCCGTGGTATTGTAAAATGGCCATGCTCCCTTGCTCCAATGGACCATGAAGTCGATGACGTCATCGTCGTTAAAGTAACCAGGCGCCGGTGAACTGAAAAGGAACAAAATTATAGGCTATTTCACACTTTTCATTTAACCGAGATAGGACTATTTTACGCAGGTCACCATGAACATGTACCTGTAAGATTCTCTCTCCTCGAATTTTATTTTCCACATGACTTGTAAATTTTCCCCGTCGTATAGTGCCATGGTACCGTCAAATCCCGTCATCAGTATGTCATTGACGCCATCTTTGTTGACGTCCACCAGTACGGGAGGGACCATGACGCCTTTCTCGTCGCTCCTGTAAAAGTGGCCATATATACAGTAGAAACTAAATACGATTGTCATGCACATGTAAGTATTTATCTTAATGAAAAATGATATGCATTTCGATGCCATCATTTCTTGTGCTCTCACGAATGGATTGGGTTCTTGAGCGTTAGGATCATTTTTCTGTGTAGAAATTTCAAATTTTCGTCGTTGTATATAACTTATGTGTACAACATTTTTCCTTGTCATGAGTGCTGACGTGGTATTTTGTCCGTGCGTGTTGACGTTGTGTTAAAATTACCTTTGTTGCAATCTTGGTATGTTTCATCCAAATATGTTAATATTTGTCCTTATGTGTTAATATTACAAAAGCATGTAGTATATTTTGTCGTTTTAGTTTCGATTGTGGTATATGTGTATACGTTTTGATGTCGACATGTGTGAATTTGTCCTGGTGTGTTGGCGTGGATGATGCTTGGCGCACTATTTGTTCTAGTGTGTTGGCATGGATTATGTATAGTTGCATTATATTGCCCTTGTGTGTTGATGTTGTGGTTTAGATCTGACTCTTTTGTCAACTATTTCTGTACCTTTAGTCTTTGCTGACGCTAAGGTAAACTTTGGCCTGGTGTGTTTATTGACACTGCCGTATATTTCCCGCCTTCATGTTTGTCCTTATGAAGAAATTGTATATTTTCTGGCGTCAGTTATTGTACAATATCATTATGTTAACAATATGTTTCTCTTGTATGATATACATATACTTAGCGATGTTGAGACACTCTGATATAGAAACAATTTTCACCTCAATTTAACAGGAATTCGACACAGGAACTGTGTAGTGTGTTGACGTACCTGAACAACTCAATCTCGCCTTTGTCGCTTGGTGTTCGGAACCCCCACTGGTCGTACGCCCCACGTGTGTTCCGGACTAGACTACCCTTAGGGAGCCCCATAACGTGTCGGTACATGTCCGGAAGGGAGATAGCCAGAAACAACCCTATCAACACATAGTAAATTAAATTAAAACTTTTGTTTTCTTATTATTTATACAATGCAATGGATAAGGTGTTGATGAAAATAGAAACAAGGGATAGGTTGAAGAGATGGAATTGGAAGGGTGGAAGACGGGATATGGATTACGGCTATGGCTGATGGAATGGGGCTTACAAAGGTTGGGAATGTTTGGTAAAAATTAATTTCGAAATCCTGATACAGTCAATTCTATAATATATCCGACCTCCAACTGTCTCGCCACCACTTCCATACAAAATGTACTGGGAACCATCTCGTCGCTCATGTAGGACGGGCGAGATGTAGACTTCCTTATCTTCCGGTACCTCCAAGTGAGTTCCTATCGCCAAGCCCGTCCGTCCCGAGATCATCATCAGCCAGCCTGCATTTCTCACGTGAACCTGAAAAGAACAATGTATATATATGTCACTTCGACTGCAACAACACTAAGAGAAGGAAGAGTGCAGTAACAGGAATAACAGTGTGGTATCACTACGAGAAGAGTGTGGTGACAGTACAAATGACAGCGGTGTCACCAAAAGAACAGTTAGATTAGGCAGCATCAGGGTTAAGACGTTCAGACAGCAGTCGACAAAAGAGAAAAGGCAAGGTTAAGTAGTGTGTATTACTGTGGCAATACAGGACCGACTCTGAAAGGCAATGGCGGTCGGACTCCTCCAAGATGTCCTGTATACACCAATTGCGCTTTTTCGGTAAAAATTGCTACAACAGTATTTTGATAGTGCCAATAAAATCCACTTTACTCTCAGTTGAATTGTAAATTTATAAGGTTAATAGATAAATGAACAGACTTTTTCAGTGGTATACGCACTTCAGCAGGGACAGTGGGATCGCCTCCGTGAGCGATGACGATATCGTTTACTTTGTCGTTGTCCATATCGGGTATGACGGCGATGCTATATATATTCCAGCCACGGTTTACATAAGTAGAACTCTCTCGCCATAGAACGGTACCTGCAATGTAATAACTTCGTTAGCCTTGGTGTGATTTTGTTTGGTTTGTTTGAAGTTTGACGTTCACGTGAAGATAAATTTTGTAAGTAATCAGCTGATTTTTTTCATTTCGCTATTTTGTTTAGCATCGTAAGAAACGTCTAAATCTGCCTCCAGATAATGCATATATCAATGTTCAGTTGATATCTTAAATAGCAAAATCGGTCTTATAGAATTAAATATAAGGGTGTTAGCAAATCTTCAAGGCCCCAAATAGAAATATTACAATATCTCGCCTTTAGTGACGTCGACGGCCATTATGGTTCCTAATCTTCCGGTCGCTATACAGTCGGGTGTACCGTCCTGATTGACGTCTACGGAGTGACAGTTCAGACCAAACACCTCGGAGTATGCGTCCACCTTCCATAGTAGTTTCCCATCGTACCCTCTAAGGGCGACCACGCCACCTGCGCATGGCTCCTTCATACCTAGAATAGTAAGACTCAATGAATCTGTCCTAATGGTTTTGAACAATAATGCTTCAATAAGATTTACGAAGAATGTACATCCATCGATCTTAGAGTATATTTGTATACTACATTAAAAAATTAGCTGTCTTGGTATAGAAAATACATTTTTTAAAATCTAGAAAACTACCACGTGTCCAATTAACCATGCCCTGTGCCTTTACCGATATTTTTGCAGAACGTGTCCATGCTGGACTCGACGATCATCATACTGACGTCCTTGCCGACCGCTATTCCTGCAATGACGTCCAGTATACCGTCGCCGTCGGCGTCCACCAATCGGATACAAGATTCTGTACCTAAAAACGTCACCGTGGTTAATAAAGTGCTAAAGAAACACGCTGAATTTAACTAGGTATGAAAACCAAGTGTTGTTATACTAAACTTTTGACTGATTGCACTTACAAATGACACTCTGGTCGATACAGTGTTACAGAAACATGCTAAAGTTAACGAAGTTTGAAAATATATATATACATGTAATTCTCTTCACTAATAATCTCATATTTTTTCCTCTACAAGGTTCGAGAGGTTTATCTAGTGGCTTTACAGAACAAGGTTCGAAATGTTTATCTAGCGACCTCCACTGAACAAGGTTCGAAAGCTTTATTCATCGGCTTTACTGAACAAGGTCCGAAAGGTTTATCTAGCGACCCCCACTGAACAAGGTTTGAAATGTGTATCTAGCGATCTCCACTAAACAAGGTTCGAAATGTTTATCTAGCGACCTCCACTGAACAAGGTTCGAAAGCTTTATCCATCGGCTTTACTGAACAAGGTCCGAAAGGTTTATCTAGCGACCCCCACTGAACAAGGTTTGAAATGTGTATCTAGCGACCTCCACTAAACAAGGTTCGAAAGGTTTATCTAGCGACCTCCACTGAACAAGGTTCGACAGTTTTTTCCAGCAGATTCACTGAACTAGGTTCGAAAGGTTTATCTAGCAGCTTCACTGAACAAGGTTCGAAAGGTTTATCTAGCGATCTCTAATGAACAAGGTTCGAATGGTTTAACTAGTTAACTGGTGGTCTTGACTCAGCTAGGTTACAGTAAATGTGGACTTAACTTGAAATTACTTTGTCAAACTGACCTTTACTTTATCAAGTTGAAGTGAGATAAATCATCATAGTGATCATCAGAGGATTCGAGTAACTTGTCTTTATTACCATAGTCCGATAGCTTGGTTCTCCAGTCTGCTGTTCGCTTGTGTACTTTATGTTCTGACTCGGGAGATTGTCCGTGATGATGTTGAAATGGTAATGAAGATATGGGTGTGAAGAACCCTGCTATGTATCCAACTCCAACAGAAAGCAACATGAGAGCGAATATCGTCGCAACTGTTGTAGGAGAGCAGCAGTTCTCACGAGCTGAACCCTTATGTGAGGAACTGAAGACGTATCCGTTTCCATTCCGAAGTGTTGGGGAGGACCGCTTGGTGTCGCTTATACTTACTTCCGGGACAGATGTTTGGTTAATAACAAGGCTCTCTTTCTCATCGAAATCGTCGTCCTCGCTTTCACTGCCGAATGGCAGGAGATGGTTATAATCTGCACTTTTTTTACCTATTACGATAAAATTTATTGACCTCAAGACTGTCGCTGCCAATTTTGATGGGTAGAGAGACATTTACGGTAGATATTTATTAACATTATACTATATATGAATATCAAAATATATGCAATCCATTATTTCTGAATATAAAATATGGTAAATGTAATGTATTTCTAAACATACAGGGGCTATCGACAAAAACAGTACAATTTTAATAGATTATTTTGCTTTACAACAGACATATAAAAATTCGGAACAGTGCAGCATTCTTCCATAACATGTCACCACGCTGATGAAAAGAACCTATATCATTTTCCGAGATGTCAGTCTACGTTTGGCATTACGTCTTTAGATATATTTCATTGTAAGGGTTGAGGGGGATCTCCCAAATCTTCAATTAAACAATAACAGCATCTTGTTTATATGCATTTTGAAATTATTTAATTGATCAAACCGGCAAAAGTATCATAAATAACACTCAAAGACGAAGAGATAAGCATTTTCACAATGGTAGCCACGATTTGAATCTTTAACTGATGAACGAGCACGGAAAGGTTTCTCGTATTTGAGGAGACGACATTCTTACTTTAGTCTGATTTAAAGAATGTTAAGTTTCTGTCCCAATGACAGTACTAAATAGGAAGTACATTTCGTATGTTAAGGACAGCAGCGGAAGATAATGAAAATGTATAACCATTCAAGTCATGTGTCATATTTAGCGTAATAAAATGGACGTCAACAGGATGTTTTGTAAATATTTGATTTTGCATCGACTTTTTAAGAAATGAGTACCAATATATGGTAAATAAATGTACATTGAAACCACGTAAAGGGCGTATTAAAAGTAACATTAATCAATATATTTATGAAGATAACTATTTTTGTGTATGATTTGTGTTGTAATCGAGTACATATTTTTATTGGACCCAGTTATGGACAATTCTAGAAGTATGTTTGATCATTGGACATTGCTAATGGAGTCAGGAAACAAACGCCTTATTTATGTAATCCTTTCATATGGAATTTTTTAAAGGAATGAAATACTTCTGATTAACAACTGTTGATAATGATTTGGCTTGATGATGCATTTTCGTGTCGCAAAAAAAACAAAAAAAAAACAAAAAAAAACGAGAAAAAAAATCTCAAAATAAAATCCAAAATAAAGGGAACTCACCTGGCATTGTCTGTTTGGACTGTCTTACATATTCCGGTACAGGACGCTTTCTGGATGTACACTCTAATCCGGCTCTCTATCACAAGACTTCTGATAAGATAGCAAATACTTACCAAGATAGCAATCGTGTGGTCAAGATTGAGTGCTTGACCATGAGCGGTAGACATGTACTAACGACTTTTAATTCCTTTTACATAATATCAACATGTTTTAGGTCACTTTTGGTCTCGTAGATGCGAAAAAGGGGTGGTGTCCCTTCATATATTGTGGCGGAGATTATTTCAAGATTTTCTGTCACCAAAATCACGAAAAATCATTCATGATATATGCTAACCTGGGAATATTCATCAACATGTGGACACTTTAAGATTTATTACAAAACTTTCGCGATTAAATATTAAAAAAATGTTCTTTTACACAAAGCACTGTCGGTATATGGAATAATCTTCCGTCAAATGTTGTAAATTCAAACACTTTTAAGCAATTTTAAAATAAGATAGATGATCACTGGAAATGTCAACTAGAAAAAAAATTGTTTTAAACAATTTTATACGTTACAACGTTTTAAGGTAATATTTTCATTTCGGAGCTGACAAAGGAATGTAAAATTCTACTTTGTCAGAATAAAATCAATGTATAAATCAGACATCTCTGACCAGGAGAGGCGATACTGTTACTAACACAACAGAACCAATTCCAGGAAAAGTTGTTACAGTTATATACATGTAACGATAGGCTACAGAAAGTTTAATTTCATAATCCGAAAGTTACAGTAAAAGTTAGAAAGAACCTTACTGGATCATTTATAACGGAAAACAGTGCTACATTGTGAAAGAAGGGAGACTTTCCTCGAAATATTATGTTTTTATTTCAGTTTTTAAATGATTGGTGTAGGTTTGGCATTAAATCCTAAAAGACGATTATCTTTTATCTATAACCTTTATCTAACAAAGGAGGGGTGGGGCTGGATTGGAGTGAGTCCCACTTCATACCCTTACCTTTATTTTGGATCCGGTGCACGTGATGATCGTCTTTGAGCATGTTGTGTAGAACATGTCTTAAGTGCAAGGTCAGGATAGTGCACTTGATGAACATAAAGAACAAGTACTTGTTACTGGAACTCGTCTTGAGTATGAAATGAAACGTACGTTACTGGTTAATTATTGATACTTGAATTAATTAATTTGTAGAGCTATCAATTTCCCTTTTTACACATGAAGACGGAGTACAAACAGGCACACAGTTTTCTACTGTGTTTCTATGGCAACATGAAATTATGGAACTTGAAATTTTCTTTAAAGCATCAGTAAGTGAACAACACACGTTTAATCACGCGTGTACACACGAATAAATAGCACAGGTTGTGGGTTCACATTGAGTTCAGTTGTAAAATTAGATGACTATCCTTTTATAATACTATTTATGTATTCATTTAATAAAAAAGAGAAATACCTACAAAGTACATCCTGTTATATGGCGTTCATTCCTCTGATTACCACCCCGATTAAGAGTGACTATATGAATCTTTTGTTTATCCATTTGATGGCCCTAAAATTAACTTTTTATCTCCCCAAAACGTGATATGTGTATCTATAAATGAAAAATCATCACCATCTTTCACACCCGATGAAATCTTTGTATAAAGACGTTAACTTAGTTATATGTCCCGTCTAATCAGTACCATTTGACTAGAGTGAATTACAAATTTAGATTAATATTCAGGGATTAAATAGAAATTTCGAGAATAAGCCATGAGACATGCCTTCACTATAGTATATATAACCAACGTATACCCGTGCACGCTTTAACAATCACAATGTAGAAGTCCGTGTTCAATCTGTTAGCAATATAAACTACACTATATCACTTAAAGTATATGTTATATTCTATTTCCCCTGATTTTCTCCACCTCTCGAGTGTATTTCATTTCGTTTGTTTGCCTTTCACATACATAGTTAATTAGCAACATCCAAGAGCAGTATCTAATATGAATTTGGTATAGTTCGTAAAAAGTACATTCAGTTTTCATTTAAAACAGTTACTTTTCACTTTTATCTCACAATTTAGGAAATCGGTCACATTTGGATACAGTACAGGCACATTAGGCCTTTAAAACTACTGCGTTCATTCTTTAAATCAAATCAATTATGCTATACAACACGCCTACACAAATAGTTCAAATTAAAAAGAGAAAAAATACAAAGGTGCGCCAATTCTGTGTCCTAGATAAGATTTCAAATCAGTGCTTGAGTGAATATGTCTAATGTTCTTTAATTACACACTGGGCCTGACTGAGTCGCCACCTACACATGCAAACCAGGGAGGTAACTCGTGTAAAAACACTGTCACTGTGGCCTTATAACCTTGACCCCGAGGTGACCTCAAACTGACAGTCGTTGGGAAGATGTCGATGCGTCGGCGGAACAGTTTCTACAGGACGTTTAAGAACGTCATTCCAGAATATGATAATTATGTTATGGACAGAGGATTAACTGCTGCTGCACAAAACAAATGGGTTTTCGAAATTGCTTGGGAAGTTGCAAATAAAGGTAACGTTAATCTGCACTCTCGTGGTGTAATACACTGCATGTGGATTACAGCACTACTGAAGTGCTGCGAGTGTGACTTTGTACATGTCATGTGCGTGTTTTGCTTGATTGTTGGAGAAAAAGCTACAAGACCTATGAATATTGAAAAAAATCTTTACTGATTTTCTCTTTTGTCGGTTTATTTCTGTCGATGGTGAATGAACAGGCGATTCCACTGAACAAATTTAGTAGTCTGATAGTGATAGCCGTTCAGGACATCACAACAGATTACAGCCATCACACTAACGAATCGGTGGGCATGTGGATTTGATCCTTATAATTCAATTTTGAGTGAAAATGCGTCTGAAAAGTGATTTGTTCTTGGATTAAAAATGATTATACAGCTAACATACCACCCAGAAGGTCAAATCTGGAGTTCTCCAGCTTGAATATACTTCACAAACTGGAGAATGTTGGTCTTGCTAAATGCAATTACAACCTCATGCACTATGATATACTGATTTTAAGACCACATTACATGAGTCAAATGAAATAAATAACGATTTTTATGTAATTAAAAAAGTTCCACTTTGAAAAAAATTGTACCACATGCATGAATGTATTGACAAACAAGGCTGGTACCTGTAGTTGTTCACTGGAGTTTGCATTATGTATGGAATTAAAACTGGAAACTCCAGCTCAAAACTGAAGACTTTACAGGTATATATGGGATATGGAATCCTGTTGCACGAAAAATAAGACAGAGTGACAGATCCAAAACAAATTTGTATTTGCCCAACCTGAACTTTACACAGATACTCATAACACTCCTTAATGAGATATAAAGTATAATGTTGCTTTTTCCTGGAATATGTTTATATTTAGAATTAGCATTGTAAAAGTTGGTCCTTAGAATACACATACAACATTGAATGTTAGCTTACAGGCTTGTGGAAATTTCCTTTAGCATACTGGTAAGATTTTACTAGTATAGAGTTTGAGCAATACAAAGCTTGTGCAAGGTAATTTTTATTATTTTTGTTACATTTTCAAGTTTATTTATTTGTAAATGAATTGTTTATCTTTGTCGAGGATAAATATTTAAGTTTTTTTCCTCTGAAACCGTGACTCTTATTGGTAATGTTGTTCAACAGTTGGTGGCATCTACACTGTGATAAAGTCAAAGGCACCCGTAACTGTTGAGGAACTTGGAGAGCAATACTGTTTACTTGGACCTTACAATGAATCATGTGTCAGGACAGAGGTGGAGTTGCTGGAACCGCAGAGTCATATGTTCAGGGAGACTTTACAAACTCTGCGAGATGCTGGCATTAAGGTGCTTTGTTTTATTGCTCAAAAAATTATATATTACAATCATTATAGTACATAAAAATATACTGCCAGGAACAAACTGCTTTATAAAGCTAATTTCATCATCATACATTTGATTTTCTAGTATAAAATTTTGTTTTAAAAATTATGAAGTCCATTGAGGATCTGCAATTACAGAATAGACCATGTTTAAAGTGATGTGATGATCAGCTCAAAGCCATCATAGTAAACAAACAAAAAAGTGCAGTCACTTTGAATGCTTGTAAGAATAATTCTTCAACACTAGAGCTTTTTTGGGGACCCCATTGGTCCATGTAAAGTCAAACATCAAGATTTAATTGTTCACTACATAGCAAAGAGCTGAACCCATGATATATAGAAACTCCTCCCACATTTGTGAGCCCACCATCATCAAAAGTAACAGTAATGAAGAATTGGTTTCAGTTTGTATTGAATTTAAAACTTAAGTTTATTAACAGGTTTATTTCGGAAGATGGCTGATTGAAGGCTATCCTAAAGTGGTACTTTTTGACATTGGATCTGCTGCCTGGAAATTAGATGAGTTCAAACATGAATTATGGGAGAAGGCCAACATAGGAATACCTTGGCATGACAGGGAATCAAATGATGCTGTCATATTTGGAGCTCTAGTTGCTTGGTTCATTGGAGAGGTATGTTGTTATACAAATATCTAAATTTCTCTGTCCATTTTTTACCTTCTGTTATTATAGATAATTTATCTTTTCTTTATAGATAATATATCTTTTTGCTATAAATTATTTATTTATTTTTTCTTTATAAATTATTTATCTTTTCTTTATGAATTATTGATTTTTGAGTACTATGCACCCAGTTTATTATTTCCTTCAAGTAATCTTTTGATGACAGATTATCTCAGAAATTTATTTCATTGCTTTTTGACACAACATTTGAAAAAGTATCATACCTGAGAGCATTCTCTATTTTCAGGAAACGATGGTTTTAAAATCAAACATGCAGTAAGAACTTTAACTTTATAAAACTGCTTAGACCTGTTTGTTACCTGCATTATGTTTTTTGTGGCAGTTCAGGAAGAATTTAGATGATAATCCTCTGCTGGTTACACACTTCCACGAGTGGCTGGCTGGGGCAGGATTGATATACCTCCGTACCAGGAAAGTGGACACTGCTACCATATTTACTACCCATGCAACCCTGTTGGGGCGATATCTGTGTGCTGGTAACACAGATTTCTACAACAATTTAGAAGAGGTAAGAATGGCAGATTTTTTTTTTTGTTATGGTAACCGATGGTGTTTTAAACATAACAACTCAACCACTTTAGTGAGTTCAGGAACCAGGATTTATAAACATGATCATAATGATCTATAACCCTGCATGTGAAACTAGACATACTCGTATACAGCTCACATATTCTCCTTTCTGTCATGTTCAGTTTTTTAAAATGTCTGACTATCATCTGACAAACTCCTGCCAACTAACCACTACACAAACACAATGACACAACAACCTAACCAATTGGAACACAAGACAAATACAATGACCAATATGATGTAACGAGACACTAACATCATTTACAAAAATCACACCAAGGAATATGGATGCGCAATGAAATATGCACAACAGCAAAACAAAAATGTGGTGAAATTAAATAACAATCAAATGAATAACATACAAAATAAAATGAAATATCCATCCCTCCTACATATTAAAATCATATCCTGTTTTAAGTTTGTGAAATATAAGTGCAGTACAGTCTTCTCTAGTGTATATGAGATAATTGGTAACATCATATGTAATCTATGTTTACAGTTTAACCTTGACAAGGAAGCAGGTGACCGTCAGATCTACCACAGGTACTGTATGGAGCGGGCAGCAGTTCACTGTGCTCATGTCTTCTCCACTGTATCAGAGATCACTGGTATTGAGGCAGAACACCTATTGAAACGAAAGCCAGGTAATTCACAAGGAAAACTTAGAAATAGATTAGTAGTGTTTTGATAATATCTACCATTGTATGGCATTGCTATGATGTATCCTTACCAAAGTCAGTTATATATTACCAGTTCATGAACTGCCCACAGTGTAGGGATATTGTAAGTGATGTAAGCAAACTGAGGTTGTTATCCCTTAGGATGAGATGAAACTTAAAATATGGTAAATGTAAACATTGAACTGCTGACAGGATAAGGGCAAATTTAATGAAGCATGTTAGTGCTTCGTGGTGAATTTGCATTTATCTAACTGGCAATCACAATTTATGAATGGCAACTGAAAGCAGCTCAATGCTTAATTATATGGTAACCATTGAATCCCTTTTTAACAACAATTATGATGGACTTGCCATATCTATGGCTTACTTTCACCAAATATTTTAAGACATACTTTATATGTTTAGATGATGAGTTTTTATTGATATTTCCATATCAGTTGTGCTCCTAGCAAATGGAAGATGACTATTGACATATAGGAATCATTGTCTCAATGTTAAAGAACTAAAGGTTATATTTATAGTTTCAATATCTCTGTTATTAGCAATCTTGGATTTTCAATCAGTGTCTTTTCGGATAATTGTCAAAGACTCTTTCAGATATCGCTGAAATTTACCTGCAATTTTACCAAAGTTCCTAACTCAAGTTAAAACAGATAATGCTCATTTCATGGGCGGTTATAGCCTTGGTTTCTGAGGTATCATTTTGAAAGAAGTCATAAAACCTACCTTACATGAACCCTAACTATATCTGTAGGCACAGATTACAAAACTGCTGTAGTCAGATCTTTATTACAACTGCAAAGACTTGATAACTTTACTCCAAAGCTTGTACCAGTGACACATGGAATTCTATTTCATAGTATTTAATAAAAAAAGATTGGATAGTCCTTGTTATTACATGACCATATTACAGATTGCAAAATATACTTAAAGAATGTTTACTTTTTCATTTATTCATGAAAACTTGCTAGTAACTGCTTCATTCCTAAATGCACTTATATCTTGTCTGATGTTGGTGTTTTAAAGATAATATTTCAAAATAGAGATCTACTTTATATCAGTCTTAATATAGCATTGATTTGCTTTGTTTTTCAGATGTGATTCTTCCCAATGGTTTGAATGTTGTCAAATTTAGTGCTATCCATGAATTTCAAAATCTTCATGCAATCTATAAAGAAAAAATCCATGATTTTGTAAGAGGACACTTTTATGGGTAAGTGTACTTGTGACTAGTATGTGAAACATTCTCTCTGCTGCTCTCGGCTACTGGATTAAAAAAAAACAAGATTCTAAAATCAGTGTTGTAGTAAACGTTATTACAATACGTGCCATATTCTTTTAATGGAGTAACTTTATGTAAATTTGTGCATAATGCATAATGTAATGCTACATTCACCAAGAAGATGTTTGAGAACTCCATAAACTTTGAGATCAAATTTTTAAAATATATATCTTTGCAACTAATATTGATAATGAAAACAGGCTAGCATTCTGTGATTTTGTTTCTTGCCAATAGACTGGGGGTATTAGATTATTCAGTACAACTAAACAAGTTACAGTTTATTTTACATTTTGAATTCCATGTCTTGTCTACTGAGTTAATTTTATAGGAATGGCTGTTAATACAGGAAGCTGAGCAAGTAAATCATTTCATAGTTTGATAACATATTCCACTTACTGTCAACAGAAACAAATTGCTAATATTGGATGAGCTTTATGTGTACCTATTCTTTAACTTACACCATTTGTAAGGGTTTTATTTTGAGCTAGAGTGTATTTCTGTAATATATCAATATCCCATACATATGCTCTAGGATAGAATGCTTTATATTGGATTCTGAACTTTTATTTTCACTTTTTTCACAGACATTATGACTTTGAACTAGACAAGACACTTTATCTCTTCACTGCTGGGCGATATGAATTTTGTAACAAGGGAGCTGATGTGTTTATAGAAGCTTTAGCTCGACTCAACCACTATCTAAAGGTTAGTGTATAATGAACTCCACAACCATCTAATGGTTTATATGACTCTTTAATAAAACCACTATCCCTAACTTTGTTGGTGTGTACTGACTGATTGCTAATTCTTCACACACAATTTTTGAAAAATGTACTTTTCAATACATTAAACGTGTTTTATGGGTCTGCAAAGATGATTTTGTTGCTTAGCATTTTGTGCATCCTAGGACTGTTGCAGTGTACAATTTTAAAAGGTTTTCAACAATGATATCCACAATCATCATTACCACAGAAATTAAACCAACAATTCAAGTCCTCATATGATATATTTCTTCTGCAGAGTTGTGGCAGTGACATGACAGTTGTGGCATTCCTAATATTCCCAGCCAGAACAAATAATTTCAATGTGGAATCCCTCAGAGGTCAGGCGATCGCTAAGCAGTTGAAGGATACAGTTCAACATGTACAGAACCAAATTGGCAAGAGGATGTTTGAAATCTGTCTGAGGTAAAATTAATCATAACATATAGAATACAGGGAACAGTGGAATCCAAAGTCAACGTCATCACTTTCCATTTCCAAATGTCTGCTTTTTAACCACTATAGTGACCACTTTGATCTATATTTAGGTCAAATATGAATTTAATTGTGCATGATATTAAAAATTTGTTGGGATTGTGAAGCAAACCAATAGAAATGTTGTAAAAAAGTAATTTCATCTCTTTATTTTACTTTTAGAACAAAAAGACACGTATTTAAGGTTCTTTGTAGATTATTTTGGTTCATAATTCTTTTTTAAATGACAGACTTTACTAACTGTAATTTAACTGATTTAAATTTTACATCAAGGCATGATCTGATTTCTATGACAGTATGATAGGGAGACATGAACCTTTTTTTGATGAAAAGTGTGAACAATCTCACTGTGGGTGGATTATTGGCAATTTTCATTTCTAGATTTATCTCTACACCAACAATTGAAATTCAGATTTGTTTCAGTGGTATCCCAGAATGTTGATGACATCCCTTACATATAATATCACAAAACTATGTAGGTATCTGAATTACTCTACGTGATATTCAAATTGCTCTGCTTGGTTTTTAGAAATAGAAAATAAATTTCTGACCTGTAAGTAATTTATTTTTCAGGGGAAATCTACCAAAGGGAGAAGATATACTTTTACAAGATGATATTGTGAAGCTGAAGAGGTGTATATACACAGCTCAGGTAACTTTGTAAGCTTGTATAACTAAACTGATAGCTGTAAAAATCAACATAACATTTGCCTCATGCTTTATTCTCTTTCAATCAGTTCATGTGTAACCTGAAAACTTCAGACGAGGAAAACTTTAGATGAAGAACTACTCGTAGAAACAAAGACTTTAGCTAATCTTTGAATACTGACTGGAAAGGTTTAGTAACGGATACAGCAAACCTTGTAGGATTATATTGAATGTGTTAAACAGGACTGATAAACTGAAAACTATCTGTCCCTGATTCTTAAGGGGATGGCACTGTAATGGCCTTTAAGATGCCTGTGAGTGGAAAACATTCATGGTGATTGTATTTATTATTGCAATATATTTTTTTTTTGCATAAATTTGAAAATTAATTTGTTATTTACAGCGCCACAATTTACCTCCCATCTCAACACACAATGTAGTGGATGACTGGAATGACCAGGTTCTGTCTGCACTGCGTAGGTGTAAACTCTTCAACAATCGTGATGATCGTGTCAAGGTGCGTATGATTATGATATCAGAACTCTTCCTCTTATAGATATTCCTCTGCCCTCATAGCTCAGACTTACCTGAGATTTAAACCCTGACTTAATCTTAATGTCTGTAATGAAAATTGAGCTGTAATTGCCTTTAGATTGTAAAGAAAATTGTTAATTAAGTATTTTAAGTAGTATTGATATATAGGATTTTTGGATGTTCAATATAATTTTACAAAATGTCTTGGTTTTCTATGATCTTTCGACTCACCATTTCAAGTTCATTTGTGTACACATATGGCAGGTAATAAGGATGTCCAATTTTGATTGGAATAGAAAATATACATTTTGTCAGGTTTTACATACTTCTAAAATTTTAAGAATTCTTTAGAATCCTTAATATTCTAAACATACCAACTAACCATTTATATCAGACATTTAACATTACCCATGCTAATCATGTTGCTGTCATACGTAGGTGATCTTCCACCCTGAGTTTCTCAACTCCACCAACCCCTTGTTTGGTCTGGACTATGAGGATTTTGTTCGGGGCTGTCACATGGGCGTTTTCCCTTCGTACTATGAGCCCTGGGGATACACACCAGGTAGAGTCATTTACAACACTTAATTCCAGGCTGTGGTCACATAATGCCTTACTAAATAAAGATAATAAATGAGAAGTGCAGTGATTCCTGAATATATTTTTTTGTAAAGTAATTCTTTTTCTGTCTAATTAATAATTATTTTGTAATATTTATTCAACAATAGGATGATGTCTACTAATAAGCCCATGAATAAAGTTAGGATCAAATGCAATTTCATTATCCTGCAATGAAACCTGCCGACATTTGAAACAAATTTTGTATGTTGGCTGGGGCAATTGTAGAAAGAAAGAATGTTATTTCAATGTCATAACAGAATTAGTGCATATTGCCAGTTAATTCCCTGTTGTGAATTATTCTCACTGACATCAAGCCATAACATGATGATATATTATTATGTTTTTGGCTATATTAGATAGATATTTGAACCAGAATGAAATTATACTTTCAGCCGAGTGCACGGTGATGGGCATCCCCAGTATAACAACAAATCTGTCAGGATTTGGCTGTTTTATGCACGATCATATCGTTGACCCAAAGTCCTATGGGATCTACATTGTAGACCGACAGAAGAAAAGCTTAGAGGATTCTATACAGGAACTTGCTCAGGTACATAAAAAATTAACAGTGACAGATGACTTACATTGGACTGATGCAAATTATTGTAAAAATTGAATCAAATGCATCATAAAGCTGGTCTTGATGATATATTTGATTTTTATGGGATGTTACAGTTTGTATTTTAACTGTTGTATGTTATAGTGCATGTTTGACTGTTATGGGATGTTTTCATACATATTTGACTGTTATGGGATGTTTTCATATATATTTGATTGTTATGGGATGTTTCACTACATAGTTTACTATTATGGGATGTAACAGTACATGTTTGACTCTTATGGGATGTTTCAGTACATGTTTGACTATTATGGGATGTTTCAGTACATGTTTGATTATTATGGGATGTTTCAGTACTTATTCTTATTTTACTATTATGGAATGTTACAGTACATGTTTGACTTCACATGCTTGTCAAGGAGACAAAGGGTTATACAGAGGAACAGAACTGAGAGACTTAGTGAACTGCTAGATTGGAAAAACTTGGGTGTGGTGAGTCTCTCCTATTGCTTTATTTTTGGTGTCCAGCTCTACCTAAGTAGTATTGTATGTCTGGGCATCAGACTGTATGTAACTACCACTGTCAGACATAGCTAATAGTGACACTTAAGGTATTAACTAGGTCGTAAGGACACTATATAGGAAATGTGTCTGGTTTATATCTGTATTGTTGGCATAGGTTTGTATTCTAATGATTGAAGTTTATAGAACATACAATTATCAGAATGTCCTGATTGTTTTAGTGGAGCCTGGATCTGGAAAAAATGGTTGATAGAGATTATATCAAAACAGAACAAAGTAATTCAACAAAGAATAAAAAAATCACCATTTTCTCCTCACCATTTCTTAACTAAGGGCCAAGCTTTTTCATTTAATGTTTAGATATCAAATGTTAAGTTTTAAGTTACTCTGCACAACTCATGTAGTTCTCTCTGAGTGTTAGTGGTTAAGTCAAAATGACTCGATGCTAGATAAAAATGTATCCTGAATCAGGGGTCATAGACACAGAATCTTTGGAGACTTCTGAGGACTTTTGTTGACATTATATTTAGGTAGCAGCATCATGCTAGGTGGGCTGTGATATATAAAGACTAGTAATTCATCATTGTTTGGTGTTAAATTTACAGGCACCTATCTTATATATGGGAAAATCATCATTTCATGAGGGTTAAAGTATCTTATGTATACTATAGATCTATACAACATTTACTTACAGTACTACAGAAAAGCCAGACACATAGCAGTGACACGCACATATCCAGATGCTTTCGAGGATGCAGATAATTTGTCTGAGAAATCAGTGAGTACAATAAACCTCCATCACTAACTAATGGCTAAACAGGATAGATGTAATATTGTTCTACAGAATTACTTTATCTCTAGGAAAGATTGTCTTTTTAGCCCACCATCTATTCAAATAGATGGTGGGTTATTCAAATCGCCCTGCGTCCGTGGTCTGTCGTCCGTCCATCCATCCGTCCGTCCGCAAACAATTTTTGTTACAGCTATTTCTGGAAAAGTACTGGATGGATCTTTCTCAAATTTCATATGCAGGTTCCCCTTGGTCCCTAGTTGTGCATTGTACCTTTTTTGAACTGATTTGTGTTCAAGATGGCCGACAGGTGGCCATCTTGGATTTTGGAAGTAAAAGTTTGTTACCGCTGTTTCTGGAAAAGTACTGGATGGATCTTTCTCAAATTTCATATGCAGGTTCCCCTTGGTCCCTAGTTGTGCATTGTACCTTTTTTGAACTGATTAGCATTCTTAAGATGGCCGACAGGTGGCCATCTTGGATTTTGGAAGTAAAAGTTTGTTACCGCTATTTCTGAGAAAGTGCTGGATGGATCTTCCTCATATTTCATATGCAGTTTCCCCTTGGTCCCTAGTTGTGCATTGTACCTTTTTTGGACTGATTTGAATTCAAGATGGCCGATAGGCAGCCATCTTGTATTTTGGAAGTAAAAGTTTGTTACTGCTATTTCTTGGAAAGTACTGGATGGATCTTTCTCAAATTCCATATGCAGTTTCTCCTTGGTCCCTTGTTGTGCATTATACCTTTTTTGGACTGATTCGAATTCAAGATGGCAGACAGGTGGCCATCTTGGATTTTGAATGTAAAAGTTTGTTACTGCTATTTCTTGGAAAGTACTGGATGGATCTTTCTCAAATTTCATATGCAGATTCTCTTTGGTTCCAAGTTGTGCATTATACCTTTTTGGACTGATCCGAAATCAAGATGGCTGACAGGCAGCCATCTTGGATTTTGAGAGTAAAATCTTGTTACTGCTATATCTGAGGAAGTACTGGATGGATCCTTCTGATATTTCATAGATATTGATTTCCCTTGGTCCCTAGTTGTGCATTGTACCTTTTTTGGACTGATTTGAAATCAAGGTGGCCTACAGGCAGCCATCTTGGAGGTCGACAGTAATACAGCACAAGCATATTGTCCATTATCCACCTGTAACTGACTGCTATCTAATAATACTTTGGGATCTTTTTCAAATGATATTTGCTAATAGGTGCTTAATAAAAATATCTTGTGCCATCATTGAGTACATTCAATGAAGACCAGTTCATGAACATTTACAACACCTGTAACAAACAAAAAAAAAAACAACAAATCTTCAAGAACTGAAAACAGATCCTGAAATGGTGGGCGCCAAGATCCCTCTGGGATCTCTTGTTTTATTTGATTTTGTACAAAATTTGAACTGATGAAAGTCTCATTAAACTTGCAGTTGCTTAAGGGTTTTGATGTGTGTCAGTTTGATACAGAATAATTCAGTGATTTGATGTGATTAATGAGGCCAGTAAATATACTGGTATTATTGACACATTAATTTATAATTAATAGAAATTCAGTAGTAAACAAGAGAAAATCCTAAAGTCAGTCATCCAAATTTGCACACATACTTTTTCACTACTTCTTGAGTCAATTGCAATGACTGATATGCAGATCATTTTTATTTATATACTACACTTACACTAGTAAGTAAATAAGTTCATAAGTGGAAAGCTCCTTAACCTGAATATTTTGAATCTTTGTTTTTTTTTTGAGTAGGGATGGGGGAGGGGGGTATTTGATGTATTAAATAAGGTTATGATAAAAGAACTCTTATCCCATGATTGCCTTGTTATTCAAGGAATATACTAGACGGATGGATTACTTTTGTGTATTACACTTGGGTAATATAACATTTTGTGGCGTCAGGTCTAGAGAATGACTTCACACACAAACAGATTGCATTGGGATTTAGCAATTGAGACTCACAGACATACAACCTTAGAAATGTCTATTTTCTACAATATTTGCCTGACCCTTGATCATGTGCTAAAAAGGATTGTAAGTCTGTTTTGATTTGATATGTGATTTATGAAACCTGCCACATTTTGTTTTTATTTTAGTTCACCAATAATAATATTGAAAATATTTAGGTTTATTTCATCAATTGCATATGAATTTATATGTTTGTATTATTGAAATGTAACAATATTCTGGTGTGTTTAGATTTGTATGTGGTTGTGTAATAATCAAAACACTCTGTTTGTAGGGGAAGAAATTTATGTATCCAAAACCAGCATCAGAACCTCCATCACCATCAATGTCAAGGTCATCTACTCCAGTTCCCTCAGAAACAGATGATCTGGATCATGATGATGACCATCTAGAAGATGATGATGAGGAGGATGACTTTGATGAAGATCCAGAGGCTGACCAGCAGAAATAATGTCCCAGCATTAAGGGAGATAACTACAGTATGACAGATTACAATAATTACGGACAAAGCAACACCAGATCTGATGTAGTGTTTTTAGTGTTACTGGTATAGCGTACAGTTAACTCTCAAACACGGTGTGTTTTCTTTAGCTAGTCTTATTGATGTTCAGGTAGACAAACCTATTGTTATTTCTAAAGTCTGTAGAAAAATAGTTTTAAATAGATCACCTTTCAAGAAAGATTTTCAACCATAATAATATTTTCAATACATAAAGGTTGATAGGTCAGGTCTGTTGAAATCTTTTTATCTCATATAAATAAATAGAATTGTACCACTATTTTTATATTGTATCATCAGATATCTGAAACTAAATATTGATGATAATGATACCGGTAATAACATACATTTTGTATATGCACACATTGCATATCATATGACTGTTAATTGTTATAATTTAAGTTACTGGTTGTTAATAATAGAATTTGTTTTCATTACCTCATTACAGCTATTATTCCAAATGATTTGACAGGACATTTTAATGTAAAATATTTTATTCTAAAATCGGACTCTTTTCTACTTTTAGCAGTTTCTTTTTAAACAGCATGTTGTCCAAGCTTGAATTTACTTTGGATTGAAGCACGTCAATTTCTGAGCTGGATATGTTTTGATAGCATCTTGAAGGTCAACCAAAGTTATTTAAAAAATTGAATATCTTTATAAACTGATGACCTCAAAAATTGCAAATGCTGGTGATCTTCACTAGAGAGTAAATATACCTAACACAAACTCCCAAGAATCACACACCCATTGAATTCCACAACAAATTTATGAAACACCTTATAGCTTGTATGTTCTGTGCACGTAGATTCAGGATAAACTGTGTGTGAGGTAAATAGCCAGGTTTTATAAACAAAAAATGTTTATGTTATCATCAATATTTATGTTTTACTTTGTAATGATAAATATTCGTATTTTGCTTCTATTGTGCAATTCACAAAAGCCTAATTCTAGAAGAATATTGCATACTTTTAGTCAGTTTCTCTCAATTACATTGTCAGATATTTTTTTTTATGAAATTGAAGTCAAAGTTGTTGACTTAAATAGACTTGGTAAAATGTTTACAATGAAGAATTTAATTTGACATTATCTTGAACAACCAGAGTTAATACCATAGATTTGGTACTCTAAATAAAGAATGAAAAATAAGTTGATAATAAAGATGAAATAAAACTTCTTTGAAGGATAAACAGATTTAAAAGAAATGAAATCCAGTTTTAATGAACCAAAGAAACTTTATAGTTGTCAGCAGTTTTCGGAAAAAAAATTATTTTTTGCCAAAAAACATGTTTACTTAACATTATGTTACAAGAGGTTAGAGTATACAGTGAGGTTTGTTATATATTGATTAAGGAGAGATTGATAATCTGTCCGAATTGTGAATATTTTTGATGAATGCTAGTATGTCCTTTCCTTATAAGGCATTTGTCACTAGTTTTGGACAAGAGTAAGTATTGATGTTAGAAATGTCTTATTTTTTCTAGGGCAGAATAGGCTGTTCTGTTACTTTAAGTGCTGGAATGTTTAAAATACGTGTCAAGATTTTTATCTGATAGAATAAGAAATCTGCGACAATCATGAGATATGCATGAGAAGTTGAGTGTTGTGGATAATGCATGCTTTAGATGGTACTGGTAACACAAAAGTAGTGCTGAATTGAACGACTGATTTCTCTGAATGAATGCAGTCATTATCAAATGACTTACTGGATATATATGTAGAAATGTGTAGAAGTATACTAGAAATGAAAACCAGTTGTCATTGAAATGTACTGAAGTTAATAGCTGTTTATGCATCTTTGTAAAAGCAACCAAAGAAATAGTCTTGAATCTTAATAACATAATGGATTGGATCTTAATGGCTTTCATCATCGGTCATTTTGTGTTTTGAAATTTCTGTCAGTGTGATTTTGAAAATTTTAAAGTCAAGATAATTCAGGTCACATATAATCACTGCATTGTTTATTAAAGATTTTATGATGAAATAGTTATGTATGAGCCGACTGCAGCTTTCAATGTAGGTTAAAGTTCAATTTCTTAGAGGCAACACAGACATGTATAATACATATATAATATACCGGTATTATAAAGAGAGGTCCTTGAGTGAACTGAATGACCCTAGGTTTCTTCCCTCAGATGTGAGGATCCTTTAGAGAAACCTTTTGATTATCTTCACATTATTGGTCCTGATAGAAAAGTGGATAGCATCCATGTACTTAATGACTGAAGATTGCCTAGGGTAACACTTAGGGGAGATAATTCAGTTTTGATAAGTGAATGAAATCAAATATTCTTACCTATGCATTAAGTATTACTGCAGTTGTCTTTGAATATGGCTTATTGAACAAGCTGGTATATATGTATAGCCTTTTAAATTATACATAAAAAAACCATTTTCGGTAAATTTCGAACAGGAATCCTCTCAAGCCATTTGCTAATAATCAAGGTTTATCAGGATTTTGTTTGTCCAGGAAATAAATGTGAATAACCTGAAAGAACCTGATTTTACAACATATGGGAAATATGAGAAATATTGCCTTGTCTGGAAAAATGGGAAATATTGCCATGTCAGGAAAAATGGGAAATATTGCCATGTCAGGAAAAATGGGAAATAATGCGATGTCAGGACAAATGGAAAATATATTTCATGTCTGGAAAAATGGGAAATATTACCATGTCAGGAAAAATGGGAAATAATGCGATGTCAGGAAAAATGGGAAATATTGCCATGTCAGGAAAAATGGGAAATGCGATGTCAGGACAAATGGAAAATATATTTCATGTCTGGAAAAATGGGAAATATTGCCATGTCAGGAAAAATGGGAAATAATGCGATGTCAGGAAAAATGGGAAATATTGCCATGTCAGGAAAAATGGGAAATATTGCCATGTCAGGAAAAATGGGAAATGCGATGTCAGGACAAATGGAAAATATATTTCATGTCTGGAAAAATGGGAAATATTGCCATGTCAGGAAAAATGGAAAATAATGCGATGTCAGGAAAAATGGGAAATATTGCCATGTCAGGAAAAATGGGAAATAATGCGATGTCAGGAAAATGGGAAATATTGCCATGTCAGGAAAAATGGGAAATGCGATGTCAGGACAAATGGAAAATATATTTCCATGTCAAGAAAAATGGGAAATATTGCCATGTCAAGAAAAATGGGAAATAATGTGATGTCAGGAAAAATGGGAAATATTTTTTATGTCTGGAAAAATGGGAAATATTGCCATGTCTGGAAAAAATGGGAATTATTGCCATGTCAGCCAAAATGATTAACATTGCTATGTCCGTAAAAATGGGAAATATTGCATGTCCCATAAATTGCTCTGTGATATTTTTTTGTTGGTCAGATTTGTCTGTTATGTCTTGTAACTTGACATTGAAAAGTACCATTTCTAGAGAAAAAGGAAAAAAAAGTATTAACCTGGTATTTTTTTGATAGAAAAATGATCTATGTTGGAATTTTTTATTGTTACACTCTGTTTACCACTGTTAACCAAATACGTGACACATTTCTTATAAGATTAGGTACTGGTGTTAGATCTTGTACTGATCGAGCGACTGGTATGTTTTTTCACCTCATTAGTATATACAATAAAATATTTTCCTTGTGCACAATATGTGGAAAGTTTCCATTACAAATGTTTGATAACTTAGTTTTTGAATATCTAAAATGATTACAATTTGTTGTCTGTTATATTTGCAATATCCATAAAAATTATTGTTGTGTTTGAGTATAAAGTATAAAGCAGAAATGTTATAAAATATTTGTTTATATGAATGATATATAATGATATATGTGAGTGAAGATATTAAGGTTTATTCTAAAGACAAACAAACCTATCAGTAATTTGAATCTCGCTAATTCAGCCACCATTAATCCAGGTGCCTGGGGCTTTAGCAGAATTTCTATATTAGGAGATAGTCACACAAATCCAGCAATTTTTAACCCCACCCCGTCTCCTCAGATTATTAATCTGGGTTATTCGAGACCTTACTATATTATTATGCAAATAGAATGTTTGTTTATAAATTGGTTGAATGTTGGTAATATTCTATGTTTCAACCAAGATAACTGATTACTGTCTTGGCAATAATGTTAGATGGGGAGTATTGGTAAAGAGTAGCACCAATGTACTGTATTCTTCATTTATCTCACAATTAAAAGGTGGGCAGAGTCAAAAAAGAAGATAATCTCCCGACTAATTGGGATGAGGTTAAACATGACCGGTCATTTTTATTGAACCATAGCAAAAATGATTTGTTAATATAGTTGATTAAGTGAGTTCTTTGTCTTACGTGAATGAAGTTCTAAGCACAATGTTAATTACATAAGGTTCAGATGATTTGACAGATATGAATTTCCACCAAAATGGAAAACATTCTGAAAAATTAAATGTGCAGAGATTATAGATTTTCAATATATGTTCCAACCTTACAGTAATGTTGAAGATTCTTGCCTAGAGTTATTTTCTGTTTTAGATGGATACCACTTGAAACAATAAATTGAAACTCTTCCATAATACCATACCTGATCTGATTTATGCTAAGATAAGATGGTAAATATATTGGTAGATTTGACCCTGTGATCCTGAAGCCCTTGATACAGTTTTTTTTATCGTACAATCAAGATGTTGTTTTACCCACAGGTTCATGTTATACTGTAATGATTTAAGAAGTTCTGTATAAGATAAATATTATTTAATATACAGACACAAATGGACTTAAATTTAAGACTAACAAGTGTCATTAATTCAGAGCTGTGAGATTATTCTTTCATATTCCCAAAAACTGATAGTGAGTACATGTTTTAGCTGTTCATTAATACTGCAAATGGTGATATTTTATTGTCTTGTAATAAGCCCACACCTTCATTTGGTTTCAGAAATAATGTGTTGATTATCAGGGCCTACATCAAGTTATATGAATATTTTACTATTTTAAAATCAAAATATCATTACAACTAGTCAAAACTGCTGTTTTATTGGCTATATATCTGTCATTTTGTGAGCATAATAAACAGAGTCATTTCTTCTATATTTTCTTTCAAGCTTTAATATTTGATTCCACACTTTCATACACAACCATTATCCTACAGAAGTCTTTGTATGACATACAGACATTGTCTTTTATGAGAGCTTTAGAAAGTCATGGATATATTAAGTAAATACGAAAAATATTGCAGAATGAGAAAGTTTTATGTTTGTGTTATGTTGTCTGAGAGAACTTTAACTTTGTTGACTATCAATTCTTTGTATACAGAAACAGTTGTCTTTGTGTTTATAATCATATACCAGTCTACACACAAGTCAAGTGTTGTAATGAATTTTCACTTCAGAATGATGTGATTCACCGACAGATTGAAATACTGTCTTCTTTAAAGATACCACTGTTGTTTAGCAAACAACAGTCAAGAATATAGAAAAACAAATTGAAAGTTTTCCACAGATGTGATGCATTCCATCTTATCTTGCACAATACAGCAGTGAGCAGTTGTGATGTGTAGCAGCCATCTGTTGAACCATATTTGTCCAGGTTTCAAGTGCTGCAAATTCTGCAAAAAACAAAAAATATAAAAAAGGGTTGCTGTACTTGATGCTTCATAGGGAAAAGTTTTATTTGTTTTGTTGAATAAAACATACATCATATATGCCTCCCTGTTATCAGTGTTGTGACACTACCTTAATATGATTTGAATGATGGACACAGATTTAATGTCACTGAAAGGAGCATTTTAAATCTAGTTACATCTGTATATTGTAATTGGAAAAGACATGGATTCATCATTGTTCTGTTAATTCTTATCTTGAGTGTATCCCTATAACTGTATTTTCATTCTTACACCAACAAACTTGGTAATTGTTTTTTGAGATAAAATGGGCATTATGTTTCAATATCAGCTTGGTTTATAGAACATAAATATGAAATACAATATTATGTAATTATTTGATTAAATTACAATATTAAAGGCATTGTAATAGATCTTACAACAACAGAGGATACATGTGATACTGTAGTGTGTGCTGTGATTAATGGATATTATTATCACAGATATACAGAAGAGTATTAAATGTTAAAATTGGTATGTGATGATAGTATTATGACACGAGTGTCCTGGTTTGTTGGTATGACAGATATATATTTTCAAAGGCGTGTTGTCGGATATACTTCCCTTGCCAGTATACGACCACAAATAACACTACTATGGTACCTATAATACTTATAACATATATATATCCTATTTACTATTACTGAAGAGCATGTTTGTGTGTTATCCTTTAACCTTCCATGTATACCCAATACTTCATTAATCTCTAAATTAAAAAGTGCTGGCATAGCTTAAATCCTTATAACATTTGTTTGTCTTTATTTAAATATTTTACATTTCATGAAATGAAATGTTTGAATTGATGACCACTGAATTCTTTCTCATGTAAACTGGAGTTACCTCCCCTCATCAGCTTTGCCGTATTAGATCATAACATGGAGGCCCCTGATAATTGTGTGTCATTTGTGTATAAACCATTAGTAAGATGAGTGGTCTTGTAGCCTTATTTAGCATTGAACTGTGGCATTTATGGTCAATGTAAATGTTATAGTTTTGCAGGCAAACATGGCATATTTTTGCAAAACTTTTATTCAATACTTGCATTCCACTTATATGTAGCACTCCTATACTGCTCATAACTTGATTTGACCACAACTATGTTACTTATTGAAATAATAGAATCTTATATATATGTGTTCATGCTGGTTTAATTTTTAAGCCAAGAGCGGATATTCTGTAACAATATCTCATTAGAGGCCCAGCTGAGAGTGTAACAGGTGCTATAGATTTCAGATTCATATTTTTCTCTCTAGCCACACTAATGTCTGTTGCAAAACAATATACATGGCAGGCAGGGTAATAGAGTTATGATACTGTGGTATATATTAAATACATTGTAACATATAAATAATTTTACAAAGATTATATCTTTGAAACCATTGAGATTGACATCCCACAACTTAATAACATTTCTGGACATTAAGAGATTAACAAGTGATCTCTGCTCCCACCTCTAGGGAATTTGAAGCTGTATATGTGGGGTGAGGCTCATGAGGGGAAACATTTTCCTTCTAAAGAAATATTAAATTTTGCATTATTGACTTATATATATCCAGGTGAGTGATACAGGCACCTTGTAATTAATTCATGCCAGAACATTAACATCCTCACCGTAATTTTCTAATGGAAATTTGCCCAGTTTGCAATAAACTATGAAATTTGGTGCACTATTTCGAAAATGTAAAATTTTCTTATGAAATTGCAAGTTGATTATTTTTCAATTATACTTACATTTTCGAATCTCCAGATTTCACAGGCTTATACATAGGTATATCATTAAATTTTCTTAATTAAGTCATAACAAAAGACCATGGATTATTTACTAGTTTATTCAATTACATCATTACAATGGAATGTTATCACATTTGATGGGTTAGATTGCTAGCCATAGTAACGTAACTATCAGAGTGTGATGGAATGTGACAGAGGAAGAACTTGTACCTACAAGGGTCATACAGTATTAGTAAGGGATGTGACAAACAGCACTAAAGTACATGACAAAAGTAGAAATTAATTCATATCATCACAAGGTGAATCAAGTCATGGACAACATATACAATTTTGAAACGACCCGGCTGTACATTTTCCATCATTTCCATGGATAACTGTCCATGGAAATTTCATGGATAATTTGGACACATGGATATTGTCCAGGAAATTTACAGGCATGTCCATAAAGCCCATGGATTCTACATGGACTTTGTTAATGGAATTCATTTTGTCCATGTATTTTCCATGGAAAACGTATAGCCGGAAAAATCAGAACATCACTCTCAGTATACAGGGATATTTAACCATTTCTGGTATACAATGATATATTGACATCCTTCAGCTGTAATTCTGGGTTTTCTCCTCATGTTTTAGTCTGGAAATCATTACTTCATCCAAAAGATCTAATAGGACTTAAAAATGATTAAAACTGATGTTTCAGTACCAGTGTAAATTCAAATATAACATTCAGAGGTATCTTAAAAACCCAAGGATTCCTCTCTCTCTCCATACACACATTTTCGCTTAACACACACTTTCCTTTCATAACATATTTTCTTTGCCAAAGTGCATGCCATGAAAAGACTGAAGGCTTGTTACAGACATTACATCATCTGTTAGCCTGATGTCTTCATACTATGCTGGTTGACGTCACAACTTAAGTTAGCACGATTGATTTTATATTTACCAATGAGATCCTAATATACCAGATCAAGTTCAATGACTAGTAAACATTCATCATCCACAATCTGGTGCATACACAACCTTTGATTTTGTAATGGCCTTCCAAAACTGCAGAAAGGACATGGTATATTTAGCAAAACTTTCAGATTTTGAATATGCACTGAAACCTGTATTAAGTAAACCTTCATTTCAGATCTAAGAATTTCGACAGAACTTGTGTTATCTGGATATCACTTACATACATCCTTCATTATATAGGCCCTAAAGAAATAGGTAACAAAGATCTGTGTAATGTGGACACTTGTATAAACCAGACCTTCATATAAAGGTGTTATAGTACACTTGCATAATTTTGAATGAGTGAATCGGGATACCTTTATAAACTCTAAATGAAAGCTTTGGTCGAAGAGGTCTTTATACACAGGTCAGTGTTGTTGGATAGTCATATGTCTATAACTATGCGACTAGTTAGGTTATCCGTCTCCTTGACTCTTCCCGTTGCGGGGTATTGTCTCACCGACAAATGTCAGTGTTGTAGTGATGTGCTGTGAGAGAGAGATAAGTATGCTCACCAAGACTATACGACCTTAGAAAAGGTTAACATCTATCATAGGTTAAATACTGAAAGTTTTGTACAGTATAATTAATCATAAATACATTGTATAAATGGTAAAGTACAAAAATATGGGTATACTCGTTATCTTACGGATAAACAATTCACCGAGGAATCACTGCAGTACAGTACACTAGATATTACATTATAAACATATACAATCATTGTAAATATATAACTATCTCGTATAAAAAACTCTTTGTCTTATGTCGACACCAAATAAACAAAAAATTAGCATCAAATTTTAAAATTTGTCGTTTTCCTTTACAATTTATTTACATAAAACATCTGTATTAGTTTAAATACACTAATAACTGATACTTATATGTTAGACAGAAACACAATATTGATCTGTATATATAAAAACACATTTGACAATATGATACTCTTGGCTGCCATATTAGCTAACACTCCACAGAGACAGGTATGCTGAAGTATATTTTTTAACCTGTTTTTCCGACAATAAACCATACTGTTTAGTACAGTCTACAACCAGTGTTTAACCACTGTACTGCCAAAATTGTCTCCTCTGATTCAGATGTACTGGTTCAGTCCCGTGGGCTTATTAGTGGATATCTTATGGTCTAAAAGTGGGGTCTGTTTCTGTGTTTAACAAATACTATGATTGATGTGTTACCCTGACAACCTGACTACTCAGCTTCAGGTGATCAGCTATACATGGATATAATTACATATAAGGACAACGTCCACACACAATAGGACGGAATGTTGACTGGTCAATCTCACATACCTTCTCACTTAACTCATAAACACACATCACTTTAAGAGAATTCCTTCATCCATTTCATAATTGTTTTATTCTCCATGAGAATTCATTCACACATTTCATCATTTTTTTATTACCTTACAAACATCAATCACACGCTTTAACAGGTTTTTAATTGTCCTATAGAGCGTTTTCATACATGTGAAACTATTATTAAATTATATACAAAGCTTGTTCTTAAAGTTATTTCATCATTCAACTTTGAATATTCCATCTTTTACCCATCTTTTACTGAAGGATGCTAACTCTACTTAAGAAACGCCATCTTCTCTAAGTTTATCCCCTAGTATCATCCTGATTAAATATTATTGGATTGCAATCCTTGTCTGGTAACAGGCCCCCTATGTTCTGTAAACTCTGGGGCAGTAATTACTAGGTATGGTTATGTAGATGGCACTGCTGGTAGATAGAGCTACAAATGCTTGGAATGACGCCATAATCAATAGAGATACAATCAATACCATTTAATGAGTCGGCTTAAATCTGATTTCCTTCTATCAAGATCCTATGATTATACATCCTCAGGTCACATGTCTACCGATAATCAGAATACTGCTGTATATAAAATTTTAGAATGTTATGTAACAGTGGGCTATTGGATTTTATAGAAATTTGGAAGAATCTAGGAAGCTCAGTTTGTGATCTTTCTGCCATCAACAGATATTTCAGATCTAATATTTTCCCTATAACAGTCAGAAAACCAAACAAACCTATAATGTAGAATTAAGTTTCTATCATTTTTGCGTGCATACTTTCCGTTACTTTTGTTTTTCACTTAATTTTTTTTTGTTTATTAATTTTGATGAGTATTTATTTTTAAATAAAAAACATAACGTAAATTCTCATATGATTTAATTTTCATTGCTACATGATACCAAGTAGAGCTGCACAAAAACTACAAGCTTGACAGTAATCCGCGTACAAAATGGAAGGAGTAATTCAATAGAGCTAGTTAATTAGTATAAGGATAGATAACTGTAAATATCTAGGGTGCCGTAATTCTATAAAAGACCACAACCACTTGGATAAGCAAAAAACAGAAGACAGAGTAATGAAATAATAAAAATGTACATTAATCTTTAAATTTATTCTGAAAAATTTGTTTGGAAAATTTTACTTAATACCTTCAAATATTTCAAATAACTTAAAAATTATTTGTTTAGTTAATTTTACAACTGAAATATAAGCACTGTCTACATTAAGTACTACTGGTGATTTAAATATGCACACAAAACTAGTTACATATAACTACTATTTAAGGCACTATCATAAATGGTTCTTCCAGCTACCTATACACTTTCCCTCTAAAAGTTTTACATACTATGACATGTCCAATTAGCCTTCAACACTCTATCCTGAGACTAGGTCTAAAGGTCATGATCATTTTTCATTTCCTGATTCTTAAAATCATTTCTTTTGGGGTGGGATAATGTATTTTATAGATCATACTAAATTACTTTTTTTCATACAATGAATTGGAATACAATTTAAAGCCACATATACGATGTGAAATTTCTTTAAAACTTTTCAACGAGTCCAATAATACTGCCATCTGTACTACATTTAACAGTCAACTGTCTGTAGATACAAACTCTGCAACAAAGTTTTGTGAGCAATTGCTAACAGTAAGGATTGTGAGTACCAGTAATCTGATTATTAAAGTATATAAAGAATATTAAATGTAACCAGATTTGTATCTCAATCACAACAGAAAAGTGACAATGGATTCTGGAGAACAAAAGATGTATTGAAATAAGAGCAGAATTATTCAGTTATAAAAGTAAGCGTTTAAACAGCATCTAAACAATGAATATATGCAGCATCAAAAGTTTATTCAGACTTAAGATGTTTTGTTTATGTATAAAAATGTGGATATATCAATCACCTATATTAGAGTATATACATTTATCTCAATATCAAATGAGACAGTTGCAGCTTCTTTTTATTCAATGCGCTATCACAAAATCTTTCTTTCACCATAAAAAAACACCTAGCTACAGAGCACAAATTCTTTTTATCACAATATGCACAACTAAGGTCATATATAAAAAAAACTAGCTACTTATATTTACTAAAAATGATTTTGAGCTGAAATGTTATTATTTCTTTATTCATTAAATACTAATTCAAACCTATATGTCTATCAGGTCACTTTTTACTAAGGTTAGTCAGTTCAAACATCTCATCATTTTTATGAATCATACTAGAGGTCCATATTTAATACATGCAGAGATTTAATTAATAATATTTACATTTTGAAGTCATAATTATAAGTGAAGTACTATCAAGTAGTTTAGTGTTGATTGAAGTTTCTTCATTGCTAATTCTGGAATGGCTTCAATATCATTTAACATTTTAAATTGTCTCATGTTTCACAAAGTAGAAACTAGATTAAAGGCGAGCATTAATTTAAGATTGATTCAAAGGAATTCATTGTCATATGAATGCAAATTCTTCTAACAGTGTTTACAAAAAGACTTGAAAAGGAAATGTGTTTATATATAAGTTTGATAACACAGAGAGGAATGTTTGGGTAATATATTTCACATTTAACTCTATTGCATATTACTTGTACGTTTTACGGTCAATGGTTTTCTGTAATGTTCTAAACATGTTAGACTTATTAAAATTAAAATATCATATAACAAGTTAAAATCTGGGATTAACAAAGAAATTTTACAATGAGTTCAACAATGAAATACTAATGGATGGAAATATGGCAGTTTATATATATATAGCTTTTTCTAAAGAAATGATAATATCAGTAAAACAATCAGGTATCAATGAGCTTGTCTAGAAAAAATGGTGGTAATGTTTGCATATGCTGATACACTAAGCTGGAGCTAAAGTTTGAACAATGGGTAAGCAAAAAAAAATCAATCAAATAAACAATACTGAATCAATTTAAAGTATACCTGATTGGTAACTACTGTTTCTATCATGATCAGCATAGAAATGAATAATGCAGTTCCGCAGCAAAGGTGGAGAAGTGGTCCTCTTACCAACCCTACAGTCAGATATTTCCAATCATTCACCAGACTATAAAATCAATGCTGACTACCAGTATATCACAGAAAAACATGATCACCGAGACTCTTGGAAGAATCATTAATCACAAGATTACATGATCACTGAAACCCTTGCAAGAATTGTGTATCAAAGGGTCCTATGATCACTAAGACCCTTGTAAGAATCATTAATCACAAGATTACATGATCACTGAGACTCTTGTAAGAATTGTGTATCAAAGGGTACTATGATCACCGAGACTCTTGTAAGAATCATTAATCATAAGATTACATGATCACCGAGACTCTTGTAAGAATCATTAATCATAAGATTACATGATCACCGAGACTCTTGTAAGAATCATTAATCACAAGATTACATGATCACCGAGACTCTTGTAAGAATTGTGTATTAAAGGGTACTATGATCACTGAGACTCTTGTAAGAATTTTTATCACGGGCTTTTTGATCATTGAGACTCATGTGTTTCTTCTTCTGTTTTAAAAGTAACTTTCTTTCCTTCCAGGGAAACCTTGTCTTTATTGATATTTCATGAAAAGATATTTCAAAAGTCATCTTCCATACTTTCAGTGAGTGATGTGCGTGACATCTGACTTGGTACCTCCTCTGGTACCTGTTCCTCCTCATCCTGCTCCTCCTTAGTTTCCTCTTCCACATTGAGATCATCTTTAGCCATGCGAGCATATTCCTCTAAATCAGGTGTGGCAGTATCTGTGCTCCAATCAACCTCCTCTCCCTCTGCCTCATCATTACCAATGACCTCGGTCTCCTCTCGGAATGACACATGCTTCAGACTACGAGATGTATTGGCTGATTCAGGGCGTAGGTCATCAGTGCTGATATGAAGTCCATTTTCAATGTTTTCAGTTTCAGCACTATCACCCTGATCAACATTATCCATTACCTGTTGGTCAGTCAGTCCATTCTCTGTGTGATTACCACCTGTTAAGTCACCAGAATCTGTTTCCAGGTCATCAGTGCTGACACATAGTTCATTTTCAATGTTTTTAGGTTTAGCACTACCACCTTGATTAACATTATCCTTGACCTGTTGGTCAGTCAGTCCATTCACTGTCTGATTACCATTTGTTAAGTCACCAGAATCTGTTTCTAGGTCATTAACAGTTGGTTTCACATCAGAAGATGCTTCCTCTTTATTTGCCAAATTTTCTGCAACATCTTTTACATCCTCCTCAATTGAAGCATTACCCACTTTTGTGTCCTCCTCCACAGGAGACTCAACTTTCTGTTCACTATCCTTTGAATCATTTTCTGCTTGCATATCATCCAAAATGTCCTCCCGAGACGTAAGGAAAAAATCCCCTCCACTTTGTTCATTCTCCTCAACTGTTTTAGTACTGGTAGCATCTCTATTGTTGTTTGTATTATCATCCTTATCTACATTTGAGTTGTCAGTCTTAGCAGTATCATCTACCATACCTGAGTTGTCTACCTTTGAACTATCAGTGTGTGCTTGTGGGTTTGGCAGGTGCTGTGGTGTTTCTGTAGCAGCACACCCCTGTGGCTCTGGTCTCTCCTCACCCTCCAACTTCTCCCAAACCTTCTCTGCAAACAGCTTTCTCTGAGTTGAGGCTACATGCCTCGGCACTCCATCTTTCTCCTGGAATGGCAGACTGAAACCTGTGGATACTTCATCACTCCGTGTGTCCTTTGGTGGTGCCACTGCTTTTCTGGGCGAGTTGGAGGATTGCTTGGGTGTAGGAACCCTTCCCCTGGCAGGAGCTGTACTAGGACGACTGTCCATGTTTACACTCTGTCCAGACAGTTTCAAATTTTTAGAAGATTTTTTGGGATCTGTCTGACTAACCCTATCAGAGTCAAGGCGGTAGGATGGACGGGGACTTTTATCTTCATCAGCACTAGCTTCCTTATCTTGGAAATCTGCACCACCAAAGGACTTGTTAGCTTTGTTATCAAAACTCTTTATTCCAGTATCGATAGACTTTTTTCCTTCTAACACTCTGTGTATCCTCTTTTTTGCTATTTCTGGTACAATTTTTGCCAACTCTGGATCTGACTTAGCAAGTTCTTCTCTTTGAAGTTGAATTTCTTTCTTCTGCTTAACTTCATGTTTACGTTTCTGCTGCAGCCAGTCTTCATAGGACATTCTCTGCTTATTTTCATGAGAACTGTCTCTTCCACTGGCTCGCCTTGGTGAAGCAGACGCATTGCGCTGTGGTGGAATAACTGATGCACTTTTTGGACGCTCTTTCATAGTGAGTTTGATGCGTCCTGCTACTGGTCGTTTGTAAATGAACTTAGAGGCTGGTGGGTGAGGTTCCATTCCTGAAGCGTTTGCCTGCCTTTGCTCTTCCTCTTTCATTCGAGCCATCTGGGGTGTGACTACCATGCTTTCCTGCTCAGCTCCTTCTTTTCCAGAGTTCCCTCCCTTCTTTGAAGGTGGAGCAGATTGTGGACGTAAAGGTTTCCCAGGGACTGTCAGCCCATTGACATTTTCTTGATTAATTCTTTCCTTTGTAATCCTATTTTCTCGGATTTTTTCCTCTCGTAATCTTGATTTATTCTCCTTTTGTTTTCTTTTCATCCATTTGTCAACATGCTTTTGAGACTCCAATTTCTTCTCAAACTTTTCATTTGCCTCCAAGATGAGCTTCTGTCTTTCTTCTTTTTTCTTCTGTCTCTCTTCTTTCTTCTTTTTTCTGTGATAAATATCTTTCTGTTTGAGCCAAGTTAGTAATTTCGGATTATTACTGTATTTGATGTGATGATCAGTGGGCTCGGCTGGTTCCTTGCCACGCGGAGATCCTGTTGCCTTGCTACTACTCGGGGTCCTGCTGCTTGGAGGGCTGTCATGGTAACCATTGCGTTGTAATGTAGAATCTACAGTTGATCCTGAATCCTTCCTTTTCTTACTTTTCTTTTTCTTACTGGAACTCTCACCATTGATGTCTGTTCGAACTTTCTGTTGTTGTTTGGCAGTTGAAGCAGTCGTAACATTTCTTATGGTATAGTATGTTCCATCCTCCATGGTCAAGTCTCGAAGTTCAGCTGCAATACAAAAATTGTCAACGTTAGCTCTCATTTATAACTAAAGCTGGAGTTTCTCAATTATTCTGTTTGAGGTTCTTTAATGAAAAACTTATCAGAAGACTGATTTGTAAAACCAACACAAACTACCCAATGTTTGTAAAACATATCCAAGTTTTTGTTTAGATGGAGATAGATACTAAGTTTAAGTAAGATTTTAGTCCCAAAAAAGTAAAACATCAGATTCCTGTAACATATTTTGCTTTCTTTTTTCATCATTCAAATTTATAATAAAATGAAGGTCAATTTCTAGTTCTTTAACTGACATAATGGCAAACATACAGTTCTGTTGATACCAAAATGCCTTTATTTACATTTCAACAATGAAAAATTTCTCAGTTAAGACAACTATTTCTGATCCTCTGTATAAGACCCTAACCTACTGTCTATGCTTTAACCCACTGCCTAAGCATCTGACCATTTGTTTTGTACTCTGACCAACTGCCTAAACCTCTAACTCACTGTCTAAGCCTCTAGCCCACTGTCTAAGCCTCTAACCCACTGTCTAAGCCTCTAACTCACTGTCTAAGCCTCTGACCCACTGTCTAAGCCTCAGACCAATTGTCTAATCCTCTGACCCACTGCCAAAGCCTCTGACCCACTGCCGCAGCCTCTAACCCACTGTCTAAACTTCTGACCCAATGTCTACGCCTCTAACTCACTGTCTAAGCCTCAGACCAATTGTCTAAGCCTCTGACACACTGCCTAAGCCTCTAACTCACTGTCTAAGCCTCTAACCCACTGCCAAAGCCTCTGACCCACTGTCTAAGCCTCTAACCCACTGCCAAAGCCTCTGACCCACTGTCTAAACCTCTAACTCACTGTCTAAGCCTCAGACCAATTGTCTAATCCTCTGACCCACTGCCTAAACCTCTAACTCACTGTCTAAGCCTCTAGCCCACTGCCAAAGCCTCTGACCCACTGTCTAAGCCTCTAACTCACTGTCTAACCCTCTAACCCACTGCCTAAGCCTCTGACCCAATGTCTAAACCTCTAAATCACTGTCTAAGCCTCAGACCAATTGTCTAATCCTCTGACCCACTGCCAAATTCTCTGACCCACTGCCGCAGCCTCTAACACACTGTCTAAACTTCTGACCCAATGTCTACGCCTCTGACCCACTGTCTAAGCCTCTGACCCACTGTCAAAGCCTCTGACCCATTGTCTACGCCTCTGACCCACTGTCTAAGCCTCTGACCCACTGTCTAAGCCTCTGACCCACTGTCTAAGCCTCTAACCCACTGTCTAAGCCTCTGACCCACTGCCTGAGCCTCTGACCCACTGTCTAAGCCTCTGACCCACTGTCTAAGCCTCTGACCCACTGTCTAAGCCTGGGTCCTTGGGCCACTGCCTGATCATCTGTAATACTGTCTGAACCTATGAACCACTGCTGGAATCACTGTTTGAAATTCAAAACCATTGCCTGATTTATTGAAGCACTGCCGTATTCTCTGAAGCACTGACTGATTTTCTGAACCTCTGAACTGAGCTTCTGAACTGCTGCTTTAGTCTCTGAACCATTGTCCAGGTCCCTGAACCATTACTCAAGTCTCTGAACCCCTGTCTGAACTTCTGAACCATAGCCTCAGTTTCTGAACTGCTGTCTAATTCATCAAAACTATTGTCTGAGTTTTCAAAACCATTGCCTTAGTCTGTAAGCCACTGCCTGAGTCTCTGAACCACTGGCCGAGTCTCTGAACCAGTGGCCAGGTCCCTGAACCACTGCCTTAGTCTCATACAAGATACTACAATACAACTTAAGATTTGGTGATCAAAATGTAATGATAAGAGTAGAATGTGTGGACAGGATTTAATCAGTATTTCATCTAAATTCTTACTATTAGACAATGGAAGCAAATCTATTTACACAGCTACTTCCTTCTGTGTTTTAAATACATCCAGAAGCTATAGATTTATCTTTATTGATGTATGGTCTAATTAATTACACCTACAACCAATATATTTACCACAACTAGCCGATGTTTGCCACTACCAGTAGTGGAGTAAATACTCTTTTAAAGCAATCTAGGACCTTTAAATATCAAAACGTGAATTGCTTTTCTGTTGAATAAGTCAGGAAATTGGAAAATGTATTGATTGTTTCATGTGTTTACTTGTCCAGTCAAGCATTACACTTGTGAAATCTGTCAACTTAAAAAGTCTGACAGACCTTCCAATACAAATTCTAGACTGTTTCTACCTTCACAGTTAATGAATGCATCTCTTCAGGTGTGTTTTATAAATTCAACAACAAGTCTTCATCATTGAAAATAGTCCCTGGTGAGAAACAAGTCCCTGTGGTGCTGTTGCTGAATGGAGTAACATGCCTGATTGGTCACGTTTGTCGTGTTACCAATAACAACCAGACACGCACTGATCATCACAGAGGATGCCATAACATTATGTATGTGACTTGGAATGTAAGAAACAAATTTTAGTATTTCAGTGTGTGTTACATTTCTGTCATCTGATGAGGAATGAAACTGGTTCACATGGAATAACAAATGGTACCAGAGGCCTGTATAATCCCACTTGGATATTTCAGCAACTTTGGGAAAATGAAACATTGTTAAATATTTATCACTTAGGATTTGCAGAAGAGAGGGTATACACAGATTATTCAATAGCATAAACTCACCATTGCTATATGCCCAGGTAGATAAAAACAATTGATAGGTGTTTCTTTAACTAGGTGTGTGTAGTTAATCTGATACAGTGTGGGAAACCTAATTCAGTTGGATTCATTCCAACATGACAAGGTCCCATACAGTCTCCATCTCCATCTCCCCAAACACACAATCTGCACCCTTCTCATAATTCATACAGTCTCCATTTGTCTCAAAAATAAAATAATTCCATCTCTCTCATCAAACAAGGTGTCCCTATTACTTTCCCGAAACACAATTGGAAACTGTTACCATCTGTCTCCCTAAACACAAAATCTCTGTTCTTCTTCCAAACGATAAGTCTCTCTTCATCTTAAATACATTGTCTTCATCTATGTCCCCAAATGCAAAGTCTCCATCCATCTCCCCACAGTCAGCATCCGTCTTACAAAACACAGTTCAATCCATTTCCCCAAACACAGTTTCTGTCCCTCACCAAAAATTAGTATCCATTAATTCCCCAAACACACTTTCTTCGTCTTTCCAGACAATTCTACTACAAAACATTTACAGGTCAATATATAGGACATCACCTTCCCCAAACATATTTTTTCCCTAGATCAAGATGTTACCTACCATGAGTGCTGGCTGACATGGGGCGTCTCCTCTGAGGCATCCCTGGGGGTTTGATATCACACAGCATGCCTGTCCCTGGCAAGAGGATCCCCGATGGCTGCAGTCCATGGCTGACTTTGGTATATGAGTCCCGCAGTGACTGGATCTGATTGAAGTAATCTCTCGTGACCTGTGGACGACGGTCACTGAAGTTTGTCTGCACAAGCTCATGAAGTTCTCTGTACTTCTGATTCAGTCGTTCCTCAATAAACACATCAGGAGTGATATCCATTGATCGGAATTTCCTGAGAGGGGATCTGTTTAACAATTTTGTCTTACGACCTTTCTGGCTCCTTTTCCCCTGCCTATGACCTTGTTCACTCATTGTATCATGAGGCTTTGTACTGTTTTTAAGATTCAAATTGGAATGAACACTATGTACATGTGAGTGTGGAGAAGATGACTTTGATCTTGACCTAGATCTGGAATGGGAGCGTGATCGTGATCTGGAATGAGATCTAGATCCTGAACTGGAATATGACCTTCTTGGAGATCTTGGTGTTCCTCGCTTTGGAGACCTGGAATGTGATCTTGACTTTGATCTTTCTGACCAAAAACTTGATGAGGATGAATTAGAATCTGATCTTGACCTTGACTTTCCATTTTTATTAGCTGATGGTACAGATATTGACCCCTGACCGGTCGGTGGCTTTTTTGCATACAATATGCGTTCATTCTGATCCTTGGTTCTGGAGCGTGACTGACGTTCATTTTCAGCCTCTTTTCCAGCCTTTGACTGGCCTTTCTTAATATAACTCCCGTTCATTTTTTCGTAGAAATGGTTTCCACCATTTTCTTTTATAAGGCTATCTAACAATGTCTCTCTCTCCTCAGCACCCTCTTCACTGCTGTTGTCCTGTACCAACTTCTCCAATAATTTCAATGACTTTTTCTTTGGTGGTTTCCGTGACAACATACTCATTTGTCAACCATATTGCTGTGGCTCACACCTGAAGGTAAAGATAAAAAATAACCATAAAAAAAAAATAAAAAACAATGACATTCTTTAATGCTTCAAGTAAAAATAAAAAGCAACCTGCTTCAAAATAACAAAAATACATATGACACTTTAAATACAATGTTAACATACTGCTTTCTTTAAAGACATTAATGATTAATGCAGTGTATTGTCAAATTAGAAATTCAGAGTCTTTGGCAATACTCCAGTTTCAATGTTCATTCTCTTCAATACTGATTGATATTCATGGTATTTAAATCATTCAGCAATGTCACAGGCTAGAAAGATCCAATGAGTTATAACAGAAGGGATGCCTAGTATATTGGTGCTTTGTTATATACATGTAGCCAGGGACGTTGATTGTAAGGTTTCATTTTATATAGATCATTAATAATTAAAGGTCTATTGTAGCATAAGTTCAAAAATAAAAAATGATAAACCATATATACCTTGTTAAGAACCATCACCAACTTTACAAAATAAACGTCAATATATGTCCATCGAGATATTTCATCCTAAATACATAATGTTAATAATACAAGGTAATTATCTATTTATGACAAGGTATATAACCAGTCACACCTCCTTTCTTTAACTACAGAAAAAATGTATGCAACTGTTGTTGATGGTTCTTAACACTTAGGCAATACTTTCAATGACAGAGGTATTACAGTACTATTTTTAAAACTCCAAACCCCAAAAATAATAAATAAATTCCTATTTACCAATTCTGTACTTGTGTTGTTTCCCTATTTACCAATTCTGTACTTGTGTTGTTTCCTTATTTACCAATACTGTACTTGTGTTGTTTCCCTATTTACCAATACTGTACTTGTGTTGTTTCCCTATTTACCAATTCTGTACTTGTGTTGTTTCCCTATTTACCAATTCTGTACTTGTTTCCCTATTTACCAATACTGTACTTGTGTTGTTTCCCTATTTACCAATTCTGTACTTGTGTTGTTTCCCTATTTACCAATACTGTACTTGTGTTGTTTCCTTATTTACCAATACTGTACTTGTTCTGTTTCCCTTTTTACCAATTCTGTACTTGTGTTGTTTCCCTATTTCCCAATTCTGTACTTGTTTCCCTATTTACCAATACTGTACTTGTGTTGTTTCCCTATTTACCAATTCTGTACTTGTGTTGTTTCCCTATTTACCAATACAGTATTTGTGTTGTTTCCCTATTTACCAATACAGTATTTGTGTTGTTTCCCTATTTACCAATTCTGTACTTGTGTTGTTTCCCTATTTACCAATACTGTACTTATGTTGTTTCCCTATTTACCAATACTGTACTTGTTTCCCTATTTACCAATTCTGTACTTGTTTCCCTATTTACCAATTCTGTACTTGTGTTGTTTCCCTATTTACCAATTCTGTACTTGTGTTGTTTCCCTATTTACTAATACTGTACTTGTGTTGTTTCCTTATTTACCAATACTGTACTTGTTCTGTTTCCCTTTTTACCAATTCTGTACTTGTGTTGTTTCCCTATTTACCAATTCTGTAAGTGTGTTGTTTCCCTATTTACCAATACTGTACTTGTTTTGTTTCCCTATTTACCTATGTACATGTATAGTTCCCTTGATAAAACTTGAACATATCCAGTTCTGATAAGGGCATGACAGCTCTAGCTTATTCTGGAACTTCTGAACATAGAAAGTTAAGTAATACCTACAAATACCACATTTGACCTAGTCGAAGTAAGTATACTTGAAACTTTCCAGCACCGAATATTACGTAGCTACATGTACCTACAAATACACCCTTTATACCAAGTCAAACCATGTTTAATCTGGAGCTTTCGAACACAGAAGATGAAGTTCTTACCAACAAATTCACCCTTTATACCAATAAATCTGTTATTGAGATGAAAATAGATCAAGAACACTTGTTTATACAGAACTTCAGTAAGAAATTTTGACACTGGAAAAATTATTTTTATTTTTATCAGGACAGGAAAATTGACAAATATGTTAAGTCATATCATACACGTCACATGTGTTTACGAAATTCATTTTGACAGCGCCATGTATATAAATAGACTGCTATCGATAAAACACACCAATACCTGATAACAGTAGCTTTAGACGGACATGCAGATAGATTTACCCGAATTCTACAACAAAGGTATCCACTCTTTGTCCTCAATAGAGAGGCCGATACTAAAGAAAATAAATTGATGACCTGTGACAATCACGCTCAATCAGTGAGCTGCCTTTGTTTATGGCCAATTTTAAATTTATACAATAAAACCAGCAAACATGAATTTAGCTTTAGTTTAGCTGTGTTATGGTAAACGTCCACCTAACACAACACCCAAGATTCGTTTTGTGGGAATTTAAACGGAAATTGATCCTACCTGGTACCACTATATACTGTCCTTATATTTACATTAGGCTTTAACAGACATGCTACAACCAGTTTTGAATAAATTTCAAAATACATAAAATTAACTTTAATCTTCCTAATTTAGACATGGAGCGTGGAGTTGAGTCATGGTCAGGCCGAATTCAAAAATGATCTAAAATGGTAAAAAAATGAAAGCAACTGAAAAAAATATGTCATCAATATCACATTTAGTATTTTAAAATCTGTCATGCAAAGAAGCATTTCTTTTGGTGAGTTTGATAAAAAGTTACAAGGAGACAAAATTCTTTCACTTGTGCTTCAAAACCAGAGAAATCATGGCACTCACCATGATATTTCATCTTCATTTGTACTTTAAACAGCAATTTAAACAGTCCATAATCATAAGATAATGGGCTAAAAATAAGTGAGTATAACTCATCACCTTCTTAGCAATAGGATATATTTCAATGAACTTTCTCATATGATTTTTGGTTTGAACCCCTGGGTTTTAAATAGCCTATATTTACCCAAACATGTATTTGTGCTTTATCAAATTAAACTAGTATTACAATATTTTGCAAACAAAGATAGCATTGGTCCAGATTGAGCCTCTGTTGGACTTCCAGAGCATCCAGGATATCATATCACTAATCCAATTAAAGAGGATAATTAACAGAACAGATACTCAACAAAAATATCCAGTCATTCCCTTAGGTCTGAATAGGGTCTGCAGACTTAGGGGTGAGACAACGTCAAACATATCCAAGCATGTGTAAATGTGATGCTTTACAACTGACAATTTTTTTTTAATTATTGAGTGAAATAAGATTATACAGTAGACTTTATATGTGAAACAACTACAACTACATGTAGGGAGAATTTTATTAAATAAAAGACAATGTATGTTATTATGCAAGTGTATAACTACCTTAAACCAAGGGCTTGCTGTCAATGAAATGTACATATTTTTTCAACTACATTACCATTCTGTTTCAATCTAATGGTAGGATCAGAGGGGTGGGGGATGCCATGGGGGATGGAGCCAATATTATGCCCCACATTCTGTCAAAAAAGAGAAATATATATATCTAGATGTATATCTATATATGCGTGTGTGTGTGTGTCTTATTCAAATAATTGCCACTTTTATAAAACGTTCTTTGTTATTTGTATAACAGCCTAATTAAAGATCCACCCTTAAATCAATAAACCATTCTGTCAGATGATTTGAGTGATATGCAAATTTAAATTTAAAATGCAAATAGATTGGATAGCTAAGCAACAATCCAAGACACTTTTCATTGAGGGTATCAAACATCTGAGTGTTTAGGTAAGTCATGCACTATACCTATGTCTATTTATATATTCTATTTAAGTAGATTCTAAAGATGTTTATAAGTTACCATCTACAGAACTGATGTCAAAACAGGTAAGTCTTTAGTCAACCATTAAAGCAGAAAATTCAAACACTTGTCAATGTCTATAACAGAGATTCAGGTAAAAGCCAAAAATTACTTCCCATGTCTGTATACTGTACCTGGACTTATTGATCATCTACCTGTACACCTGAAGGCTCAAGGTTACCATTGGTGCATATGGCATGAGAGAAGTTTCACCTTCCTAATCTGTAATTTCTTACAAAGCTATTACCTTCAACACAAAAGTCATGTCCCTATCAACCTGTATCATATTGACTCTGATCAAAGTGGCCAGCCATGAGAATATTGGTCAAATGTCTAGTCAACTTATAATTTAATACTCTGGAACAATAACATTTAGATATTTATAGTCTATGATGGAAATTTCTTGATCACATATGTGTTAAATTCTGTTAGTGTCATAATTATCAGTACTGAAACACATACACGTAGTAATATTCTTAAAAGGGTGCTTCAGCATCTTTGATTGTATGTAACAAGCTGACAAAGCTTTGTACAGAATTTCAATAATCCTGATAGAAGATTTTGATCCTATTATCCCAACATATAAGCATAAGATAGCTTAAGATCTTAACTAATTACTTTATCATACAGACATGATGTGTGGAAGGTAAAAATAAAAAAAGGACAAACAAGGCCTTCAGTAAAGACTCTTAAGAGTAGTTTTTGACTCCCCAAAATGAGTTTTTGACTTCTTGAGTTGGACATGTCGATTTCACACACATTTGACCCTTCTGATTTGTGATTTGGCTTTTGTGATTATAGTGAAATGTAAGATGGTTCCTTACCATCTTGTACACTAAGTATGTCAACCCTAGTATGCTCCACACTGGTCAGTTGTCTGATGAAGGTGACTGTGTAGACATTTAAAAAGTCACACTCTAATCTTTTACTGGTTGTGTTATAAGAACTTCTATTCCTTGTAGTTCTGTTGTTGTATACCTTGTTCTCATTTGAGAATGTTACTTTACTTACTTGGATTGACCTTTATTATTGCAAGAGGTGTCAATGAAGCTTCTCTTCCAGAACACCTGGTCTTATTCTCCATGTACTTTTTAAAAGACTATGTGTAAATTTTTATCTTGTTCATGTTTTGCCCTAGTTTTATTGAATTTGATTTTGGATTATGATTCAGTACACATGTTGATATTTTCTGGGTTTTTTTTTTTAGAACACTGTACATCAAGAACACCATCAAAATCTAAAAAGTCAGTACAAAATCATTTTTGAAGAGTAAAACACAATATTGGTAAGTCAAAAAAGTCCCTAAGTGTAAGTCAGGACACAGCAAAGGCTGATGTGCTGAACATAACAAACAAGAAATCAACAGATTGCTGGTTCTGCAGTTTTAAGATAATACTGGTAGGTCAAGTTCAGAAGAAAAGCAAAAAAAAAAAAAAAACATAAAGCACAGTAATTCATGGTGAATTAAAGTATTGTCAGCTTAAGTTAGTAGGTTTTATTCTTCTCTGTAAATGTTGTCAGAATATGAAATATGCAAATGACATATATGGTGAGAGGTCTCACTTTTAGTTAGAATACATAGGACAGTTAGTGATAACTGAATTGGGAAGTTAGATACAGTATAAGAAAGACAAGCACCACAAACAACAACATGTTACAATTTCATAGTGTAATGTTGTACAGTGTATAATGATCAAAATATATACATTGTACAATTTTGTATATATTAATTTAAATTAAGCAGATATCTGTTTGTTAAATAGGTGTCAGTACATAGATATTGGTACCAAATTAGTGTAATTTCCAGGAAAGTCATGAAAATCTGTCTACAACAAACACAAGGATTTCTAATGTAAGGAAACGACGTGCATCCTCTGACACATTAAACATATAGATACAATACAGAGTGTGTAAATGATGTATAAAGAAGTATGTACAGTATAACATACAGAGCATTAGTACATTACAATAAAAGTACTATAAAAAGTCTGTAAAGTTATAGAATATAGAGTATAATGGTAACAAAAATATAGACATGTAGTACACTAACAACCTCTATGTTGTCATATAGTATTTCTCAATTAAATCTTATACTAAGTGTACATACAGTATTTCCTAATTACATTTTATAATATGACATAGTTTATAGTAGAACTGAGTGGTATTAATGCAAGTATATTGTATATTGTATTGTATGTGACATGTATAAACTGGGTGTACATGTATTACTGACAGCATGGGTACCTGGTATTATTATAACAGGTGTTACACTGGTTATAGTAAAGAGTTAATGTACTTGTAGTATTACATATAAATGTACTGTAATATAGATTAGTTAATTACTGATTAAAACAGATATAGATATTATAGGTTTTTACATACAGAATTAGTTTTAACGATAAACCTTCCTTTTTTGACAAAACGAAAACAGGTTGTGATTCGTGAAAACAATATGACTTACTATATAAGTGTCTTCATCCCGACGTTATGTCACAGAAAATCATCAGTCTTAAAGTAATGTATATCCACATATAATATAACGAGTCAGCAAGCCGACAACACGGTGTTTACAACCACATTGTGATGGGGTCACCAGGTCAATCTAGGCATTATACTCACTCCAAACGATTGATACAATGTTATAACTTGTCAATTTCAGCTAGAACTGATTTTATGTTATAAATTAAACCTGCATTTTTATCAAATATCTATAGAAATAACGAGGACGATAACTTAAGCAAAATTTGCATCTGTTTCCCAGGCTGAATAAGAGTTTTTATCAAGTTATGGGAGTAAATTTAACAAATAGATCGGCGCCGTTCCTTACGAGAACGCACGAGATTTCTTCGGTCCTATGGCAACATTATACATTCTGCAAATATGGCCGACTAAGTGGTAAATAGTACTGTAGTTTCTAGGTAAGCAGTGTGTGTGGGTGTTTGTCATATTTTTTTTTATATGTTATATGAAAGTCAGTAGATTTTAATCAAAGTCCATTTGCTAAGTGGTATAAAAGAAATAAGCGACAAATGTAGCGCTTAGCAGGTGCTCGTTGTGATTAATTAATCATGCTGTGATTACCACAGGGACGTCCGACTAAACGTACGGAATTTTGACTCTTTTGTAAACGTTTAAGTTTCTGTATTGAATGCATGGATTAAAGAAACGAGACGGACTTACAGTGTAACAAACTGACAAAATCATTTCAGCATAGTTTATATGATAAGATTGATGTGAAATTTCGGACTTGAGTAAGGCATCTATTTTTAAGAGGCGACTAACGTGGCTCACCCCCCCCCCCCCCCAAAAAAAAAAAAACCAAAAAAAACGTACAGGCATATTCATCGATATGATATATAGCTCAATGTCAATCATTGCTGAAACCATTATTGATCTACTATCTTATAGTCAAACATAGCATTCTAATTAGTAACGACCACTTGTTTTCAAAAAAATGAAATAAGTTTTTCATCACATGATTAGCATATTCAGCACAAATAGAAATATTGCAATTAAGGTAATCACACGATATTGGTTTCAGCAGTGAAAAAGAAACACCCTCATCAACTTGAAATTCAACTGTCTTAAAATGGATATGAATTGGAAACTTTTATTTTATTTTCAAATAAATAGTAGTTATTAGACAAAAAGAAGCTTGTATCTTTGGCCATGTTAAACAAAAGTCATCAAAAGGCTCTTATATCAAATTATTGAATTCTTGTTTTCAATATGACATGGCTGCTTGTGTAAATTACTTTCAGCACTTTTTAGATTCAGTAGTTTAAGTATGTATAAACATTTATTTAGAGTTATAGATCAGCATTTGAGGGACAGTTTCAAGTTTGATCTTTTCCAAATGTAATACAGCATACAGCAAACAATTACACTTAATAGATATTAATATACATATACAAATTAGTGTACCCTTGTATCATTTGTAAGCTTGAAGGGTTGACATTTTACTCAGGTGAAAAAATGATGCTATTAAGCAACAACTTTTATGTCCTTGCAATAACGATTGATTCTTAATATTATGACTGAATCAAAAGTTTGAAACAAAAGTAATATATTTTTCATGAAACAGACTGTGGCTTACTATATTGATTTTATTTTCAAAGTTTCAGTTTTTCACAATTTTCGCTCAATCCTCATAAGTAGCAAAAATACAATATCAAATACCAAAAATGACCTTTACAATTTTTTTATACGCAAACACATCATATCTCTAGCCCATATGCACAAAACCACCAGTGGAACCGCTTTACAGAATCTAGAGTATTACAATACATGATACATGACTCCTGGTTTCATATCTTTCTCATTTCTGTTCCAGATTGCTTGGGAAGACCTTGCAGCATGTCCACTGCAACCATGCCAACAGTGGAAGAACGTGAGTTTCTCAAGGTTCCTTCCGGGGTTAAACATAGTGGCTTTACGCCACGTCCGATACAAAAGTTGGCTGAGAGGAAAAAGCCAAGAACAATGTTAAATATAGAATGCAATCACTTCCTTCGAACAAAAACTGATGCATTTACTCATGGACATCCAATGCTTGGTTACAAGTTGTGGCTGGAAGCTGGAAAACATGAGGCACCATATCCTAGTCGACCAGATGACAACTATAACAGTAATGTGTGGCGCAACTTCCGAAGGCAGTATGGATTTAGTGCAACGGCAGATGGACGAAAAATTTCTGATGTTATTGCCTCCATGTACCCTCTTAATATACCTCCTCCATCACAGGTTGGAGATCACACTTTTGATAAATTTATCAGAGAAAGTTCTCTGTTTAACAATGATAAAATGAAAGCATTAGCAATGGAGAGAACAAAGAATGATGTGGTTGAATTTAAACGCCTTCGAGTGAAAAGTGATGCAAGAAATCCTCCACTTGATGAATCTGGTAAGTTTTTAATTTTCTTGTTAATATACTTTTTATACACTGTAGTATTGATCAAGTAAACTAAATGAAAAAAAATGGCGTAAAGTTGAAGACAAAACATGTATACTTTACTAGCTGTTTGGTGTTTTGAGATAAAAATTTTGTTTCATTTTCAGGACAAATTGTACCCCCGGAAAATTTCAGAAAATATGAGCATCGTTTTGTTCCTCCTCCTCTTCCTCCTCCAACACCCCCTCCAGCCAATCAGAAGACAGACTCTCTCGGACAACGATATGTGCCTAAGTCTGAACCACACTTATGGAAGCTTTCTTACAAACTGTCTAATCCACAGTATGAACATGTTCGACAGGAAATTCGTAAGCGTCAACAGATGATGAAAGAGGAAACGCCACAATCTCCTCAACCTCATATCCCCAAGAACTTTCCTTCTCCAGTCAACCGTAAAATGTAATCAAAATGTCAACAGTTGCTGTCAATTGTTCACTAAGTCAGAATTTTAGGTGAACTCTAGAACTTAAAATAATGTTAAATTAATTCATATCTCTAAATGTTATGCATATCAGAAATGATAATTGCCAAATCCTTTTTAGACAGAGAAGAAATTGTTGAGATCCTGTTTATGTAATGTAAGACAATTTTAGTCAACATTTCTTGTTTTTGCCAAAAATTACTGTGGTAGACATTTTGTTTTTGCCAAATCTGTCAGCTGATAAAAAACTAATGAGAGGTAAGTTTTTGTTCAATTTACTGTAAATGTTGCCATTTTCGATGGTTCAAATTTTTGTGGGTGAACCAAATTAAGGTTTAAAGCAATACCAAAGACACAAAACAGTTTCTTTTACATGTTCTTATTTCATATGGTAATAAATTTTGCAGTTTTTCTCCATGCTCAAAAATAACAGAAAACAGAACTTTTAAATAGCCATTCTTACAGGATATAAAAAAAGTGCTCAACAGGTTACAGTTTTTAGCCAAATGACTCGTGATATCCCTGTTGCAATTTAAGAAAAAAAAATCTGTTATTTTTAACATATTTTTGCTGATTTTGTAATATTTTATGATCACATGTATAACATACTTAAATTCATAAATTTGTTTATAAAATATTATTGCTGAAGGCAAGATATACTTGATTGAGAAGAAATATTTAGAAATAAGATAAAATAAAGAAAACACAACCAAAAAAAAGTTCTTCAACATACAAATCATTATCATTTTCACAAGAATTTGTCTAGACAGAGAGAGAACTAGATTTATCAGTGAGTTATTTACTGGAGTAAAACAGCTATAATTGTGGGTAATTCTCCTGATGTTGATATACTTTTGTTCTAATGTTAGAATTGAGTTTATACATCTATAACCAATACGATGAAACCTTTAACAATAACCTTATGTATTTATGACGTGACCTGCATGTAAATAGTAGTAATATTTTTCTATATTTACGGAATGAGTACGAAGAAAACATGCTTTGTTGTTTACTGCACAGCTGATTTAAAGAGAAGGGGGAATAACCCTGTATACATTTTTTTTTTCAGTGATAATACATATGTACAAAGTTGCTTATTGGTTCTGTATTAGATGCCTGTGTATATTTATTATAAATATATTGTATATTGCTTTCTTTTCTTATTACTATCAGAAATCATAGGTTTTATTTTTATACAATCATAAAATGTTATATTTTGCATTGTATGTTTACATCAGATATCATAGGTTTATGTATGTATTTGTATATTCATGCAGTAAACTGATATAAGAATCACACAAAAATACGGTAAACAGTTTGTTTAATGTATTACAATTTAAAATTGAATAACTGCAGATTAAGTTTACCAGAATTTTAATATATTAATAAAATCATGGTTTAATATCAGTAACAACATACTCTGAAATGTGTGATAAGAAATGAAGATATGAAACATACATTTTTTAATTCATTATTAATGCAGGAATCCTCTACGATTCCATAAAGTATTTACTGTGTACAAACTAGTCCTTGATGTTAATAATTAGTTTCCTTTCATTTAATTTTTTTGTTGTAATTTGTTTTTGTAAAATTTCCTTAAAACCCCAAATGATCTTCTTTAGATGATGTTTTTTGGTCAGCTGATCAGCCATGGTTTGGTTCCAGTTTACAGAATCAAATATATCAGAGATGAATTGACATATCTACAAATTAAAATTCCAAGACGTAATTATTTTGATGAAAGCCAAACATTTGTGTCGCTCAAGGTAAAAAAAATTCAAAGTGGAATGAATCATCACTACGTTACTTTATTCCTTTAACATAAACATCCTTTCCCCTATCACTGCCAATCTGGAGCCTATGTAAAGTCGGTTTGTTGTGTTTAGTTAGCATTACTGTTAATATCTTATCTGGATGTTTTGAATTTGAGTCATGATCTTAATTTCTGTCAAGGATTTAATTTGAATCTGGAGCCTTAAATTGAGTCAGGATCTCAATTTGAGTCATTATCTCAATTTGAGTCAGGATCTCAGTTTGAGTCAGGATCTCAATTTGAGTCAGGATGTAGACACTAAAGATCTGTACTAATGTTGTGTAATAATAGTGTGCAATTACTTCATGTATCCTTTGTAAACTTCATCATGCTTTGTGAAAATATCTGATGGTGTTTGATAACTTGTTTAAACATATCTGCAACAAAAATTAACAATACAAATCCTACCCTTAAAACTTCACATTTAACTTTTCATTGTTTCTCAAATTTGTTTACAGCTTGCATGTTAAAATTTAACCTGACTTTAATTTCGTATGAAAGATTTTTTTAATAACATTTTTTAATTACCGTATTTATCCGGCAATAAGCCCATGTCTGGTAATAAGACCACCTTTGTATTTTTTATAGATTTCAAATTCTGTGTCCTATAAAAGCTATATTCCTGCAATAAGCCCACCCCGAACTTTTTTCCAATATTAACACAGGCCCCCTGGGCATATTACAGGATAAATACGGTAACTTTTGTTTATCAAATTTGTAAACAGTACCATCCTTAACTCAGATTATTAAATAATTGTCTAATTTCCTGCTGAATGTTTTAAAATTCTATATGATGAAAGTGAAATATTCCTAGGTAGCCAGACGTTTTGTGTGATTTGTAAATTGTTTCATCAAAATCTTAAACCAGATCTGTGCTTCATTATCACCGAAACATTAACCATAAATACCATTGTTGTACTTCTACCTCATCTTTCCACACGATCGGAATTAAAGTGTATTTGCAGTGGAAATCTTCCATCCTATTGATAACCAGGCTATTTGTGACCTGCCACCAGCATATAAAGCAGTTTCTTATTTGCAGGTGCAGTTTAGATAGATATGTGATGATAGAAAAGATGTGGAAATAGCCTTAATTTACTTATTTTTGAAGCTTGAATGTACAATACACCCGTTTTAGTGACATAAGAAAGGTGTTATCAAAGAGGATGATAGTCATAGATGTTTATACTTTTCTTCTCTGTCAGTATTTAATAACTATAGCAGCCTGGATATTGTTTTGATTTAGAAGAAGTTTTTCAGTATTTAGAGCATTCTGTGATTAACCCAGACACTTGGTAATGATTTGATCGTTACTGTATTGTCGCTGAGTTGACGTGATATATTTTACTGTGTTGTCCCAATTGTTAAGTACTAAAGTTTTTGTCTTTCACAAAGTTTTCCCTTAATAAAATCTATTTGACTGTTTCTATGTCTTTGTATATTTTTTTATTCTGAGTTTCACTTCAAATATATTGGTAGGTATCTGTTTTACATGCCAAGATCCAACAATTATAAACATTAATGTATTTTCTGGTACTTTCATAGATTTCAGCATTTATGGCAAAGAATAGCCATACAGAGTCGAACTCTCTCTGATGAAGATATTATGATATGTTCTGTTAATTCTGTGTGTCTAAACACGGTGGCCGAGTGGTTTAGGCCTATGAGAGTCTTTGTCACCAACCCTCCACCTCTGGATCACAGGTTAGAAGCTTACATGGAGCAGTCGCCAGGTACTAGCCAAAGAAAATTGTTTTTTTCCAGGAACTCAGTCTTTCCTCCACCACCAAAACCTGGCACATCCTTAAAAGACCCTGGCTGTTAACAGGACGTAAAGCAACAATAAACCATCTGAACATGGCAAAACTCTTCAACTGATCTTTTCTTTACCAAAGCTTCAAATCTGCTTTGTTTAATTTTCTCTGGTTCAAATAAAAAACAGCACATATAGTCAATAACAAAGATCTGACTGGTACTGAAAGAAAAGTTCCAAGGACTTGAAGCTCGTGCTAAGTTTTATACCCAGAACCTGAATTGCTTATCTATTCTGTTGAAGTAAAGAAGACCTCTCAGAAGTATATGGATGCATGTACATTCCTCCCATCCAGTAAAAGGTTTGATAATTACCCTTGCTTATTCAGAATGGGCAACCATGACTGAGTGGTTAAGTCATCTGACTGTCTATATAACTAGCACTCCATCGCTGGGTCATGGTTTCCAGGCCTATTATGGGGCACTGTCTGTAGGTCAATGGTTCTTCCGCAGGAACTCTGACTTTCTTCCACCAACCTAAACCTGACCTGTATGAAAATGTCCTTGGCTCTACATAAGAAGTAAATATACAGTTTGAAACTAAAGGACATTAAAAATAGGCCAAGGTAATTAATCTGAAGACATTTTACAGCCCTTTGTCCATGCATATTAATGTCCCAATAAGACTTGGCAAACTCTTGGTTACTGGGAAGTTGTTGATGGAAATAACTCACAGACACAGCACCAATACATAAGCTCACTTGTGAAAAACAAGAGTTATGCTTTAAACACAAAATTTTAACAATGGGCAAAATTTCTCTAATTAAAGAGTTGTGGGCCCTAACTTTGGTACATTGCACATCCTCTTAGCATGATCAATGTATAGACCAAGTTTCACTGTCCCCGCTACAATGCAAGCAAAGTTATGCTCCAGACAAGAAATTTTAACAAAAGAGCAACTCTGTTGTGATTGAAGGGTCGAGAGCCCTGAATTTGGTACACTGCACATTGCCCTAGTATGACAAATGTATACACCAAGTTTCATTATCTTTACTGAACTGTGGGTAATGTCGTGTTCCTGGCTTGAAAGGACGGATGGAAAGATGGACAAACTGACTATATGCCTGCTCGAAAATTTTCGGGAGCATAGAAATTACAGAAATCACATCATATTTAAGGTTAACTATTTATTCATTGAATGAATAAATGTGAAATGTCATATCAGTAAACTCTCACACACTTTACATGGTCACCACTTAGCCATTAGTACTTTTATAGAGCATCTAGTAGGTCTCAAACATATATCTCTAACATATATCTACCATTATCATACTCATCTGGCAGTATGTCCACACCTGGTAATAAGCCTACCAATATAGCTGTACAGCAAAATTATGAACAAATGATGTTTCATTGTCCTCTATTAAGCCCATCCCTGACTTGGGTTGGAAGTAATGTATTAACTTAACGGTTAATGTAACATAAATATATCATAAACAGTAAAACCCTGCTTACTGTTCCTCCAATTCCTTCAATCCATGTCAATAGTTTAGGGAAAACAGGATATTCAAGTAATACAGGTTAGACATTAGAAGTAAGAGAGGTTTAACTGTATCTCTAAATGGACAAGAAAATACATCTCTTTGATGTTGTTGCCAATTTCCTCCATATTTTTATAGTAAAGGATACAGGATATGTTGTGAGATGAACATTTCAAATCAAAATACATCCCTGTGATTTTGAACCTGACTCAGACTATGGAAAGACACATACAAAAGCTGATAACACTGTGTTTTGTATTTATCAATCAGGCACCATATTTATCTTGTAATAAGCCAAATTCCTATAAATCATTTTTCACTCATAGCCAGGGGTGGGCTTATTAGAGGACAACAAAAAACATCTGTTGGTAAGGTAGTTATTGAGTGGGCTTAATACCAGGAGTGGGTGTATTGCTCAACAAAAACAGTGCACTTTTAAGGGAGATAACTTTAAAATAAATCACAGACACATACATATGAAGCATACATTCTTAGAAATAATTTATAAAAAAAGAAAAAAAAAACACTTAGTTGTTATTATAGTGTGAGGAAGTATTAAAGCACAGCATGAAAAATACAAAAATTAACAGCACCAATTACAGTACTACACATCTAAACATTTCTTATCATAATATAACAATCAATGCTTTAGTTAACATTATATATTCAGTGTAATAACTTAATAATGTACACAACACAATAAAAATATATCAAATTTGTTCATATTTAAACAGAGTTGATTTTGAACATGTCAATATTTTTCTGCCATATGAACTAAATTGAACACTCCATCTGTATTTTTTACCAATTTATATTGTCTTAGTCTTCCAATAAACAAAATAAGTGGTGTAATGAACCCTGAAGCTTCCCAAACACTATAGTCAACAGCTGACAGCATCACTACACCTTTATATTCAAGGTCAGCTTTTTCAGCTTCATTTGTAAAATGAAGAAATTCATTCTCAATCTTTGGTGTAAGATATGTAAGGCTGGAGGTAAAAATCTCATTTTGTGGCTTAAAACATCTTTCTCTTTAAATCTTTTTATCGTAGAAAGGAAATGCTGATTCATCATAAACTCAATTGATTATCAATTAAATCCTGTGAATGTGTTAATTGAGCCTTACCTAGTGTTATCTTGACTGAGATCATTTTGTAGAAATATCGGATCAGACATTCCTACATTAAATGGTTGAATTAAACGAGAGCACATGATAAGTATTTAAACAATGTTTACATAAAATCTTCTATTTGACCTGACTGGAATGTGTTGACATAATGGCAAACTCTTTAATCACTTAATTCTGTATGAATTGTATCAACCTGTCTATATTCATCATTATTTAGATTTGATTTTATAAACCAAAAGTACATATCCTATCATTATCTAGAATTTAATTTAAAAACCCCAAATACATAATCTTTCATTTTCTAGATTTTATTATGTAAACCCCAAATACATAATCTTTCATTATCTAGATTTTATTATGTAAACCCCAAATACATAATCTATCATTTTCTAGATTTTATTAAGTAGACCCAAATACATAATCTATTATTTTCTAGATTTTTTTTATGTAAACCCCAAATACATAATCTATTATTTTCTAGATTTTTTTTATGTAAACCCCAAATACATATCCTATCAATAATAAGATTTCATCAGATACACTCCAATACATATGCTATGGTTATCAAGGTTTTATTATATAACACTATACACATCTAGATTTTACTGTGTGTGGCAATAATAAATTTTACAATTGACCTGGTTTATGTTCATATATATTTAATTGATCTAAGAGGTGGTCTTTGATGTAGTCACATAATCATTAACATACCTACAGATTAAATCATATCACAGTTTTATAGCATGACAGATTGGTCCACAATTCTGTATAACCTTGTAATCAACAGTTCGTTTCCTGGAAAGAATTGGGTCACAATATGACACAACAACACGCTAGACAAACTGTCAACATCTGTCTAATGACATACACTGTTTCAGTATGTTTAGTGAAACAAACAGGAGGGGTTGGGGTAGGATCAGGACTTTCTACAGCTGTGTACAATCTTCTGTATTCTTCTCATTGTAGCGTGATACCTTATATTGCTAAATTAATGACCAGTTACACCATTCAGTATGTATAGGATACTGAAGGTCCCTATAAAAAGACAGTCACCAGCTTCAGTTTGTTTCCCTTGCTGCCCAACGTCTGTTTTATGTGATTCACCACTAGGATATCATTTTTTCACCGATGTATAAATGATGATAGCCACCACAGCTGCTACCACTACTAGAATCACCACTAAAATACACATTTTCTTCCGAGACTTTTTCTGAAACCAAAACAAACAAATTCTTTAAGTAATGTTTATAAGACTTTGGGGTGTGTTATGATAGTACTTCTATTTGAAGGATTGTAATAGCTCAGTCAGTAGAACATGACCTTTGCAACTACATGTGACGATCTGAAGTGTGTGGTTCCACATTCCAAACTCAGGAAAATTTGTTTTACTGGAAAATGAGAAAAGCAAAGTGTGTGGTTCCACATTGGATAAGTGAGGCAGCCATCAGCTACTACAAAAAGACCCCATCTCCAAACGTATCTGGGTAACGGCAGGAAAACAAATTCTTAGAAGTGATAATATTTTTGTTTGCTAAGTTTATTGTTGGATAAGTCATTTTGAGGTGGAGTCTCATTGTAGTTGGTAAAGTCTACCACACTGAACATCATGAGGAAGGTCCACAACATTATCCAAAGCAATTAGGAAAGAGTGCCTTTCCTAAAGACATGACTACAACAGCGTCACTAATTAAGGATCCTTCAGTCCTTATCACAAACACTGATGTAGCAATGGTTGAGGAAAGGAATTAAAAATTACATGGAAGAAGAGATGTATGGTGTAGATATCAAAAGAATGGCAACGTACATCATGACAACAATGGTATGTTTACCAGTAAGTAGACTGTATGTAGCATAAATATCCTGGAGAATATGAATTTCATCATGGAGGACTTCTAGACAAGAGATTGGGGTGCAAATGCTCTATATTAAGCTACCTCCAAACTTTTACTCAGTCAACATTTTTTGGTTAAGAAAGGTGGCTGATTTGAGTGAAATTTTGTCAATCACTCCACCCACAGATAATGAATCAAACTTTAAATGTTATTCTTGTCATCAACAAATATTTCATAACAATTTCCAAAGTGACAAGTACCTATCAGATATTGTGTATGTGACTTACATTCCTGATATTCTGTAGCCTTACATAAGTGACTTACACACCTGATATTCTGTAGCCTTATCTACATATGTGATTTACCTATCTGATATTCTGAAGTCTTACATATGTGATTTACATATCTGATATTCTGAAGTCTTACATATGTGACTTACCTATCTGATATTCTGAAGTCTTACATATGTGATTTACATATCTGATATTCTGAAGTCTTACATATGTGACTTACCTATCTGATATTCTGAAGTCTTACATATGTGACTTACATACCTGATATTCTGTAGTATTACATATGTGACATACATATCTGATATTCTGAAGCCTTATATATGTGACTTACATATCTGATATTCTGAAGTCTTACATATGTGACTTACATATCTGATATTCTGAAGCCTTATATATGTGACTTACATATCTGATATTCTGAAGCCTTATATATGTGACTAACATATCAGATATTATGTAGTCTTACATATGTGACTTACATACCTGATATTCTGAAGACTTACATATGTGACATACATACCTGATATTCTGAAGCCTTGCCTAAGTGGGCTGTGCCCTGTTCTACATTGCCGTATGCCCGTTCTACATTAGCTTCAATAGAATCTGTAAAAGAATACACATAATCACAAATTGTTTTTCGAATCATTGGAATGTTGCATTCAGAAATATTTCACCAACCAAAACCATCTTGTTACGCATGATTCATGTCATGAAATTCTGTCCGTAGAATAAATGGTGAAGAATCAGGAATAAAACAAATGTTCACCTGCCACCTTTTTTTATCATTAGTCAATTCCAACAGGAGTAAGGCAAAGCTCCCCATTATTGGTCTTAATGTTTTTGTGAAAATCTTAATTGAAATTCTTGATTTAACTGATGTAAATCTGGAAAACATTAATGGACAATAATGAAATCAGAACTTAACATGTATAATTATTAAAATGCAACTATAAACCAAATTACATTTTGTTATCTGTATCTGTTGTAATTATAAAATAGAAGAGTGATGTTTGGAGTAAATTGATTGGGAATACAGGGACTGTATCTTTGAGGCAGAGGGAATTATACATAAGGATGTCATAAGAAGACTTATTACAACTGTAAAGTTTTAAAAGACCATCACCATCAACAGCTACAATCATCAAGGTCTAGTAATAAAAATGAAAAGCAGAGAAATTTTAAAATTTACGTGGTCTTCTGGACAAAGTCTTAATAAGGGTGTATTTAGCAGATAGATCTATTGTTAAAAATTTCTATATCTGTTACATAAACTCTTATCTCTCATTCTGCCACATTATTATAAACTACATAAATGAATATCACCTGTTATAATATTTTTAGGGAGTCAATTTTTCTATACTTTACATATGGTAAGAGTAGTACTTACTAGTTATCACATATACAGTAAACAAGTCTATTAAGCCAACTGTAAGTTTTCTACTCACTGTCTAATCAGTTTCTCATGGAATAGCTTTTATGACGATTACTCAATACTTCTCAACTGAATTAAAACTTTCTAAACCTTTTTTACTTTAAATGTTATTGATAAAAACTATCATGATAGCTTTTATCTAGTTTTTTCTGCTGTCAGCATATATAGATATTTCTGAAGAGAACTTTCATGCACATGGAATGATATAGAAAGTAGATTTGTAAAATTTTGTAGATCTCCACTGAGCAACAAATCAAATCAAGGAGAAAGTGAATGAAATACACTTATTGGATAAGTAGAGACATATAGGTCACTTACCTACTGCTTCTCCTTGTTCATGGATCATCACATTTAAATCTTTGAAAATCTCATTCACATCTAACACATCAGCCTGCATAAAAAAAACAATAAAAACCATTAGTCTACAGATAATCTTTTGCAATTGCTTGGAAGAAAAGAAAACTGCTTACCTAGAAATTTTAAAGGTTGAAAAATGTTTCTTGCAACATGACAATTTTTTTCATTGCAACATGGGGCATGATTTCTTACATGTAAATGTGTTTTCCAAAAGAGCACTGAAAACATTTAGGTTTCCAGTATAAAATAAAGTTATTCTATCAAATGACAGTTATCGCATCAAAACACTTGACCTCTAACTGTCGTATTCTTTCTTCTCGCTCGCTGATCAATGCCAAGTCATCCTCAATGATTTGTCCTTGGGCCTGAAGTTCTTCTCTCCTTCTCTCCTGCTCCACAAAGGCGGTCTTATCATCACCATCCTGTCATTATCATACAAAACCATTAGTCCACAAGTTCTAAAGATTACAAACAGGGTTCTCATGAAAAAAAGTTGATGATAATGCAGCATTATAGCAGTAAATATTTCTGTATAAAAGGACATTTTTGAAAACTTTCAAAGAAACATTGTTTATCCCATGCATAGAATGTAATCATATAAAAAAAAATCTATAAAGTAGACTGGTGACAAGGAATACAAGTCATTATATTGTCATAATATAAGCCTTCATCTCTAAGCTATATATTTGAATTGAATTTCAAATATGCAGTTGCCATAGCAACTTAAATCCTGTAAACTTGTAGAATGCTCATTATCTATATGTTTGTACTTGGTTAGATTTTCACTCAATATGATTTGCCTAAATTAAGAGTAAAGCGTTATTTTCTGAAATTAAACCTTGTAATGCATACTTTATAATATTGATATTAAAGCTTTATTCAGAAAATTTAGGAAGCCCTAAAGAGATCAACTTACATCGAACCCTCCATCAAACATGCCTTGTGGTTTGGGTGTAGATAACTTCACAGATGTCTTCACTTTTTCTGCAGCATTCTAGTAAAAGCATTAAATGCAAAGCGTACGGTATTTGTAATAATTGTTCTTTGTGGTAATAGCTACCAGAAGTATGACATACTTAATCAACAACCCTTGTACCACAATAGTTCTGTACTGTTGAAGAACATAAAACACAGGCAAGACCAGCTTTATCACACTACCACACATTTCCTTTAGGTTTATACGTCTATACTGAATATATTTTCCTAAATTATGATCATTAAGGAAATTTGTATGTAACATTCTGATGACTACTATGTCACCTTCATCAGACAAATAACAAGGAAATTGTATGTGAGCACAGTGTATGCAGTGTATAAAATGATAGTAAAATTGACAGAAGTTTTCTAATGTAACCATGTTCAATAAACAAGTAGTTAACATCTCCAGAAAACAGCTTACCAATACTGAAAAAATACTTGTCAAATGTTTGAACCATGCCACTGTTTTAAATACAAGAGGCCCATAGGGTCTGTATCTGTCACCTGGCCAAACTGATTCCTCTTCACCCAAGAATGCTTCACACCAAATTTGGTCATAATCCAATCGTACCTACAGGAGCAGAATTCTAAAGAATTTGCTATGTTGTCCCTATGGGACCCTGCCTTGACTTACCTTCTGTAGAGTTGTAAACCGTCGAACAGCTTCTTCAAAATCTGTCTGCAATCTATCTATTTTAAACTTTTGTTGCTGAAACGAAAAACAGTGATATCATAATGTTGTCTACCATGAACTCAACAAATTTTTCTAAGGATTTCAAATTTTGCTACAGCAATAGGACTGAACACCAGCTACAAATCATGTCATGTGTTGAAAACAAACATGATGGTATATTACAAAGAGATAAACTAGATCAGTTTCAATTGCTGATATTTACTGATGTTATAATGATGTAAAGAACATATATAAGTCCTACAAATGAATGTCTACATCAGCTAGACATATAACAATGTTTTAAGTCGCAGTAAAGTTTTAATCTCTTGATGGCAACATTATGTCTATCAACACATATCCCAAATACCTTGACACCCAGCTATGTAGGACTTACCCTTTCTAGATGTCTCATAGAAGCCAGTGTCTTCATGAGCTTGGTTGTTTCCTGTACAATTCGTTTTGTTTTCTGTGATGTATCATGTCTGAAGTTAAGAGAGATAGTGTGATTTCCTGAAAATCATATTTCTCTAAAATATCATTCCACTATCAGTCCAGATGATTACAACAGACAGCTATGAAACAGAGGAGAGTAGGGATCACATATGATCTCATGAAGATGAATATAAGGTATTGCACTTTTCCTGAAAGCCTAGGGGGCCAACATGGTACAGATTCTGACTTAAAGTCAAGAGGTGGGCAATGAAATAGCATTGGTCAGTAATTTTATATAACAGCAATAGAGAAGGGTGGCAAGAACCAGATATGGGTTTATTTCTCTATTAATTAGGTAGTAAAAGATTATTATCTGTATTCAAATACGGTTAGAGTAGGAAAGACAGAATAAGCTTAAGACTTACATCCTATCTCTCAGCTGAACACTATCTCGGTCTGTTCCAATAATCTTCATGGCTCTCTCTAGTGAATTGGCTACATAAAAAGATATTTTCAGCCAATAAACTTGTTTGAAAATGTAGCACAGATTTTGCACTGATGTCTACTTAAAACAACACGTTAATTGTCTATTCACAAAGTCAAATTATTGTTGACATAAGAACAATGTTTTCAAAGCATCTTAACTGCAAAAAGATATGGCCTGCAGTAGTAGTGATGAAACAGATTAGACAAACATTAACAATAATATGTGAAGTACCTGTTCTTTTGCTACATATTTATTTTATTAGTACCCTTAAGTAAGAGACAAAAAAGGGTATCAGAATACTCCACATTTTCATAAAGGAGTGAGTTCTAGACCTACTCAAGACATTTCAAAATGTCTAATGTCTCTTGTTGTGGATACAGGATATTAATGCTCACGTACAATATAAATGTGGTATACTGTAGGCCTGTAGGTATGTATTTTAATGGTGTGTCAATACTTACCACCACTGTTGATGTTGCTGATGTTTCCACTGACTTGTTCACATGTATCGGAGTAGCGAGACACATCTAGAAAACAATTATCATCAGAAATAAGGAATTCAAGATTTAACAAAATGTAGGTAGGAAACAATGAAACTTATTATGGAAAGGTTTCAAGCATAACACATGGTTAACGAAACTTAAACATAAAACATGTTAACACTATGTCTATCCCTAAAGATGTATAATTAGAAAAATATCTTTACGCTTAGATACAATTTAGATACCAGTAATAATATCTATTTTTAAACAAAATTCAAAATGACAATGTAACACAGGTCATTTTTCATCTCAATGCCTCCGCTAGGAATCGAACCCAGGATCCCTGGCTTACTAGTCTGACGCTCAACCAATCCAGCTAAAGAGCTCTCTCTAGCTGAGTGGTATCTACTTTCAAACCTCCATTTATGCATCCTATTTTCAGATCAGACCTTCAGCATATTGTTAATTCTACTGCATTAATCTATTTATTGTTCATATTTATTTATTGAAATTTTAAATTATATGCAGATGTACTTGCTAGACAAACAGACATGACAGGTGTTTGTCAGATTTATTGATCTGTAAAATGTAACTTGAGAATCTTCCAGGTATATAGAAAAATATTCTTCACTAATAGGTGATTGAATTACAGATGTAAATACAAATTCTGATCTTATCAGCATTTGAACATGACTAAAAGCCTTCATCATATGTACAAATACTGTAACTCATGTCGGTTTCCCTTATTGGTATGCAATAAAAGCACTGACAAATATCGAAGGTGATTCTCTTGAAAGATGCATAGCTGAGATAAAAATGTGTGAAACATATTAGATTCTTTAATGATTAGAAACATGATGTAGAAAGTAAATAGTTGTCATTATGGCACAGTGCACCTGTGCAGTAATTAGGATTGTACCGTGTGAACATTGAAATATTCTTTTACAACTTATAATTCTTCACTGGTTTAAACATGATTTACTAAAGTTATCCTGAAATAAGCCCAGGGTAGGGGGAAGGCAATATACAAATCCTGACTCAAAGTCAGAGCCTGGAGTTACTGCAGAACAATGAAATAGCATTGGTTTGGTATGCCACTTACAGCAAGGTGTCATATGATGTATCCATTTACAGGTCTAGATTAGGCACCATTTAAAACACGATGTCTACATGTACTTCCTTAATGTCATATTATCAGTGACATATAACCCTTTCTACCTACCTAGTAATAGACTATGTTAGGTATATATCATAAAAAAACATGCCGTTTGAATATCCACATGAAATCACTGAAATCAGTGTTTATAAACTTTTCATGTACAATCAATAATGTAATTGATGATTTATAAATAAAACACCAATCAGCCGAGTCGTTATATACATTACAAGTTTCTAGTCCGTACTTAAAGTATAACATTGTTTACCTGGTAGGCATAGATATTTACAGGTAAACCATGTCTACATGGCTATACTAACTTCACCTGGTACTATAAAAGTTATGCATGACTATACTAGCTCGACCCTTGACTATATTTATACATAAGTTTAATAACTTGATCGATGGCCATAACAGTTATCCATGTACATGGCTTCACTAACTTGGCCTGTGACTATGGCATTTATACAAGACTATACTAACTTGGCCTGTCACTATAATCTGTGTGGTCGGGATCATCTCTGTACTGCCGCACAGTAGAACCATAGCTTGGAAAGTCATTTGAAGCCATTGTTGAAGTTTAATGTCTCTGAAAAATAAAAGTTATACATCAACGGGTGTTAATCATATTTAGACACAAAACAGTAAAAATGCAAAATAATACAATTATTTCCTACATAGTGATACAAAAAGTTTTCTAAACTTCCCATGCAGTCCTTACATACATCAGCCTAAGCTATAGCTATACGTCTAAACTATAGATAAACCACTACTGACTCTATGTTTCCATAGTCAACTTTTGGAATATTCACAACAGGAACATCAATAATCAACATCCATAAACAGCATCAGCAGAAAGTATGTGCCGTAATAAGAACAACAAGTTAAAGCTCTAAAATCTTGACGTGGCCTCATGCAACAGACTTCAGTTTCAGTAGATGATGTACAAAGTTGTCCTTGACACCATTTACATCTGACCAATAATTTAAATTTGGGTTGAAGTGCTGTATCACTGACTTCTGAAAACAGCTTGGTGCAAGTTGATAAGACTATTATCTACTATACCAACAGACAATACTTATTCCTTCTATCCATAGTGAGGAGAAGTGCAACTTTTCACAACATGAAAAAATCTTTTGATTCCTTTTGCCCTTGCATCAACATGGTATATCTGACAGTCTTTCAAACAAAAAGGCCATCATGGATAGTTTCTACCTCCTGATATGCTCAAACAGTGTTATATATTCACAGGAATATTTTCAATGGAAAATTAAGTACTTTAAAGAATTAATGGTCACATGTTGACTAGAAAGTACACTTATTTACATCTTTATTTATCACAAATCTGGATATTTATTTTCTTCATAATTTATCACCATCAGAAATCATTCTTCCATAATAACAAAAGGAGTACATTAATTATGTACAAGACAGACTGCTATGTGTATAGCTTTAGAGTCAGGAAAACAGTGTGCATATATAGTCCTTGTAGTATATGTTGTCCCTCAAGGGTATAACAATCATATACAATGTACAACCACCTGAGGCAACAATTTTTTTTTACAAAAAACAGAAGAGAACTTCAACCCTACATGGGAAATATCTAGTCTTCAAGTGGTAGATTCATAGAACTTACTCCAGAATTTGGAGTCTAAAAGTTGTATATATAGGCACTGATACAAGGTACTGTTTAAGTTTTACCTAGTTTAAACTGTCCAAAGGATAACAGCCAGTTATCAGTATAAAATGTACCAGAATTAGCTGACAACAGCTAACCATTGCCATCTAAGATGAAATATCAGGTAACAGGAACTTGTAATCCTTACAATTACAACTAACAGTGACAGAGTGAATTTACTTAAAGAAGTTACCCCCAGAAGCTACTGATGGAGTAATGAAAAACATCCTCTCGTCGCTACAACCTTTCCATCACTAGTTTGACACTACCATTGACTAATGGTAAATTGTAATGAGCTGAGGCTAGTAAGGCATGTTTACTCAACTTCTACACTATACAGGAAGAAATGCCACTATAGATTAATTATGATTCAATGCTTTGGCTAAGGATCCAACCAAGGATATCTGGCTTATCAGTGTTCAACCTAACGAGAATTTCTCAATAGTCAAACAATACATCACAGCTAGCATTTAGCTGCCGGTTACAATAATGAGATTAATATCCAGATCATGTGGTACCAATGCCCCTTCTTTGAAGACACCAAGGATTTGGATGCACAATTAGCATTAATTCATACAAGCAGTTGTCATAACAACACCACTTTATCAACAACCTTCCAGCAAAATGATTTTCCCTATTAACCAATGCGTGTATATATATATATATAACTTTCAACTCCCCATTTTCCACCAACTCTAAATGAGGTGTCGTGCACCAGCAATAAGAATCACGTGCACCGAACGTTTTACGTGTGCTTGAAATTATACTACACGTGTTTTTATATAAACCCACTTATGCATATTTATCCACATATTATTCTTGAGATCTATTTTCATGTGACTATTATATCAGATTATGTCTTACTTCCCACAACGTCAGTTACCGATTTCCTGTGTAAAATCATCACAGTTAGATTCATAGCAAGTTAAAAATAGATCAACAGCATTGTCAGACAATGAAGTTGTTACCTTTTCAAGACTGCAGCTCATAAAATAACCAATCTCGACAATTAGTCACCAAATACTTCAAGTTTGTCGTCTCATTTAGCTTACTCGAAGTATACCTATGTTTTCTCATGTGACCGGAAGTTTCGCAAGAGTGAGTGTTCTTGACCCAGCGTAAGGATATCTATCGAACGTCCGATCGATTTCGAAACCGATGATTTTTTATTTAGATAAATAATGTAATTTTGCTTATATATCATTAAATTAATTTACTTTTAAACATTGAGATTCTTTGCAATAAAGTACCATTGCATCTCATATCACCGTACTAACATACGTCGCACTGTCTGATTTTTTTAATTTACCGATTTGAATACTTCCGCCATAGGTAAACCGGTCGAGTTCGATTACGTCATTGGCATGTGACAATTGGCAAACAAAACAGAAACTTGACTGGATTTTAACGATAGAAGAGGTTATTGTCATCACGTAAGTATTAAAACGACATGTCGTTTACAGGAGATCAAACGACTTGATTTAGATATAATAAACATATACTGATGAAGTGCTTTACATTTCGATTCAGCACGAAGTTACACCTGTATCTCAGGTATCAGGTCTTGTTGATATGTCATTCAGTCATTGGTTGCGTGTAATCTGCAACTTGACTCTGTGTACCTGTCATTTAATGTTTTATGTTCATCATGAAATAGTTTGTCTGTGCCTAGTTTAGGAGTATAGGTTAGTGGTATGAGTCCTGGTTGTAACACCAGCGGTAGAGAAATATATTGATACACATAAGATAGTAAGTATTGATAAACAGTTGTTATCAGCTTTAGGAAACACGTCAACATATACATTATCCATCTGTTCAGGGAAATTTACAGCCGGAACTTATCTCAAAATTTTGTCCATATTTTAATTAAAAAAAAATGTTTCCTGGTGTTGATCACTGTTGAGAATAAGGACAGGCTTCGATAGAATAGTACACTGTCATTTAAAATGACGGTAAATAAACAGAAACAAATTAATTATTGAAAACATTTCACAAGCACTTGACTCACTCAGAACAAATTACGCACAGATATAGGCTCTATCAATGAAAAAATACTTTCAGCACTTCATTGTCAAAGCACTAAATCACAATTCTTTAGTAAACAAGCCCAATAATTTGTCTCTCTCAGAATTGTGGGGATCAGATTTCATAAAAAAATTCATACTTGTTTGACCGTTTTGTTTTTATTGTTCTTAAAGATGCATGCTATCAAGTTAAATGTTTTAATGACCTGTGTAAACATGCTATTTGTTTAACAAATAGGTAAGTCACTGCTAAAGGATGGTGACACTAATTAAGAAGTCAACTTTTGATTGGATAATTAACTGTTAATCAATTGCCAGATACCAAGACCAAGTGTTGTGTGTATGATGGATCGTTATGCCTTGATTAGCCAAGTGTTATGCACAGATCACTTTCTGCTTTGTTAATGTGTTGACCGATTTTGTCAGAAGATATGCCAATGTTTTGACAAAAATTAATTTCAAGACAATGAATTACTTTTCCCTTACTCTACAATTGAATGGGCTGAAAAGTCACATTGACCCAAACAATATTTTGACTCAATGATATCCATCCAAACTAAAATTACAAAGATATAGAAGGAAACAAATTTGGGACTTGGAAATTATTTGAGTCAAATGTAATTTCAACTCAAGAGATTTCGAAACAACAAGTTTCAACTGTTCATTGATCTATATCACACTACACATTCTTGGGTCAATAAGACATCAATAAAAATCTCAATTAGCACATTATGTGGTTTGTGCATATGGCAGCATATTTCTGCTGCATCATGTCAAGGAAAACCACATATTTGTGTATGATTTGCAACCTAGCTTCTTAAATGCAACTTTGCATTTCTTGTGTGTGTCAGGTTCCAAAGCTGCCAGAATTCAATTTTAGCTCACCAGGTCCGAAGAAAAGGTGAGCTTGTGCCATATCATGGGGTCTGTTGTCTGTCTGTAACCCTGGTAAATACTAGCCTCACTATACTGCTTGGCTTGTGAAAACTTCTCTTTAGCTCGATCAGTTGAGCATCAGACTAGTAAGCCAGAGGTCCTGGGTTTGAGACCTAGCAGAGGCATTGAAATAAATAGTGACCTATGCTACATGTAATTTTTTATTTAAAATCACTAGTACTAGTCACGAAGGAGTGTTTAGATTTTGACCAAATTTGGTAAGAAGAATATTGGGAAGAGAAACCAAGTTTGTTGAAATATTGGGTCTTGGCCCTCCGGGGCTTAAGAGGCAGGGCAGGGCCCAAAAGGGAAAATTCCGCGAGTCCTTTGAAATCTGTCTTCTTCTGTGGAAATGCTTGTTTTTTACCAAAATTTGATATAAGTATTCTTGGGTGAAAGGAAATCAATTTTGTTTTAACAGTGCATCTGGGATGGGAGGAATATGTGCCCAATAGGGGAAATAGAGTAAATTCTTTAAAATCATATTCTTTCTAGAGTAATGATTGAACTTTGAACCCAAATATCAGTCTGAATAAAAGTATTCTTAGGTGAAGGGAAATCATTTTCTTATAAACAGTTGGTTTCTACTTCCTGGAGCAGGAGGGGCAGGGTCCATCCAACAACAGAAATTCTTTAAAATTCTACACCTCTTGTAGAATTCTACTTCTCCTGTAGGAATGATTTGATTCTGTCTCAGTTGATCTGAAGCATGAATGTAGTTGACTCCCTAGGGACTGAGGGCCAGGACTCAATGGGAAAATAAGTGGTTAGTGTGTTGTGTGCTTAGTTATTCAGAATTCCTTTTCCTTTAGTTTAGATAAAGCAATTTTTGCTAAGCAAAGCCAGGTGAACAATGCAGACTTTATTTGCTTCTCGTTTATTTTTAAGTATTTTCAATAACAACATTCTATGCCAACAAAAGTGATAAATACAATTTGGGTAACTTATTTGTAAAATTAATAAATTCTATATATAAGCATGCTTTTATTTTCAAAATTTTGACATATTTGCAAACATGATTAGTTCTTGGAAAATAATAACATCCCTCTATATTCCACCCTTCTGTTAAGAAATAACTAGATGAGAATCTGGGGATTCATTCATATTTTAATCTAGTCAAGATAGCTTAATATATCAGCCTTGTAGAAACTCAATGAGACTTGTCAGTGTGTCAAAATCCTGTTACTCCTTTGATATCTCTCTGAGGTGTGGATCAACATGAAAAATTATACATGGTGACTATACATGAACCATGCTAAAAAAATTCATTAGACATTATGTAATTTCAAATTTCAATAACTAGTAAATTGACCTGTGCATGCTGAGGAAACAGATACTGTTTCGTTATGAATTTGTATCAAATACACTCCCACAAGGCACAAATACAATTCAACTTTAATGCTTTGAGGTATTTCAATCTTTATGTTATATCTTGTCAAGCATAACTGCTTAGCTTTAAATCTCAATAAAGTCATTGTTTTGGGCTCATGAAAACAGAAATTTATATTCAACATTTGTAAAAATCTCCACTGATTGTCTGAAGTTTTGAAACTTGATATTTATTGGCATTTTAACTTCAGAAGACCAATTTCCATTTTCATGGGCCAAAATAGCAGCCTTTTAAGCACTTTTACTTTCATACTGTTTGAAAATTATTCTCATTTTAAACAAAACATATTAGTTGTATAATTTGTAAATGAATATATTTTCAGTAACAGTTAATCTGCAAAAATGACTGAAAAGACTGGAAATGTGCCTCCACCTTCATATCAAACTATTCCACAACCCGGGGAAGCTTCTCCTGCTTATCCCAACGAACCTCCACCAAAGTATGAAGCACCTCAAGGTGGCTACCAACAGGCACCCCAGCCAACAGAGTACCCAGCCCAGGGAACATATCCCCAGACTCAGGGATACCCATCTCAAGGTAAGGCGTTAAATTGTGTCATAGCGTATGTACCAAATCGAGAGATTGTATCCCCAGACACAGGGAGTGCAAGGTAAGTCGTTAAATTGTGTCACAGCATATGTACCATGCCTAGAGAATGTATCCCTAGACACTGGGAGTGCAAGGTAAGGCATTAAATTGTGTCACAGCATATGTACCAAGTCTAGAGAATGTATCCCCAGACACAGAGAGTGCAAGGTAAGGCGATTAATTGTGTCATAGCGCATGTATGAAGCCTAGAGAATGTATCCCCAGACACAGGGAGTGCAAAGTAAGACCATAAATTTTGTGACAGCATATGAAACTGAGGAATTGTATACCTGAATACCTTAACCAAGGCAAGATGTTAAAAGTATTTCAATATTCCCAGACTCGGGAAAGACAAGGCATAATGTTATTTAGATTGTGTCACATATGTTATTGACTCTTTAAACAGGTAGAATATTGATCACAAGTAGTTGTCTGGTATGTTACCTCTATTTTAATTTTAACAGAGTGTTGCCTTAGTAACATGTCCTTGTCCCAATAAAACTTATTATATTGATAATTTTTCATCACTAATAACTATTTTGCATTTCAGATTGACTAATTAATGAAAAAAGTGCTTTAAGTTGTTATTATTCAGATAACCGAAATGAAGTTACAAGGATTTTACTGGATCTGATCATTTCTACTTTCTGTTTTGGAATAGTTGTAAACACTTGTGAAATTTTATATGCAGAGTCAAAGAACATCTGATGCATATTTCTTTCACTGAGGTTAGAGGACCTGCTAAATTGCTGAATATCAATATGTGGTTTATGTCGTGATATGATTTCCTGGTGTCTGGATTAAATCTTTTGAAGGATTATTTTAATTTGATATGCAAATGTTTGTCAGAATTCTAGCTGTTTCATTCCTTGAAGGATTCTCATCAAACTTCATATTCATAAAACAACAAAATATCTAGAAAATATTTAGTTTAATAGTTGTTGGGTCAAGGTCATTGTTACTGTTTTCAGAAAGCCATTGTAAGCATTCTTGTGGCTTCATTCTTTGAGTGATCCTCAAAAAACATTACACTCTTATGAAGTTTCAAAATGTCTTGGATGAGTTTGAGTTTAATGGTTGTTGGGTCAAGGCCAAGGTCACTGTTACTTAAAATAGATAATTATTGTCATAGTGGCTTCATTCCTTGAGGAATTCTTATAAAATTTACTGGTACACACTTATTTGGAATTAAAATATCAAATCTTGGATTCAGGGTTGTTGGCTAAAGATCACTGTTGCTGTTTTAAGAAAATCATTGTCAGCATTCTAGTAGCCACACTTATTGAGAGATTTTTATGAAATTTCCCCAAATTTACAAGAAACAGCACCATCTGTATATGTCATTACAGTGTAACAGCTTGTGAGGGACAGTAGGGGACATGTATTGCTTTAGTAATTACTTAGAATGCTGACATTGTTCTTTCAATATTTTTTGTCTATGGAAGAGGTCAATATACATTTCAATGTATCAGAATTGGGATTTATTATCCGCTCAACTGACTGACTGTGCTGAAGAAAAATCTCTGTATCTAAGTGCTGTATTGAGGCTAGTAAAAACCTTAAGTTTCCAGGTATCACACCTACATGTATGTCTATATGTATTATACCTTCATGTATGCCTATATATATTATACCTTCATGTATGCCTATATATATTATACCTTCATGTATGCCTATATGTATTATACCTTCATGTATGCCTATATATATTATACCTACATGTATGCCTATATATATTATACCTTCATGTATGCCTATATATATTATACCTTCATGTATGCCTATATGTATTATACCTTCATGTATGCCTATATGTATTATACCTTCATGTATGCCTGTATGTATTACACCTATATTTATTATACCTTCATGTATGCCTATATATATATGATACCTACATGTATGCCTATATATATATTATACCTTCATATATGCCTGTATGTATTATACATACATGTATGCCTATATAACTTAGAGTCCCGTCATAGGTGCTTATATGACACAGGACTTATTTTTTATTTATTTCAATGCTTCTACTAGGGATCGGAACTTGCAATCAGAATTACTAGTCTTGGCACTTAACCAAGAATCAAGAATTGGATTTCCATCTACTTTTCAATTAATTTACTCAAGTGGTTAAATTTTGCTGGGTTTCAGGACAGCCAGTGTATATGGCACAGCCAACCTATGTGGTACAGCCTCGGGTTGGATTTGGACCTGATTCTCAACCGATGCAATGTCCACATTGTCATGCTCAAATAAGCACCAGTCTGGACTATGAAGCAGGTGCTCTCACCTGGTTGTCAGCAGGTGTTCTCTGTGTTTTTGGGTAAGTATATCTGATACTATTTTCCATGTAATAGTATATGTTTACATGTAAAAGGTTTCAGAACAAATTTATTTACCTTTGTTTGTAAAAACTGCAGAAAGTTGTGGAACTAATTCCATCTGAATATCCATTTTGTTCTCGAACTCAAAACATTTTTTTTTATATTTTTTAGAAACTACTGACTCAAACTTGTTCTTTTAGCACAATTTAGGATTTATATGAAGAATCACAAAATCGGTGCGCTTAAGAAGTTGATGCTATAGGGGAAAATAAATTGAACACCATTTTTTAGAAAAGCATTTAATTTGTATCTGTGTTTTGTAACAGGTGTTGGCTTGGATGTTGTTTGATTCCATTCTGCATCAATGATTTGTCTGACGTCCAGCACAAATGCCCCAACTGCAACAAACTGGTTGGTGTGTACCGAAAGCTGTCTTAAGCCTGCATATTGAGAAAAATGGACCACCCGTGTCTTTTTTATGACGGTTATTTGGCTTTGAATATACACATTACAGAGTGTGACATCTTGGCTGAATTAGAAAATTTGTTATATGTTTTAATCATGATTAGATAACTAGTGGTTATGAAAAATGTTGACATGTGGAAATGGATTTTTTTAAAAACTAGATAAGCAGAATCAAATATTTAAATTTTGCCTAAATAGTGAAGCTGACATTTACTTGTGAAAATCCATAATACTGGAAATCGATGTAAATATTATTAAATCAAAGTCATGATTGCAATTGTTATTAGTTTTTCATGTGTACATATATACACTTTCTTGTTTTCTGTTTGGAAAATACTTAGTCTAAGTGCCAGGTGAATTATGAAAAATTATGTCTTCTCAATTATATTCATAATAATCATTTATGCTAGAATTTATGAAGTGAAATTAGTCAGCATAAAAGAGGATTGTAAGGAACTAATTCCATCAATGATAAAAACTAGTCACTTTCATATTAAGTGTATATTCCTATATCTTCCCTCTAATATGCAAAGCCAGTTTTTTTGTACTTAGTAAAAAATAATATGTGTTTCTAAATTTTCCAGCATTAATGTATCAAGGAATTTGTCAATAATGTCAAAGTTTCTGTTCTAACACTTCAATGTAGCAAGATTTTGATATTTCCATTAGTCAAAATTTAGCAAGATTTTTATTTTCAAAAATTTTGTAACATTAATCAGGCACAAAAAAGTACATTGTATTCAACTGTTTAGGTTTCAGGTTTCAATTTTGAATACTCAATGTGCTGTGCTGAAGTTTACTGTAAAAGACGAGGTTTGCAGTGATGTTTTAATGACTCATAGCATTGTATGTAAACTTGCTATTAGAATCAAAAGATAATTTTAGACATTTCAAACTTTGTCTTACAAAAGTTTCAAGCTGTGATATTTTTCAAGAAAAATTTCAGATGGTCAGAGTAAATGTATTGATTTAACATTAACATCATAGAAGTATATAGGTAATAATGTAACATGCAGGACTGTTAAAAAATTTCATTATAAAATACCATCTTATAAGGTTGTCAAAAAATTCCTTTAGGGTTTAGGGTAAGTGATTTATATGGAGTAGTAAATACATTGTTATACAGTTGTATACTCTTGTAATGTGATAATGTCTACCCCAATTTTTGTAAGAGAAGAAGCTGTTATGAACTGATCACTAAAATACTAATACATCCATAGAAACATAATTAACAGCAGATGTTTCTCCTTAACACCGGGAAGTTCGGAAATGTTGACTTTAATGTCCGGTATCTACTCGCCATGATATTGCTGTTATTGACTACAACTGCAGCTAGTCCAGATCCTAAAGGTCATGCTAACTTGATGAATAGAGTTGATTATGTTGATTATGCCTTGAAAATAAAAGATATGCAAGATTATATGACTTAACTGCAGAGATTGTGGTATCCATTTTTTTTCAGATTTATTTATACCTTTCAATTTAGATGTGTATTTAAAAACTTTTAAACAAGTCAAATGTCAGTTTTATCAAAACTTTATTTATTTTAAATACATTATATACATTTTATTCTTTAGTGTTAGAAATCACTCTTGGGCTGCTTAGTTGTGTACTTAACACGCTGATGAAGTACTGGCTTCATTATGTTGTCTAATATCAATTTGTAATTCACAGAAAATTGTTATGATTGATTTTGTTATACTATTACTGAAATATCATAATTATTTTGTAATAAAAAAAATTGTTTTCCTTTGTGTGTCGTGTTTGTGCCTTTTTTTTACCAAACCATCATCAGATGGGCTATCCGAGTCAACCTTCGACCTTTGTCCAGCATCTGCTTTTTAAACAGCATTTGTTATCACTATGTCTTGAGAAGTGCTCAGCTAGATGGATCATTATAAAATTCCATATATATAGGTTCCACTTGGCCTCTAGGTTGTTCATCCAGAATTGGATTTATCATATGGTTAATGTTCCTGTCAGTACAACAAAGAACTCCGAGAAAAGAAGGAAAAATGTCAGAATTGAAAAAAAAATTATTAAGATTAATGATAGACACCCAGATCCCGCCATCTTAAACAAAATTTTCCATCTCTGTTAAACAATTTTTAACTGAAAATCAGTGGTAATGTTAAAGAAAAGGTGACAGCAAAGTGTTGTTATATTTCGGCCTGGTAAAAAGGTTAAACGTGATGGTTAAGTTTGACATTTTGTAACCTGATTGCGTGATCATGGTATTCCTGAACACAATCTGTTCTCAAGTTCTGTCTGAGTGATTTAAATGGCACAGATGGTCCTGTCTAGATTAATTGTTTCATATTTTTCAGGCTGGTTTGAAAAATCCAAGGTGGCCACTATCATGAAAATCCCATTAAAACTTCTTTGCCATTAAGCTAAAAAATTTGTGGCGAAATTAACTTGACTTGACATAGTTTGTAACTGAACAAAACTCTGAGTTTGAACAATCAAAAAACAAATTCAATATCTTTAACTTTCACCTGTTGAATTTAGCTCAGACTTGTCTGAATGGAATGACAAAGAAATTAGTTGGTGTGACAGTTAAGATGGCAACCATTTATGAAAATTTATTTTATACTTCTTCACTATATCACAGCGAAAATATTTTGAACCTGATATCAAGATAGTGCTGGTTTTAGTAATCTTTGGCACACAAAATATTAGATAATCTGATGGAAACTTACTAAGAGCAAATTAAGCATAAATACTACTGAAATTTAGAATTGTTTTAATTATTTCATGCACATTCCTTACTAATACCTCTATTGCAGTACCCTGGTCTTTAATGATAAAGATTAAAGTATGTATTTGTGAGTCTTTTCACCATCAAACAACTTCAGGTTCATAAGATTTGTATGTAGCATGTTTAGGTAGAGGGCTATCAAGACTATACATTCAAAATCTTAAACAATTTCTTTTTAGATGTCAAGAATTAGGATATTTGACCAACAGCATGCTATGATTTATGGGTATCAAATTTGTTCAAATAAATGAACTTGACCCACTTTCAATGTCACAGGGAGTAACTGACCAGATATCACTAGATCATCTCTTTACAGCATTGTTTAAGAATGGAATAATCATGGTCCACTGACAAGAAATTGACCATCAAACATGAGTAGGACAGTTTATCTACATTAATTTGCACCAATGTATGGTCTACTCAGATGTATGATTTGTTTATGAATGGGATTTACTGTATGGAAATACATTAACAATTTCTAATAAAATGTTCTAAAGAAATTGGGACACCACAATGCTGGATGGAAGGTAGGTAATTTTAGATATGAAGATGAACAATACTTGCAGGTGTTGAAAATGAGAATGCTGTCAAAGCTGTAAATCTGCTTCAAAATCCATCAAATCAGTTCAAATGGATGCTGAAAGTCTCTTAAGGAAATGCAAGACTATATTTTGATGGGAACTGCCTCAACCTGTCAATGGTGTAATTGGTTGGAGGTGGGGCACCTTCACCTGTCAATGGTGTGATTGGTTGGAGGTGGGGCACCTTAACCTGTCAATGGTGTAATTGGTTGGAGGTGGGGTGCCTCAACCTGTCAATGGTGTAATTGGTTGGAGGTGGGGCACCTTCACCTGTCAATGGTGTGATTGGTTGGAGGTGGGGCACCTTCACCTGTCAATGGTGTAATTGGTTGGAGGTGGGGCACCTTCACCTGTCAATGGTGTGATTGGTTGGAGGTGGGGCACCTTAACCTGTCAATGGTGTAATTGGTTGGAGGTGGGGCACCTTAACCTGTCAATGGTAAAGCTGGTTGGAGGTGGGGTGCCTAAGCATGTCAATGGTATAACTGGTTGTAGGTGGGGCACCTTAACCTGTCAATGGTATAGCTGGTTGGAGGTGGGGCACCTTAACCTGTCAATGGTATAGCTGGTTTGAGGTGGGGTGCCTTAACCAGTCAATGGTATAGCTGGTTGGAGGTGGGGTGCCTTAACATGTCAATGGTATAACTGGTTGGAGGTGGGGTGCCTTAACCTGTCAATTGTGAAATTGGTTGGAGGTTGGGTGGCTTAACCTGTCAATTGTGTAATTGGTTGGAGGTTCTGTGGCTTAACCTGTCAATGGTATAGCTGGTTGGAGATGGGGTGCCTTAACCTGTCAGTAGTATAGCTGGATGGAGGTGGGTTGCCTCAACCTGTCAATTGTGTAATTGGTTTGAGGTGGGGTGCCTCAACCTGTCAATGGTGAAATTTGTTGGAGGTGGGGTGCCTAAGCATGTCAATGGTATAACTGGTTGTAGGTGGGGCGCCTTAACCTGTCAATGGTATAGCTGGTTTGAGGTGGGGCGCCTTAACCTGTCAATGGTATAGCTGGTTGGAGGTGGGGTGCCTTAACCAGTCAATGGTATAGCTGGTTGGAGGTGGGGTGCCTTAACCTGTCAATGGTATAACTGGTTGGAGGTGGGGTGCCTTAACCTGTCAATTGTGAAATTGAATGGAGGTTGGGTGGCTTAACCTGTCAATTGTGTAATTGGTTGGAGGTTCTGTGCCTTAACCTGTCAATGGTATAACTGGTTGGAGGTGGGGCGCATTAACCTGTCAATGGTATAGCTGGTTGGAGGGGGTGCCTTAACCTGTCAATGGTGTTGCTGGTTGGAGGTGGGGTGCCTTAACCTGTCAATTGTGAAATTGGTTGGAGGTTGGGTGGCTTAACCTGTCAATGGTATAACTGGTTGGAGGTGGGGTGCCTTAACCTGTCAGTGGTATAGCTGGTTGGAGATGGGGTGCCTTAACCTGTCAATAGTAAAGCTGTTTGGAGGTGGGGTGCCTTAATCTGTCAATGGTATAACTGGTTGGAAATGGGGCGCATTAACTTGTCAATAGTAAAGCTGGTTGGAGGTTGGGTGGCTTAACCTGTCAATGGTATAACTGGTTGGAGATGGGGTGCCTTAACCTGTCAATGGTATAGCTGGTTGGAGATGGGGTGCCTTAACCTGTCAATGGTATGGGGTGCCTTAACCTGTCAATGGTATAGCTGGTTGGAATTGGGGTGCCTTAACCTGTCAATAGTAAAGCTGGTTGGAGATGGGGTGCCTTAACCTGTCAATGGTATAGCTGGTTGGAATTGGGGTGCCTTAACCTGTCAATTGTGTAATTGGTTGGAGGGGGCCTTTGCAAATTTGATTAAATTTTGTGTCCATCGAATGTCTTGATAAAAGATGAAATTGATCATAACCCTTTTTATCTAAATTTTTTGATTGGCGTTATCAGAGAGGTTTTTAACATAGACAGAGGGTCCTCACACAGGTCACTGTTTAAAGCCATATCCGCCAAACAGTAGTTAGTAGCAGGGAGATGAAGTTAAATCTTTCAAAATCTTCCTATGTTGATATAATAGAGTTTCTGCCAATTAAAGGTTTGGTTTGAGCATCATTCTCATTCTTGTGTAAAATTTAAAAAAAACTTATTTCAGTATTTATAGCTCACAGTGGTGCAGTTTATTAAAACCAAGACCGAGGGAACAGAGGTGGGGTTGGGGGCTAAGGGGGCTTTAGCCCCGCCCCTCTCTCCCCCCCCCCTCCCCCTCCCCCATCATATCATATACACTGTAGTGACAAAACACAATTCTGTGACAATACAGTATATATTTATTTCTTTGAATCATATTGTTGAAATATTTCAATCTTCATAATACGAAAAGTTTTACTTGATCTTATCGAACAAAGAAACTCTGCGAAATCAGTCATCTCGTGTGAACTTTCCAAATACCCTCTCGCGGTTTTCATTGTTTACAAATTCATTTGCAACATCAACTAAATTAATAGATGCAGTCGCCTCTTTGTGGACATGAAGTAGCATGCAGTTGTTCAGACGTTGTTGTGTCATTGTTGATCACAGATAGTTTTGATTCTGCGCAATGCTGATGCTGACCGTTCACTCGCAGCATTGGTTGCTGGTATCAAAAGTAACAATTTCAGAAGTTTTACAACTTCGCAAATAATCTCTCGTTGACTCCCTGTTATGTTGCAGTTACATTTACATTGTGGTATAAACAACAGACGAATTCAAATCATGGTCCTGTAACTGCAGCAAAATTAGGTAAGCTCCTTAACAGAAAATTACTTTCAAAAACAAATTATATCAATTCAACATAAGAAATTTTAATGACCGGCGCAATATTTTCAACATGACTTAAAAAAACATTTCAAGACAAACGTATATATTATCATGCCTAGTAACGATTTGCAATTTACATTTAATATTGTCATCATCACAATTTGAGGAATTAAAAAAAACATGGTTAAAAACAAAGTTTTTAGGTGTTTTTTAGCCTTTAAATTTGCAACCAAACAATGCTCAAATCCACCAGCTTAAGGGGGCTCTGCCCCCTGGTCCCCCACCAGGGCTTTGCCCTGGACCCACTGGGGGCCTTAAGGCGGCCCCGGACCCCCTGCCTTAATTATGTGTGTCAGTCCCCCCCCCCCCCCATGTCAAATCGTTTCCGCCGGACCCGAAAACTATAAATTAATTCTTCGTATTAACTAAATGGCCTTGAATCATATTTTTCTTGCACTTTTCTTGGATGAAACTCAATAAACATAACAAAAAAATAATGTTCTTGACAAATATCGAAGGTCACATGAGTCATATTTACTTAAAGACTCAAAACTATTCAATCTTCTGATTAACTAAGAGGCATTTTAAGACTGTATTTGACTGGAAGATTCTCGAAATGAATCCCAACAATTTTGTATGTTTTGTTTTTCAAAACTTAATAAATTTACCAACTTAGAATAGAAGTTCATATGACACAACCAGCAGAAAATAAATGTAACGTTTCAATGACAATATCGTCACCTTCATCAGACAGATGACTAGTGTGAAGCTGGTCAATAAAGCACAAGACGCTTACTCTTCCGGAATACCTTGTCTTATTCTCCTGATAACAAACTTTTCATGCAGCTAAACAGGAATGTGGGGGCCAAGACTCTCATTCATTCATGACAAAGTGTTAATCAAAACGTTGCTGAATTGACTGCAAATATTGTCACCATCTTAAAACGATCTTGATATATCTTAAAAAGGTCATAGGGATAAAATTTGCAACAACACACACAACTTGACCAAAAGACAAGGAGTTAGCAGATACTCAACAAGCATGCGAAAAAAAATACCCTGACCTTGACCCATATTCATGGTGACAGGGGCTACATTTTTATCTCTTGTTGATAGATACTATTTAACACTTGGTGAAGTAAGCATACTTTTGTTTTTAAATAGAATAGAATTAGTTAGATTTAGACTCACACTGAATGTCAGTGATGCGAGATCCGAAACGTAATATGAAAAGTATTGAATACCATAAGAGCAATGTAGGCCCACTGGGCCTTTTATTTACTGTTTACTGATTTAGAAGAAAAAAAGGTGTTACACTTATTATGAAGAAGATAACTTAATTCCGGTTAGGAATTTATTCAATTGTTTGTTTAATATCTTATGTTTTCATTATTCCAATAGTTGATTTTTTATATAGCTATTATAATATAATATTTAAGTTTTATTTTCATGTAGTAATTAATAGGTGTGCACATTGTTTTTTGTATCGAGACAGTTTAAGTATGATAACACCATTTTGCTACTATTATGGGTTGTAGGTGTATCTTTTCTCTTCTTTTTTTTCGTATATCTATATTCTGTAACATTTATTCAGGGCACTTGCCAATCAAGATTGGCTTTCAGAGTTAGCTCCCTTTAATCAGTGTAACTCTGGAATTGTGGGAAATGACACACTTTTGTCGGAAGAAAAGATGGCTACCACGATAAAAAGATGTAGAGAGACTCAAAACCGATGGATTTATTTGCAATGAAGGAGAAGACTAAATCATTTGTTAAACCATTCAGGAAAAAAGTGGAGAAATATTCTTTCGATAAACATTACCATGGATTAGATCGTGTGTATAGTTGCTAAGAAAATGAACTACGCTTTCGGCTAAAATCACTAACTCGAGCGAGGGATGCATCATTCAGTTTCCGTGTCCTTAGCTCCGGTGCTTTCATTTTCCGGGATTGCTTCAGTGTAAATCTTAACGATGATGTGCGATGTGATGCCCACGATCTCTGAGGACGGGTCGACGGACCGAGAGTCTCAGGGATCGGGGGATGATGCTAACTTTGAGCAGCTTATGGTAAACATGTTGGACGAGAGGGATAAGTTGATGGAAACACTACGTGAAACACAGGACTCGCTCTCATTGACTCAAGCTAAACTCTCAGACACAGAAAAAGAGAAAGAAAGCCTTCTCAGTCAACTTCAGTCCACAACCCCTCAGGTAAATACTTGTTTTCTCGTCCCCGGTTACGCCCACGTGTCGTAACATTGAATAGCCTGGTACAGACGCAGACGAACACTGACATCATCTTTGATTGGGGTCCATCAACCGCCATTTTGTATAAATTATAAACCAATGATCAGATCCTCAAAACGGAGATATTATTATTAATCCCTATTAAAGCACGAAATCAGATGCATATTTTATTGCAGATGGAATACAAGATGACGTGGTTCCTAATACCCGACTCCGATTCCAATACACATTGTTTTTGTGTAGCTAAACACCCCCACGGCTCCAAGAATAAATTACATTAGACAAGATGTATTTCATTCTGATTATCATTTCAAATTTCCGAATGCATGAAAGAAAAATAAATTAATATTTGAAAAGTTATGTGACGAAAAAACAGTTGGTAAATGATAGATTCCAAGATAGTTAGGAAAAGGTCCATTTTCTGTAATAGTTTCTTTTGGTTAAATGTACCGGGTAATGCAATTCTTGAAGAGATTGAAGCTAAGGCTTGAACAAGACTACTGACAATATTCATGTTCTCCATAGTATGCATCCAGAAGAACGAATGTATAAGAATTTGCCTTGATGCTATCATGACATTATTTTGAATTAAACTTGCCATTTAAAAGGAATCATGTGTCATATTTACAGCACAGTTTATTGTGAATAGATCTATAAATGAGAATTGTATTTTATATGTACACAGTACTGCATAGATTACTGCTCAATGTATTAACCTATTTTCAGACAGGCAGATAGTTCATCTTTGTATTAAGAAAATTGGTCAGTTCCACAAATGTCACTTTTCCCCTCCTGACTTTTTGATTTTCACAAATTTTTAAAAAAATTACAAGATTTGGGTTTCAATCAGTACTAAAATAAGGTTTGGGGTGATGGCATGATCTAAGGCAAAGAAGTTCTTACATCCAGGATAGATCTCTACCTGATAAGTAAGCTTGTTCCAAAATTGCAGTAATATTGCAGTGAACATCTGTACATTTCATGAAAATGTAGAATTTGTAAATATCTGCATTAAGAATTAAAGGTGGCATATATTAAATTGGGACTGCTGGAAACAAAACTCTTGTCATTGATACAGAACATACAGTATAATGTAATTATACTTAGGAATCTTGTATGATAATGTAATTTATAAATATATTGATGAATAAGTGCACAAGCTTATTATTTTTAATTTGATTAAGATTGTGACATAGACATTTTAATCTTTTAGTTTTTTATTTTTACTATGATAATTCCTCTTCACTGTCTATTCTCATTTGTTTTACATCAACTGATTTTTAATACCTAAGGTTATAATTTCCTGCAGTCAATTTATTTAATAACTCTTCAAGTTTAAAGTCACACATGACGTAAGATATACATGGAAGCATGTTTGAGTCAGAGACACATTCTTTTCAATGAGACTCCCATAAATTTTGAGAACCCAGTGTATCTCTTTATAATGAGAATCATTGAAATTTTTGATATGGTTCTCTGAACTCGCCTGAAAAAATCCTACAAAAATTACTGTGTCACTAAGTTCAGGATGTTGCTACTTTGATCAAATGTTAAGTGTGGCCTTTTTTTTTTAGTAAATCACATGTTTTTCTTAAAGTATTGATATGGTATGAATCTGATATTTATTTCTGTATACAATTGAAATTGTATGAAGTGTACATGTGTTGTTTATGAATCACTGCCTCAGAAATGTGTGCAAAAAAATTCCAGCTACATGTAATTCGTCGCCACATTTTGTGGTTACAGATGGCATAATTACTACAAACGTGTTTGCTATTTCTAAACTCTCTTTTCACTGATGCACATAAACTATGTTGAAGTATAAGTTTTAGCTTCTACTTACAGGTAAAAAGGAAAATGTCCTTTCTCATCATATATGAACATGTAATTTCCTTCCTAATAGATACCAGAGCTCTGAAATGATCATTAAATACCTGACAGTGATATATGATAGCTTGTTGTTATATAGTGTGTATTTGAAAAATGACGTGACTTATCATAATCTAGGTTAAAATATGGAGGCATCAAGAAAAATATCTAATATTTGTTTTGAAATTTTAAATGTTTTCATGAAAAGTAAATAAAATGGAATTTTTCTGTTATGATCTGTAAAGGGAAATAACTCCAATAATTTTTTCAGCTTATCTTCCCAGTTTTTCTTATCTTCAATGAATTTTTTGGTGGAGGATGTCTTAAAAAGTATTTCACAACAATCACTTTTACTTAAGTTATTGGTTGCATTTAGGAATATATGTCATTATAGTTTTGACAGTTTTTATGTCAATTCATGTTTTTCTATGATACATGTTTGTAAACCAATAAAGATCCATACATGTTCTAAAATTTATACTAGATACTTTTGATTCTTCTTCACACTTAGCATTACATTGTAAGTGTAATCCATGTTTGGTGAAGCATTTTAGTCAACAACTAGATAAATAATGTTATTAATTGTCAATAATTTTACTTCTCAATGAAGGTTCCCACGGGATTTAAAAGTATTACTTTTACATGTATGTAATTTGATTTAATGAAGTTATTCATGATTATAACATTCCTGGAAGAGTGTTCTTCCTACATATATTGTATGTGATAATCTTGTAAAGATAGTTGTATGTATATTTAAAAGAAAGATTAAAGGCGTTTGGTATACCTGTTCACCTTATCCATCTCCAAAAGTATCATCAGAATTGATTCGACACTGCATTTATCCAAGTTAAGCAGTCTTTAGATGTTAATTTTATACTTAAAAATTTGAATTCATGATTCAGTATAATATATTATTGATAAGCAGTGCTCCCGAGAATTTTGTAACCAATGGTTAAAGTACCCTTACTTTTCCAACCTTATGAATATAATATGAAATAACATTCACGCTATGAGAGTACATTGTATATTCACTTCTTAAGCTTCAAAGAGGACTACCTTGCCTTGACTTGAGTGATATTTCTTAATGAAAAAAATCGCTTTTCCTCATTTACTCAATAATTTTACTTACCTTTGCTTGTTGAAAAGGGGTGGTAGTTATAAAGCCTTAAAGGTTGACTGTTTGCTGCAATCTGTCGTGGTAATCACCAACTTCTAAATGAAACATTATCAGAATCATTAGTTATGGATCTGGAGGGGGAAAAATCATTGATATAAAGCATTTTTGCAAATAAGATTATGGATACAAAGTTAGAAAGGACGCCTTGTAATGTCTGCATCATATATGCACAAAAGCTCAGTATATACCATGCAACTAATGGGACCATGATATATTATAATGATTTCACTAGCATCCTGAAGATATTTTTATGCTGTCTGAGTTTCATACATAGTTGCTGCTTGGTCTATCTCTCTATCCTTTTCATGTCTGGAGCAAAACTTAAAGATTTTTCCTATAGTTAAGCAAGCTTTAAGAATCGTGAGACTTGATATGCTAACAATTTACTCTAGGGATATATGCAGTGTATTAGATTCTGGGACTACAATGCCTTTTATTTAGTATTTTATACATTACGTAAAGACAAGCTGGCAGCATACATATTCACTTTCACACACAAAATAATAAATATACATATACAAGATCATTGTGGTCGTCGTCCTGGTCATCATCAAAATTGCAGAGTTATTGCCCTTTGTTAAAGTAATGTTTTTAAACTAGGGTAATTCTAAGAGGATTTGCAGTGTATTAGTCAAGGCCAGCATGCCTTTTATTACATAGTTACTTCCCTTTTAAAATTTTGTGTGGCTGGAGCATAGCTTAGCCTGCATTTAAGCCAAGATAATGAAACTTGATTTATACGTTTATGATACTAAGTTGATGTGCAGTTTACCAAAGTCAATGTCTGTAGCCCATTAATTACACTGTTATTACCCTTTATGAAAATTTTGTGTCAAATCACGCTAGTCAGAGGGTTATTTTCTCATGTTCGAAGTGTTTTGAATATTTCTGTTGAATATTTTGTATATGGCTATATATATGTTTATATATGTAGATGTAGCCATGTGCAGCTGTAATATCATTACATAATATATACTGATGTGCACGACTACTGTTTGTGTTATCAGCATATAATATTACATTATACACATGTTCTGTGTTCAAATCCCAATCTTGGAATCAGGCTCATTACATTCCCTACTCACCAGATACAAAAGCTGTAGAGATTATTTACTGTTACATGGCACCAAATACTGACTGTTACATCCTCCAACTTCCAAGTCAATTAGAAACTGGTCTTGACTCTTATATACTACTTTTTCCCTGAGAAGCCCATCTGACAAAATTTGATTTTGATAGCAAAAAATGATCCAAATTATTTTCTATTGATTAAATTATAAATTACCATACAAATGGATGTTAATATTCTTATAGAAGATTTTTACCTATGGAAAATTGAATTCAGATTCAAAAGCTACCAAATCTTCAATTCTAAAGTTTTAATCTTTATTTTTCAAGCCCCACAGATATAATCTAAAGCATCATTGTTATGACTGGTGACATATGTACCTTAACGTTTTTATACCTTGTTTGATTAAATCTGCTGTATCATCTAAAGGAACATTGAATCAGCAAAAATCACATATTAAGATGTCTCTTTGATGATATGATAGATATCCGTTCTATCTATTGTAATTACAATTGGACATTTATGTGTTATAATACATACTAAAAATAGGGAAGGACAAGTTTTTCTTTGTAGGAAAAATGGCTATTCCCTAGTGAAAAAATAAACGAACAAAAACCATGGCCAGCCATAGTAAATTATTAGTAATCTTTTTCTATTTGGTAATGAAAAAGGTAATGATAATATGTGCTTGAAATAAGTTAGTATTTTTTATGAGTTTACACAAAAGAAAATCCATCTGTAGCAAGTTTATTGGTAGTTTTATGTATGGAGTCAAGTATCACTTTTACACTGCAGATGTATTGAATGCTTAAATAAATAAAGACTTGCAAGCAGTTAACGCTTTGGAGACTAAGTAATTTTCAAAAGACAAAATATTGATCTATAATACTTTAATTGAAAGTAGTAGCTATGTATGTTGTGGTTGTGAACACTTACAAGATGGATTTATCACAGGATATCTAATGAATGAAGGTAGTTACGCCCAGTTATAGCAACATACAGGGTAGATCTACACGATTGTGTAGCGTTCATTCAGTATGAAAAAAGAAGGAACAAGCTGTTTTGTGTAATATAACTATGAGAGAATTTGAACTGCGACAACACTTTCAGAAATACAAGCAATGGAAGGTAGTGTTTCTTTAATCTATATACCAATGTCAAAGATTTGTTGTTGGAAAATGCTGATAGGTATATATATAAATATAGATGTTTCACTGACACTTCTATTCTATTTATATATTATATAACTAGTAGACTGTAACAAAGCTGAATTTATGACCAGCTGTGGATTTTGAAAAAAATGTATAATAGTTTGATAAAACATGAATCTAAATTATACTGTGACATTTCCATCACCACGATACACTGGTTTTTGTAAACTTTTACCTCCTATAAACATATTACATTGACAATGTCAATATTTTTGTTGGAATACAATTTCTATACAGCTACAAGACCTTAATAGAATTGACTGTGATGGTAGTGATTTTTGTAGGGGTAATAATTAATTAGCTATCTATAGTATATATCTCTTGAACTGTGATTATGTCTTTGATGGCATACACACATTTCTGTCAGCAAAATGGGCATATTTTATATAAAGAATATTTCTAATTTATTTACACATATTTGATAACTTATTGATGCCATCTTCTTGCATAGATACGTAGTATCCCTATCAAGGCGATCAGATCTTGTACCCTGAAAATCTCTGTAGGGGATCAGTTCCTGTACATTGAGTATCCCTGTACCCTGGAAGTTCCTGTGTAGGGGATCAACTCCTGTACATTAAGTACCCCTGTACCCTGCAAGTTCCTGTGTCGGGGATCAGCTCCTGTACATTGAGTACCCCTGTACCCTGCAAGTTCCTGTGTTGGGGATCAGCTCCTGTACATTGAGTACCCCTGTACCCTGCAAGTTCCTGTGTAGGGGATCAGCTCCTGTACATTGAGTACCCCTGTACCCTGGAAGTTCCTGTGTAGGGGATCAGCTCCTGTACATTGAGTACCCCTGTACCCTGGAAGTTCCTGTGAAGGGGATCAGCTCCTGTACATTGAGTACCCCTGTACCCTGCAAGTTCCTGTGTAGGGGATCAGCTCCTGTACATTGAGTATCCCTGTACCCTGGAAGTTCCTGTGTAGGGGATCAGCTCCTGTACATTAAGTACCCCTGTACCCTGGAAGTTCCTGTGTAGGGGATCAGCTCCTGTACATTGAGTACCCCTGTACCCTGCAAGTTCCTGTGTAGGGGATCAGCTCCTGTACATTGAGTACCCCTGTACCCTGCAAGTTCCTGTGTAGGGGATCAGCTCCTGTACATTGAGTACCCCTGTACCCTGGAAGTTCCTGTGTAGGGGATCAGCTCCTGTACATTGAGTACCCCTGTACCCTGGAAGTTCCTGTGTAGGGGATCAGCTCCTGTACATTGAGTACCCCTGTACCCTGGAAGTTCCTGTGTAGGGGATCAGCTCCTGTACATTGAGTACCCCTGTACCCTGGAAGTTCCTGTGTAGGGGATCAGCTCCTGTACATTGATAATCCCTGTCTAGGAGATCAGATCTTGTACCCGGGAAGTTCCTGTGTAGGGGATCAGTTCCTGTACATTGAGTATCCCTGTATCCTGGAAGTTCCTGTGTAGGGTATCAGTTCCTGTACATTGAGTATCCCTGTACCCGGGAAGTTCCTGTGTAGGGTATCAGTTCCTGTACATTGAGTATCCCTGTACCCTGGAAGTTCCTGTGTAGGGGATCAGCTCCTGTACATTGAGTACCCCTGTACCCTGGAAGTTCCTGTGTAGGGGATCAGCTCCTGTACATTGAGTACCCCTGTACCCTGGAAGTTCCTGTGTAGGGGATCAGCTCCTGTACATTGAGTACCCCTGTACCCTGGAAGTTCCTGTGTAGGGGATCAGCTCCTGTACATTAAGTACCCCTGTACCCTGGAAGTTCCTGTGTAGGGGATCACTCCTGTACCCTGGAATGTAGGGGATGAGTACCCCTGTACCCTGGAAGTTCCTGTGTAGGGGATCAGTTCCTGTACATTGAGTATCCCTGTACCCTGGAAGTTCCTGTGTAGGGGATCAGTTCCTGTACATTGAGTATCCCTGTACCCTGGAAGTTCCTGTGTAGGGGATCAGCTCCTGTACATTAAGTACCCCTGTACCCTGGAAGTTCCTGTGTAGGGGATCAACTCCTGTACATTAAGTACCCCTGTACCCTGGAAGTTCCTCTGTAGGGGATCAGTTCCTGTACATTGAGTATCCCTGTACCCTGGAAGTTCCTGTGTAGGGGATCAACTCCTGTACATTGAGTATCCCTGTACCCTGGAAGTTCCTGTGTAGGGGATCAGTTCCTGTACATTGAGTATCCCTGTACCCTGGAAGTTCCTGTGTAAGGTATCAGCTCCTGTACTCTGAATACCCTTGTCTAGGGGACTAGCTCCTTTATCCTGATTCTCCTTGTTTACAGAACCAGCTCCTGTTTCCTCAATATTACTCAGCTCCTTGTAATAAGTCTTTTATTCATAATCTCACTGAAGCTAACTTTGCTGTATAAACTCACCCATTTGAATATGTTATTTAAGTTATGTTTGAGAAATGTTTAACAAGTGTGATTCTCAGAAGGTAGTGATATTCTTTCCTACTTACTCATTATGTATATATTCTTCAATTTATTAAATTGGTTTTAATTAAAAAATGGTCAGATATGAAATACTTACCATCTAATTATTATTTATTTACAAATGTACTTAATTTGGTGCCAGCATCTGTTTTAGTGATTTATAATTTTAATATTGGTGATATTATCAGTAATAAGTATTAGGCACATTGATGAATTTGCACACCTAAATTTATACAACACACAGAAACTGCAAATTAGCAAAATCACACTTTAGCACAAATTAGCACAATCACACTATAGCACAATACTTGCACAGTAAATATTACGAAAATAAGGTTACCTCAAAAATTTATTATGAAAATAAGGTTACCACAAAAAATTATTACCAAAATAAGGTTACCACAAAAATTTGTACATTAACAGCATTTGTTATCCCCTGCAAAACACGTTTAGGAGGGATAGTAGTTTTGGCTCTGTCCATGTGTGTGCATCCATCCATCCCATGGCTTTTCCAGGCTATAACTTCAAAACCATTTCATTCAATTGAGTTCAGTAAAACTTTCTGTATACATTAGGTTAGTGTCCTAGTTGTGCATTTTACTATTGATGACATTTCATTTTTATAAATTTTTCTAATACCATGGAAACAAAGTAAAAAAACACAAAATTAGTGTTAACTTTCCTTTGTGTACTACAGCTTGGAAACCATTCTACTCAACTCCAGAAAGCTTTTTGTATAAAGTAGCTTAGTGTCCCTGTTGTGCCTTTTTCTTATTGAGGACATTATGTTATTTATCTTTTTGTTACCATTAATTTTTTTTCGATTTCTTGTGACTTCTTGTATTTTTTCCAGAGCTCATAGATTGTATTCATGGGCAATACCAATCTCTATTCAATATCAACAGTCAAACACACAGGATCTACATCAAGATATAAACTCTTACTATAAGGTTGATATAATGTTGAAGTTGAGGAGATGCAAAGGAAATTTAATTGATAATTAACCAAAGAAGACGTTCCATTTTGCACTGCACTTTCACTGTAATAGATATTCAGGTGATAGTAGCGGTACATAATTGAGTGACGTCACAAATTTTTATACTAGTACATATATATTACATTATATTTTGGTTTTACACCAACAGCTGAGTGTGGGGGATAATGCCACGTTTTGTGACTCCTACTTTTTATACATAAATTAACAAATACTTACAGAATTAAATTAAGAGAGACTACATGTGTGATGTATGGTATGATCTGATAAGGTTTTGTTAAAATTTATCAACCCAATAACTGTCTGTACCTATGTAATATGCTACCGAATTATTTAATCATAAGAAATGGTGCGTTAAATGTGAACACAGTTGAGTTGTAAAATATGTTACAAGACTAATCATTGATTGCAGAGTAAGTTGTGATATCTTTTAAAGCAGTGATCTAGATCTGACCATTACGTATGAAACCAGGGGACAAAAACACATCTTTTTCGTGATTTACCCATTTATATTTGGACAAATTTTGATAGGCTATATAGGGATTTATCTGTTGTATGTTACAGAAAGGTTCATAAAAACATGAAAGGGAAAATCTGATGTTTTTATTTAATGTTTTGCATATGCAGTGGTAATTTTTATTAAAAACACAGTGTACTCTTTCAGTCTTCAATTTAATGTACACCGCCTTTGGTTATTTGTCCGTTAAAGTTTTAGTCTCATACCAAGAGGGTGTCAAATTCGTGATGTATAAATTCTGATTATCAATGTCTTTTTTGTTCATTTACAGCAAGAATATGCATCACTGGCAAAAGAAGTGAATGCTATGCGAGATCAGTTATTGGAGCGAGAAGAAGAGGTTTCCGAATTGAAGGCAGAACGCAATAATACCAGGGTAGGTAGCAAAATTGACGCCCATTAGCCAATTAAGGTTATGATATACAGGGTGTATTTAACAAATTGATAAAATAAACCAATTCAAATCAGTGTAATGCATGATTGGTTATTAATTAATCTCGCAACCAACCAATCAAATTCAGTGTTTGTAAAATAGGGTAGGGATGTGACAATCTCAGTCAGTCATCAATACAGAATAGGAACTAATTTAACAATCATTCATTCGTTGTTATAGTAACTACAAACAAATAGAATAAGTATACATAACTGGATGGTACTAATCTAGGATTGATGTATAGGATTGGTTATAGACAAGATTTATAAAAAAAAAGTCGTCTGATGTGTACATGGGTTTGAGTATTAATCCTATTACGGCCAGAAAACAATCTAGTCTCAATGTGAATGACCAGTGAAGCTGCCCGTTTTGTAGAACTGATTTACTGTAAATTGGTAAAACAGCAGGGATGAGATCTTCAGCTTCCTGTCGACTCCAAGCATATTACATAGACTTAGGACTATAGATGCTGACAGCTGATTGGCTGGCCACCTGTTATCAGTTATTAGATATAAACAGTTGTACATATAGCCAAAGATCTCCGAAGTCAAGCTTGGTCATTTTGTAAAGCTATTCCAGTATAAGTTGCACACTTCATTATGTTATCGTTAAATTGTTTGTTCTTTTTTGTATAAGCTTTCCTTGGACAGCAACATGTCAATTTTCCTTTGGTTTATTCCACTTGTTTTCAGTCTTCAGTAATTGTGACTTTTTTGTGTCTATTGGATTTACTTGACAGTTACAATTTGTTATAAAAGATAAAAATTTTTAGAGATATCTAATATAAGCTAGGTAAAAAGGAAATACTGATTTGTGTTTAAAAGAGGCAGTTGCAATAGTTTCATATATTTTGAGAGAAAAAAAAAGATTACAAAAATGTTAAGGTATGTATGTTCAGTGACTAGCCATGACACTATGTGTGTAACTGTAATGTCTCCCCATAAATGGTTTTTGAAACAGAGCAGAAACTTGAATTAGAAAAAGCTAACTAGGACAGCATATAATGATAAGATATATATTGAAAGTCTTGTTAGCATAAATAAAACGAAAAATTGATATTGGCCAAATTCATATGATTTTGTATATTGTAATGATCATCAGAGGCGATATAATTAAAAAACCAAAGATAACATACACATGATTATATTGTAATGATTGTGATAATTGTACTTAGGTTTGTTTATATAACCAATATAAAGCTGATTTAGCTGTGGGTAATGATGGTTGATAGGGGAACATTTACTGTCTGTATCCTGTAGGATATAATGATCGAGGGAAGGGTATTGAGTAGGCAGGCTCCAGTAACAGCCTCTAACTGCTCATAATCATTGTGGAAATTATATCCATAATATCATGAGGATGGTGTTCAGATACATGGCTAGGATTCAGGTTTAGGTCAAAAACTATGAACTGGGTGGAATCAAAGTCATGCAATTTTGTTTATAAATAGTTTAAAGAAGATAAGATTTTGCTTTAAAATCCATAACATATGGTTTAAATATTTTCTGAATTTTAAGAATTTAAAGTAGATATCATTGCCCCAAATAATAAATACCATCCAGAAATATTTTGATGAATTAAAGTATGAAGTATGTAAGATGAGGTGGTTGTTTTCTGAATTTAACAAATATTCAAGAACTGATTGTTGTAACATTTTAAAATAGTTTTGATAAGTGCTTCAGTGTGCTTATGTATCAGATATAAAAAAAATAGAGGGAAGAATGAGATTTTACTAGGGTTTCCATCATGCTCCTATCATCCACAGCATATGTCTGTCTCTCAAGCCATATGTTTGGACTCTTATCAAAATAGATAGGAAACACTTATCAAAATGGAGTGTTTACAAAACAGATGTGTTACATGTACAGGGGACAGACGTGTTAGAACTACAAAACCCCTGTCAGTATTTACTGCATTATCAGAGTACCATGTTTGCTCTTTCTTTGTTACATGCAAGACATTACTGGGAGGAAAAACTTTCCTGACAAACCCAGTGCTCGGAAGATAAAGTTAGCATTGTCACACCAGAAAGGCAACTTCCAGATTATATAGTATCTGGAAAAAATAAATTTGAACTATATATAGATATAACGGAATAAGAAGGATGTGAATAAATAGAAACTTTATTTTTTCTACAAATTTTGCGAAACAAGTAATTTCAACTTATGTAATCATTCTTTTTGTTCCGGATGTAAGCGTGTGAGGGGCTTATTGTGGGGGGAAACTGGAGTATCCAGGGAAAACCCATGTGGTCGGGCAGGTGACCCTACCTTTTCACATCCGTTCCGGGAATCGAACCCCAGACAGCTAGGTGAAAGGCGAGTGCGTTACCACTGTGCCACCCGACCACCCTAAGAAAGATGTTATCATCCATTGTTATTTCATGGCATTTAGACTTCTTTTTAGAAGGCTTAGATGGTTTAGGAAAATCTGAGCAACTGAGGAATGTTTGAATTTAAAGTATTCATAGAAGTTATTTTTGATCTATGTTCATCAATACTTCCAGCATGTGTTAAATGTTGGCAACAGTTATTGAAATCATAAATGAGTTCCATATTGATGTAATGAAGACAGATAATTTTACAAACTGCTTGCTATAACACATTTAAACTATATATACCTTTGAATTTAAGGTACTTTGATATATGTGTAAGACCTTTAAAGTTGCATTGCCTTTCAAGTTGTTTCACTTTAAAAACTGATAATCCCTTATACTGACTGCAACTTTGAAGTGAGCTTACCTTTATTGCTACCTTTACCTGTAAATTATGTTTACATATGAACTTCATGTTTGAAATGTGACTTTATCTTTAGAATGAATTCACCTGTAAATTGATAGATTTTTTAATTGAATTTACCTTTAAAAAACTATGAAGGACTTTCTCACTATTGATAAGATAATCATTTATGTAGTGCTTACACTAGTACATGCCGTTTTACTGATGAGGTATGTGAGAGAAAAATACAATAAGACTCTAGGAAATAACCTAGAAAATTGAAGATGTAATGGGAAGTTTTACTTTACATTTCAATCGTTTATTTTCTGATTTGCCCTTTTTACCATGTCCTAAAGTTAATCCAATGATGCTTGCTTTTTATTACAGTTGCTGCTGGAGCACCTAGAATGTCTAGTATCTAGACATGAACGATCTCTCAGGATGACTGTGGTCAAGCGACAGGCTTCCTCCCCAGCGGGCGTTTCCAGTGAGGTAGAAGTGCTGAAAGCACTCAAGTCCTTATTTGAACACCATAAAGCTTTAGATGAAAAGGTGAGTGATTCAGTCCACACTGGATGTAAGGTTCATCTTTACTAATTGATTCATCCTAACCAACCATAGACTAAACAATTCCCTGTCAGTTAGATGGTCAGAGCAAATAAATGTTGTATTAAAAAGGTCTCTATTCCTAGTCTTAAAATCTTCTTTGTCCTTGATTGAATAATCTTCTCCTTATCAATGGTTGGTTGAACAGTTCACTTCACTTGGCAAAGTTATCAACATCTAAACATGATTAAACAGTTCACTTTTCTTGGTTTAGATAACAAGTCTCATCAACACTGGGTTGAACAGTTCACTTATTAACAACCTTCATCAGTCCTTTGAAGGGAAATGAACTTTCACTGGTTAATTGAATGATCATACCTTATCAGTCCCATACGGAACAGTACTAAGTCATCAACTCTCATAAATACAGCATCCATCGGACGTCGGACGTCAACTTTTTACTAAAAATCACTACTTGTCATGAATAACTGAGAAGGTTTGACCAAATTTGGTCTGAAACATCCATTGGGGAAGGGATTTGTGTAAATATTGGTTCTCGACCACCAGGGGACTGAGGAGCAGTGTCCAAAAGTGGAAATTTAATTAGTTCTTTAAATTTTGTTCTGTTCTATAGAATTGACTGGGGTGGGTGGGTGGCTATATAGGGGAAATAAAGCAGATTCTTTACGATCCTGCTCCTCCTTTAGAAGTGATTTAATGTTGCCCGTTTTAGGTTTAAAGCATTACTAGGGGAAGGGGAAGCAATTTTGCATAAACAATTTGTCATGGCTCCAGGAGGCTGGAAGTTCAGGGCCCATTAAGGGAATTTGAGAAAATTGTTTAAAATCCTACTCCTCTTGTAGAGATGATTGATTTTGACCGACTTTGGTCTGAAGTGTTGTTAGGTGAAGAGGAATTCATTTCTATAAACAATGGATCCCTACCTCCTGGGGTGGGAGGGGCAGGGCCCAATTGTCAGAATAATTAAATTTTGTCCGAAAATGGTCTGAATCATCATTGGGTGCATCTGATTCCCCTTTGAGCAGAGGAACAGGGCCTTTGATGGGAATTAAGATACTTATCTTTCAAATACTTATCTCTTTCTTTAAATAAAATAATATTTCAACAAACTAAACTAGGTGAGTGATATAGGCCCTATGGGCCTCTTGTTTTAAATGCTACATTCCATCCAATTGGTGTACATTTTTATCATTAGTCCAATTTCTACATACACTTTCTTTATATTTAATTTCTAACTTGCACATTATCTGTGTGTGTGAAGTTGAATCTCTTGTTTCTTTCTACAACTTTGAAGTCTCTATGATTGATGTCAATAGATGTGCTGTAACTGTTGGTGGTATGTTTATAAGGAGCAATGTTCCCTGATCTGTTGGAGAACATTGGCAGTTCAGGGCTGTTGTTGTCAGTATACTTTACAGCTGATAAGTAATACTTGGATAGCAATGCACACACATTTTCCATTGTGAAGAAACTTTGGCAGGATTCTCAAAGAGTAAAAGCTGTTTATATTGCTTATGTGATATCTAACACCTCAGAAATGGTGATTTACTTAGATACAGAGGGTTTCATATATGATAAGCTCCAATACTATTTCTTGAAAATTTAAAAAATTTCTCTAAATTACCTGGTAATCTTGCAGTAAAAAAAATCTTTGAACATTTTATCTTATCAATCTTGTATACTCTGACTTATGGCTATATGCAAAGATACTTTTACTCAAATCCTGCAATCAATTTTGGAAGCTCGAAGCTGCAGGTGGAATGTCTTAATTCTCTCACTAGAACAGGAAGTATGAAAATGTTGCCAACCAAAAACTGTGTTGTACCTGGCCGAAAATTTCATCAAATTAAGGTTGGTCAAACCAATTACTTTTTATATCAGATAACGTTCTTACTAAGATAGTTATAATGCCATAATGTGCTGAAAATATGAATTTTGTCAGTTTTTTCCTTGGGAGGTACTGAGCTATTAATGTGTTTGTATGCTGTTGTTTGTATGCTGTTCTTTCGTTTGTTCAAGGTTCGTGAGAGGTTAAGAGTAGCCCTTGAGAGAGTAGCAACATTAGAGGAAGATTTGGCCAGTGCCAACCAAGAGGTAAGTAACATTGTACTGATATTCCTGCCATTGCTGTTTGGACCAGTTGAAGGTCAAGGTCATGTGCCTCTCAGTTATTTTTTGTTCACTGGTTTCAGACTTATTCAAAGTAAATTAAACCACACTTAATCACCTAAAGGTCAGTTGAAGGTCAGGTTGGCATGTTCATAGCTGAAATGGCAGACCTTGAGAAAAGGAGGATTCAATTACCCTACCGTATATAAAAAAAATATATTGGGCAACAAGCCAACCTTGTGGGTTTTCTCTTGTTTTTACTCAATTCCAAAACTTTAAAATGTACTTATGACTTAAGAAATGAAATGGTCCTTTGTAATGACTCTTATTTCTTTGCAGTTGTTTACATTACGAGAGCAGCAGAGTAAGTCACGTCATTCCAGTGGTAGTACAGAGGATGGCAAACCAGCCAAGTTGGAGGCCATACAACAAGAAGGGACGGAGTCCAACAAGCCGGACCACTTACACCACCCAAAGGTAAGAAACCATCTCCCTTAGACCCTATCATTGGCAAGACACCAACCGTCAGCTCTATTTCTACCAGGATTTTTAACTGGGATCACTTACATGACACCAACCCTAAGCTCTGTTTCTACAAGGATTTTATAATATGAGTCGTTTACATGACCCTGACCCTCAGCTCTGTTTCTACAAGGATTTTATAATACGGGTCACTTACATGACCCTGACCCTCAGCTCTGTTTCTACAAGGATTTTATAATATGGGTCGTTTACATGACCCCGACCCTCAGCTCTGTTTCTACAAGGATTTTATAATATGAGTCGTTTACATGACCCCGACCCTCAGCTCTGTTTCTACAAGGATTTTATAATATGAGTCGTTTACATGACCCCGACCCTCAGCTCTGTTTCTACAAGGATTTTATAATACGGGTCACTTACATGACCCTGACCCTCAGCTCTGTTTCTACAAGGGAGTCGTTTACATGACCCCGACCCTCAGCTCTGTTTCTACAAGGATTTTATAATATGAGTCGTTTACATGACCCCGACCCTCAGCTCTGTTTCTACAAGGATTTTATAATACGGGTCACTTACATGACCCCAGCCCTCAGCTCTGTTTCTACAAGGATTTTATAATATGAGTCGTTTACATGACCCCAACCCTCAGCTCTGTTTCTACGAGGATCCAGGTCTAAAGAGATAAAAAAGAAAGAAGGAAATTTAGTTGCTCTCACCCAGTCCCCTATCCTCTGCCTGAGTCAAGTAAAACAAGACTGATAATTAGTAATCATCCCTCAAGACCTTCTCTTATGGTGTACAAGTGTCCAAATAAAACAGACTGGATACTTGCCACCAAGACCCCCTTCTCTACCATATCTCTACAGCAATCCAAGTCTTAACATGCAGACCATGTACACTACTCTCTTCAATCCACTTCCTCCCTTCTGTAAGTAGGCCAGGATATTTTCCTTCTTTGTCCAAGGCTTAAAAACAGAATCATTTATAATATTCATTGGTAAATACCAGTCTTTTTCCATCCTCGACCATGATTCTACTGAGATACTAATCCAAAATGTTGGATTACTACTCCTATCCAAGGTATGGACCTTCAATAAGAAGGATTTCCTTAAGTCATACCACAGTCTCCATGATACACTATCATAAGGATTTGATTTGATATTGATGTTCATTAAGCATGTCTGATATAGCCAAGATATTCCAAGATTTAATAGTTAATAATCATTTAGACAATTTTGAAAAGAAAAAATTCTTTATGTTACCAATTTTTATTTGTTTTGCCTGTGTTTTTGTAGCGATTATCAAATGGATCCATTGATCCCGACTCTGACGTCAATCGAGTTATAGAGCTACAGGACACTGTAGAGAAGCAGAACTCCGAGCTGACATCAGCCAGAACCAAGATGTTAGAAATGACTAATAAGATGACTGAGCTTGAGGAAAATTATACATGTAACCAAAAAGATTTGATTAAATGTCAGGAGCAGGTGGTCAAGCTCCAACGAGATCTGCGAGAGGTAAGAGCAGTGTTACACAATAGAAAAAAATCATGATAGATATGCAAAAAAGGAAATTACATCAATAAAACATAATAGCAGTGTTATTCTAAGTTCTTCCTGATTGAGTAAATGTGAATGCAAGTATTTCTTCATTTTGTATTATTTTGAAAGCTGAGTGCTATATTTCTTCAAAAAACCTTGCCAAAAAGGAAATGTATGTAATACATATTATGTTATGTTTCAAGGGCAACCCAGTATATAGCCATGATTTTGCTCAGAACATTTTTCCCTTATTATATAAAACCGATTAAATGATATAATTTCTATGTATTTTGTCATCCACCAACCATTTTCTATTACAAAACTGTCAAATTCCCCAACCATGAACAAAACTGTCAAATTCCCCAACCATGAACAAAACTGTCAAATTCCCCAACCATGACCAAAACTGTCAAATTCCCCAACCATGACCAAAACTGTCAAATTCCCCAACCATGAACAAAACTGTCAAATTCCCCAACCATGACCAAAACTCTCAAATTCCCCAACCATGAACAGAACTGTCAAATTCCCCAACCATGAACATAACTGTCAAATTCCCCAACCATGAACAGAACTGTCAAATTCCCCAACCATGAACAGAACTGTCAAATTCCCCAACCATGAACAGAACTGTCAAATTCCCCAACCATGAACAGAACTGTCAAATTCCCCAACCATGAACAGAACTGTCAAATTCCCCAACCATGACCAAAACTGTCAAATTCCCCAACCATGAACAAAACTGTCAAATTCCCCAACCATGAACAGAACTGTCAAATTCCCCAACCATGAACAGAACTGTCAAATTCCCCAACCATGAACAGAACTGTCAAATTCCCCAGACATATCACCATGTTTTTAGTTTATTTTTGTCTGAGATGTCTGTCTTTCTATTGAAGAATCAGTCATATGTCAAGTAAACATAGTAAACAACACTCATGGTAAAGATGTATTGTGGTGGTTGTATATTGTAAGTCATTCCAATAGCAGGAAAAAAACCCAGGAATTTTCTTAATTTCATTTATATCAATTAATTCATTTCTAATTCAATTTTACCTGTTAGCTAGATTTATGAAATGTAGTCCTGGTCAAGACCTGACAATAATGTGTAACGTCAGCCACGTATCTGTCGATACTCTGCATACTGTGCAGAACGTTAGTAAATAGTATAAAATTGAACTACAAACACTTTAATGCTATATCCGTAATTCATAACGTTTAATTCCTCAAATAACATTGATTAAAAGATCAAAATTAAAATATGTTTTGTTTGTTTATCTACTTTCATGTATCAGGTCTTTGTTCACTCGAACATAAGTACATTTTATAGCACATGAATTGTTTTATGGGGGTGTTGTCCAGAAACCCTGTTGTATTGTTACCCCAATTATACTGCCAAAATTAACCCTGGTGTGCTGTCACCCCCTTTATACTGCCAAAATCAACCCAGTTGTATTGTCACCCCATCATACTGCCAAAATAAACCCTGTTGTATTGTCACCCCCTTTATACTGCCAAGATTAACCCAGTTGTATTGTCAACCCCATTATACTGCCAAAATAAACCATGTTGTATTGTCAACCCCTTTATACTGCCAAGATTAACCCAGTTGTATGGTCAACCCCATTATACTGCCAAAATAAACCATGTTGTATTGTCACCCCCTTTATACTGCCAAAATCCTGTTGTATTGTAAACCCCATTATACTGGCAAAATTAAGCTTGTTGTACTGTCACCCCCTTTATACTGCCTAAATTAACCCTGTTGTATTATCACCCCATCATACTGCCAAGATTAACCCAGTTGTATTGTCTACCCCATTATAATGCCAAAATAAACCCTGTTGTACAGTCACCTTCATTATACTGCAAAAATTGACACCCATTGTACTGTGACCCAAATTATACTCCCATAATTGACCCCTGTTGTACTGTGACCCCAATAATACTGCAAAAATGAACCCTGTTATACTGTCAACCTCATGATACTGCAAAGTACAGAAGGTAGCTGTATATCAAGGGACTGTTGTATTACAAAATTAAGGCTTCAGAATGATATCGCTGTGTTTACACAATGTTTTTTGTTTTATAGTCATTGGCCCAAAGAGAAGATCAAGAGGAAAGAATAGCTACATTAGAGAAGCGCTACCTCAATGCTCAACGGGAGTCCACATCATTACATGATCTCAACGACAAATTAGAGTCGGAACTTGCCAATAAGGAATCACAGCTGAAGTCGGTATGTTTCAAACATAGCTGTAAGATTAAACATAAACCCCCTGGCCCAGTCACCCATCAGTGTGTTTGTTGGTTGGTTAGTTTCTTTTGTCTCTGTGAATCTTCCTTTTTGTGTATCAATACATTTGTTCTTCCATAGGAAAAGCTTTGTTTAAGGTGATTTAGTCACTTAACCCCTTACTAAACAGTTAATATATTTTTACACCAAGTTCAAGACCTTGATTGTTACCCGTTAGGGTCAAAATTTGATAGAATACACTTGACTATTTAATTTGATTTTCAGTTTTTACTAGAAATTAATGAAATATGTATTTTAAAATGATTCAGAGTGAGGAGAAAATGCGAAGTGCACAGGAGAAGTTTGAGTTAGCAGAACAGCGACTTCAGCAATCAATGAAGAAGGTGGAAGCTCTCCCAACAGTGGAGGCAGAACTTCAACAACGTCTTGAGGCACTGTCTCAAGCTGAGGAGCGACATGGATCTGCTGAGGAAATGCTGCAACAAATGAGAGCTATCATATCAGAGAAGGAGACTGAGCTTCAAAGGGTTGGTCTCGGAGGATGTCTAGATATATATTTAGGGTTTTGAACTTCTATCATTATTTTTTGTGATATGTTGGCCAACTTTTGTTGGTCTGAATTAGCTTCTGATAGACCTGCTAAGTTTTCTCCTTGAACATTCTCTCACCTTTCAGGTAAACTTTTCACAGCGGTATGCATTAAGAAAATGAACTTGACTTGGAAATTTGAATTCAAACAATTTTTAAATAAGAACATGTTTAATCATTGTACTTAAGTATATGTTACAGATTATTGTGATATTTGATATTCTATGTTGCTCTGTTTGTGATGCAGATTAATCTTTTAGATGAGACAACTTTCCATGGTTTTATTAAGTAATTACAGAAGCATAGTGAAATATTTCATGTGAAGATTTAGTTGTATTAATTGAAATGTATGGGACTGACAGGGTAGACAGAGGGAAAAGTTAAATGAAGAACACAACAGTCGATTATCAGCCACAGTGGACAAACTACTGAGTGAATCAAATGAGCGACTCCAGCTGCACTTGAAGGAACGAATGCAAGCATTGGAGGATAAGAACCAGCTAACACAGGAACTAGAGCGTATCTGTAAGGCTCTGGAAGAAACACAGAATGAGAAGGTAAAATGACACACAGTACCTCAAGATTTATGTTACGGGAATAATATGGCCAGCTTAGAATTCAGTATCAACAGAAAAAATATGGTTCTACCAGATATATGTACAAGGGAGATAATGAATCTTAAGTTGTTCTTAGATTTCTTGCTGAGCGACATCTTATTTGTAAATATTGAAATAAAAAAAAAATGATATGTTCTCATTGAGAAAGAAATTTTTTAAACTTGAAATCTTATAAAGTAAAATGAAATTAGAAAATTTAAAATCTCATAATTCATGTTACTAATGTGACAGTGTTGAAACCATGACCTTTCTTCCATGCTGATTAAGAATCAAACAATCCAGGGAAACTTATTTTTTGTGTATTTCTGTCTAATCATTCTTAGAAAGCATTTTCAAATTATATGAAAATGTTGGACTGAAAACAAACCAAGTGCTACATAGATGAAAACTAGATATGATATGTATCTGTCACTTTTCAGGAAAGGACCAATGAAGACCTGGTTGTGGCAAAGAGGGAAGTAGAAACACTTCGTCAGCAGATTGAACATTTAGCTGGGTAAATATCTACTAGCATCATATACACTAACATATCAGTACATACAAATGATTCTGTGTTTTAGAATTGTTACATGAAATCAACACTATGAACACACAAAACAAACTACTTTCATTATGTATTTATGACTGACATCAGTTTAGTTATGTTTGAACTCAGAATTACGTCTACACATAGGATTGACCTTGATTATCAGTTTTCTTTCGTTGACTTTCATAAAAGATGGATATTTTAACTGGTTGCTTCACTGACCATATGTAAAATTCTAACACTGACCTTGTGTTAAAATTCAAACATTGACCTGATGTAAAATTCTAACACTGACCTTGTGTAAACTTCTAACACTGACCTTGTGTAAGCTTCTAACACTGAAATTCTGTTAAAATTCAAACATTGACCTGATGTAAAATTCTAACACTGACCTTGTGTAAACTTCTAACACTGACCTTGTGTAAGCTTCTAACACTGAAATTCTGTTAAAATTCAAACATTGACCTGATGTAAAATTCTAACACTGACCTTGTGTAAACTTCTAACACTGAACTTCTATTAAAATTCAAACATTGACCTTCTTGTGTAAACTTCTAACACTGAACTTCTGTTAAAATTCAAACATTGACCTTATGTAAAATTCTAACACTGACCTTGAGAAAACTCTAACCTTGACCTTATATATATGTTACAGTGTTGACTACAGGACAGGATACAGCATGACTTCCAATGTGAGTCCCATGGAAAGCAGCATGGATGTGTCACGACGCATGAACCGAGGCCGGGAACAAGCCATGCTGGAGGATCCAGGCAAAGTCAGTCTACAGGTGTCCCATACTCTCAATCTAGATGTGGTCTTGTTGTGTGGGATAGTCCTAAAATTTCACATTTTCATGATTTAGTTTAGATATTTATTGTGGAATTAATTTGCATGTATATTATTGATGTTTCCAGTAAAGCAAAAATAACATTGATTTTCACTTCAATTGAAAAGCTCAGGATGGCACCATTCCTTATATTAGATTTTATTATTAAAGGCAAAAGTGATTTATTGGTAAAAAATTTTAAACAAAAATATGTTTATGGAATTTTCTACAAATTAATTAAGGATTGTAATGGTATTGGTGAAACGTAGACATGACCATAGCTATCCAAGATTTTACACTGAAATTATCCATGTAGCAAAGTTTTAATGATAAATCTCCAAAACGCTGATTTTTCTTGAAACTTCCTACTAATACCCATAACCCTTGACTGATTTATTTGATCCTGATGTGAAACTCATCATAACCACTGATGTTTTACATGATTTTCTTCCTGAGAAGGAATGTTTTGACTGTCATAAAACTTTCTGTACAGTATAAATTAACTGCTTGATCTGTAAATACATATTTCTGAGAAGGAGCTATCCTGGATTTTATACAACTATATTTCAAGAAAATTTTTTTTTTTTGAGATCAAAACTTACCTGTCAGGATATTTAAACAAATTTATTGGCTGATGGTTTCCAGATGATATAGCTTCAGAATTCCCTTTCTCACAAGCCGACCACAAAGACAAATCAGAGAAAAAGCCAATTGTTTCTTACATTAATCAACCTGCATTTGCTTACCATTAAAGAAAATAAGCTGTTAAAACTATCTTATTTTCAAGTTTTAAGGATAAGTTATAAATAGCAAATTCTTTCACTGAAGCTTTATGCTAATCAGGTACATTAACAGTCAATCAGGTGGATGTGATCTGATCCTTCCTACAATAGGCAATGCATTGTGTTGTATTTCATCATAATCATCCATCGTTTTATTGATGGAGAAAAAGGCAAAAATCTTTTTTGTGTTTTTGAGTTTTGTAAAGTTTGATGTCTTTAGACTGTAGTGGAATATCCTGTCATGATAATATAATATTAAAGATCAGTAGGTTAAGTCTTAAAATGATTTCAATTCAAGGATTACTTAATTAATATGTCTGTTATATAATAACAAGAACAAGTACATTCTGATAGTCTTATGCTTTTCATTTTCTGATGTTTTTTTTCCTACTTTATTTGTGTGAGACAATTATATAATTTGCAGCAGGTTTATAATAATGTTGATTTATATTCGTATGTGAGCAGTGTTTATAACTGAATTGTGTTACGTATGGCCAGGTTAACACGCTTAATGAGCAGGAGTGGGAGAAATTACAGCAGGCACATGTGTTAGCAAATGTCCAGCATGCATTTGAATCGAGCGACAATGAGGGAACCGATGATAATGAGTCAGTACTGGGTGCGTTTGACATGCTGTCACCGACAGGACACACTGATGCGCAGACGCTAGCCTACATGTTGCAGGAACAGCTGGATGCTATTAACAATGAAATCAGGTAAATATAGCTGAAGAACAAAGTAGAGTTTCCTCTTGAGAATTTTTAATTAATGTTGAATTACGCTTCACTGTAAAGATGTTGATTGGTCAAAGGTCTAGGTCACTTAATGAAACTGAATTCACTTTCATCTTCCTTGTGATCATTCTGGTAGCCTTTCATCAGAAATGACGTTAATGATACTTAAAAGTAGAATTTTATCATCCTGCTCACTGTCATCTCTGAGCAGTGTTATTTCATGACAGGTGTTATATATCTTTTTTTCGCCAAACATACTTCAAAAAGTTTCAGTATTATCATTATTGGGTCAAAGTAACCATTAGTCCATTTAAAATAGATAAGTTGATAATGGCTTTGATCGTTAGATGGTAAGCCAGAGGTTGAGAATACCACAATGACGTACATGATGGTAAATTTGTAGGCTGATCCAGGAAGAGAAGGACAGCACCGAGCAGAGAGCTGAGGAACTGGAGAGCAGGGTAGGCAGCGGAAGTCTTGATACAATCACCAACAGGTGGCGCACATCCCCTCCGCTTAGCGGAAGTTCAACTCCGACCCCGCATACTTTTCAATCAAGAGACTACCTTCAAAAGTACCATACTGTAAGTGCGGGAGTCTGGCAAAGTCGTCATGGCAGCACTCACTGAACGAGTGATACGACTTGCGGTCCCTTATTTTATCGCCTCAGTACACGCACTGCTCCGTATATTTGTCGTGTGTTATTGGTGTACATTTAAAATTCCCCTTCCCTTTGCTGACTCCCACCACCGTTGTTATTGGTAAGCATGCTCTGCCTTTGACCAATCATTCAAAAGCTTTGCTATGGCTTTCGAATTCTCTCTTCTCTACACTTTTTATCATTATCAAACTTTCGCAAAACTTTTCTCCTAGATGTTTCTTATTGACAACTGTGACTGGCAGCAGTTTTAGGGTGTGAGTTTCTTCATGCGTAGTGGCTATGCTCTCTTCTGACTGCTAACAGTTCAGCTGTGGTTTGCAAGAACACAGTGCAAAATATTGTATGTTTGCATTTTTCATTGAATCAATTGAGCACTATTAAATCTATCATATCTTTCTAACACATCTTTTCTCTTTTCCTATATGGTCTTGACACTCCTTTTCATTCTTGCCTATTTAGCTTATACCCAAACCCAGAGCCCCTACCTTTGCCAACTATTCATGAAAACCTGTCAAACATCAGGAGGATCATATTTATCTTTACCTTTACATTAAGTTGAGGAATTTAAATGGAAAACTGGTTATGCATGTTCGCTTAATGCATTATTGAGTATTCAGGATAATAGTATCTATTACATGCCACCCATGTCAGGAAATTTGAACCCTTTACACAATCATTGTTTAATTATATCTTTCGCGTTGTAACACACAGTAGAAAAAGCATTAGATATCTCCTTTCAGTCATACATCCATTAAACTGCTGAAATGTTCTATAAAGCATTTATATATAACTTACACCAGAGATCATCCTAGCTTATATAATGTTTAGGTAGCACAGATAAATCTTCTTTTTTTTAATACACACCAATATGACATGAACTTTACACTTATAACCATGAAAAGCTGATATCTACACTGTTTTAGCAGTAGTATCTGATGCAGGGGGATAAACTTATTTCAGCAGCTTGAATCTCTCATTTATGTTAGCATTATTCTAAGGGGTACAAATGGAATGATGAATGGTCTGGTTGTCTTTTTAGGTCCCTTTATATCAGGAAAATTGTTTAGTCAAGGCTCCTTGGTATTGGATTCAAACACCATAAACATGTTTACAAAAATTAGTTAGAATGTTGAACCTTCAAGGTTAGGCAGCTTCTGTTATCAAAATTTTAGAAGTTATTATAAAAAAAAAAATTTCATTAGAAATAAATGTTTACATGAATTCAAAGCCTGATCAACATAAAACGTTACAATATAGATATGATGCAACTTTCATAAATTTTTTAATGGGATTATCTGCCCTTTTTGTATTTGCTAACATGATTATATTTTAATCTGAAAATCCAGTAAAAAAATTATTTACATTAACTTTTAAAGATTATATAATCATCCCTGTTTGTTTTTCCCCTTATCCATCTCCCCATTTCTGTTTTCTCCACCACTGTCACCTGTTATTTTATTGTTTTTCTTTCACTTTCCTCTTATTTCCTTCTGTCTTTTTAATCACCTCATTATATCACAGTGGTTTGCTCACTCTGTATCAGAAATTTATTAGTTAGAAATTATATATAGACAGTAAAAGCCTTTGAACTGATGAAGTCCATCAATAAAAGAAGACGGTTGTTTTAGATATCTCGATATTAGGAAAATTGAATGACCAAGTTTTATAATATCATCCAGGCTAAATTTGTTTGGTTTGGCAATGATATCTCTTATCATAAGATGGGGGAAAAAAGGACAAAAAAGATCTCCTGAAATATTGCTGCATTGGATATAGGTTAAATACTATCAGATTACCTCTTTGGAAACTTACTTTTAATGGATAAAGGTAAAGCATATTCTTAGGTTACTTTTCTCCAAATATGATTTATGGCTAAAAGACAGAGCAAGGTTACCATGACAACCGTCACACAGCATGATCGATATCGTACTGTTTTGGTATTGTTGTTTGGAACAATTTAGAAGTCTCTGCTCAGAAATCCCCCTAATTGAAAGCCCCCTTCCACCAATTTCATTTCAGATCACAAATGCATGTCTATCATTTACAGGGGCCAAATTTTCAAAGTTAACTTATTTTAACAACAATTTGTCTAAATTCAAATCTTCCTGTGACTAGAAATTATATCGAAATTATAAAATGTTAAGATGTAAAATTAGCTTGAAATTAAGTCTAGCTTTGAAAAAGTGGCCTCTGTTGGTTGTTGAGAAGCATTGTAGTGATTGTTGTGGCTTGTCTAGCACAGTAGTTTTATGTGTGTAGATCATAGATTCTAAAACCTAAAGTTAACTGCAACATCTTAACACAATTTATTTTGTTTTGTTTTTCAATTATAAAAGAAACCAATAGTTAATCTCTTAAAATAAAAAAAAAATAGGAAAAGCTGAAACAAACAAGAAAGAACAAAAAGAAATAAAAGTTAGGAGTCTTATCTCAACATGGACTGTTCTAAATAGGCAGTTACAGAATGCCAAGAGTGGCAATAATCTTCTTATAGGTACTGGAGTTAAGTACAATACATTGTATTGAGCAGTAACTGTTGTGTAAAAGATGGGTTATTTGAAGGGTTGATAATTTTACTGTATTCAGGGTTATTTGAAGTAATACTAAACTAATATGAATATCTTGGTGAATGGATTTTATCATCTGTTTCTATTGTAGATTCTAATGCCTAGCTACAGAATATAGATCAGATTTTGGAGCAAGCAAAATTTTATCCCAATAAACTTATTCTGATAAGGAAAAAAAAAACTTGTATGGTTATCTTGTATGTCTGTGTAACGAGCAGTCTAATTTTCCTAATTAAATACACTGAATTGAAATTTCAAAGTTGAGAATGGAACTTATCTGACAAATAGTTGTAGAAACTAATGTGTAATTCAGTATCCAGTTTGTTAGGTGTTAAAAAGAGCTGGAATCCAAACAGATGAAAATTGATTCTTTCACCTCTGACACATATGAAACGTAGCTTTATGATGATAAAGATCAGAAAAGCTGTATTGGGTACATATGATCATAGTTACGGCTTGATTTGGAAAGTTCAGGTACAATATTCAAACATTAAAAGAATATTAAAAAGTAAAAGATTTCAAAACATTTTCAAAATTAAAAGAGAGAAAAAATGTAAAAATAAAAAAGTAATTTCCTTACGTAAGTAAGAGAGATGATGATGTAATTTTTGCCCACAACCATAGTTTTTTTTGTTTCTGAGAATACATTTTGCATCATTTTTGTGTTTTTCCCATCTGAGTGTAGTTATAGAATTGTTGTGGCAGTGATCAGTACACTTAGCTGATTTTTTTGCATCCTTCATTTTTCATAAATTTCCTTCATAGTTTTGTCATGCTTTAATAAGTTTGACTTGATTTGTGTGAATATTGAATTGATATTAAATCGAATACTGTAGAAAAAAAATATATAAAGAATTTTCAAGTATCAGATTAGATCATTTGCTTTGATATTTTCAGTTTAAAGAGGTGAATAGACGTGAAATATATAAAGTTTTATGAATATTTGAGAGAAAATAAGTGTTTAAATAAAACTTTCATTAAGATTATTTTTAAGATAAGATATACTAATCAGATATATTTTAAAACTTACAAAAAGTAAATAATATCATATTACACTCTATTTCATTCCAATCTCATATAATTTTTTTAAAAACAAACAAAAATGTCCAAATCTATATTGTGAAAATGAACATGTCTAAATTTAAATCTGGCTAACTTGATCAAATTTTTGATGTTTAATATTTAGCTTGACTTAGGAAATTACTGTAAAGGTTATAGCATCAGTTTCCTACTTGTAGGTAGTAATAACATCAGGGACCATGAATATAACATAAAACAACCCCTCTCCTTAGCTACGTCACTTATAATCAACCCTTGATTATACTACTAGAAATTTGATTAGATTTTTCTAAAACATTACTTATAGTTGTACAAGTTTTTATCAAGAAATTGTAAAATCTTGTTTAAAGATAGAAATGAGATGGAGTGTAGTATGCATTTTGAATAACAAACAAGATGGCAGCTCTGCTTTAGTAGTTTCTTGAGTCGGATGTGGTAATGAGGTTGTAGGGATGTGTATTGTATGCCTTTGTCTCTGACAGGCCCCGGCAGGAATGTCCACATCCCACCTGTATACCTACTCTTCCTCTAGTCCCCAGCTTGCCACTACTGCTGCTGACGGCGCTGTTAACCAGGTAACCTCTGGTGATACGCAGACACACGCCTGCCTCTCCTTGCACTGGTACCCTATGAAATTGCTCATAATACTCGGTGGAACATTATCGACCCTTCGTGACAACAGAAATCTGTACAAAAGTTTGGCCCCTTCACACCCCTTACTTGGCACATCCAATATCCCATGTTTAAATCAAAAGTGTATGAACTTGAATGTGCCTTCGTACAATGTCTATAACAATACACTTGAAGGTGTAAACACCCACCAGTCTGATACCAAGGTCTGCTACATTTCGACTCAGCTAGTGACTGATTTATCGGATTTTGTTTTCATGAATATTCACCCTAAACTGAATTTTTTCTGCTATAGCTTATAGCCACTCATACCTAGGTAAAGCTATTAAGTATCAGCTGCTCACTAAACCATACATTTAAAGCTTTGTTTATTCATAAATATCATTAAGCTAGTAATTTTTGTAAGGTACGGATAATCAGTGTGCCGTCAATGAAGCCATTGGCTGGTACATTCATTTTAAAAGCTTTAATCTTCAGGTATTCTATCATGTTATCTTATAACTAAAATAGGTGTGTCTTTTATATAAAACAGTCACTTACACACATTAATCCTTTGTTATTTATGGTGCTGTAGCCGCAGATAAAAGTACATTGTTTAGATGGAGAGATGATTTAAAGATCCAGGTCAGGTAGATGTTTGCAAAGATGAATGCGTAACATGTAGTTGAAGAAAAAAGAGTATATCATTTAAATTAGTAAATTTTTGTTCAATTAATTTTGTTTAGAATAAATAATGTATTTACTGATCTCAATCTTGTATCAGAATGTGTAGATATGTACAGTTACACACTACAGTGGATCCACAATAATTTGAACGCTGGTAGTCCAGAAAAACAGAAGTGTTTGTATCCATAATGACCACCATCAGGTCGTTTTTGAGAACACTCACCTATGTGATGGGTACGTTATGTATATATCAATTGTAAAGTAAACACGAGGGTAGTCTGGTGGGTAGTGGGTTGTGACACTTATTGATAAACAGACATTGTACATATGAATGAGAGCAATGTAACAATACAGTGATTAATCTAATATAGGGACTGACACATGGGTGCACACAGATAGGGAGCTGAGAGACATGAGGGACTGACACATGGGTATACACAGATAGGGAGCTGAGAGACATTAGGGAGTGACACATGTGTCCACACAGATAGGGAGTTGAAAGACATTAGGGAGTGACACATGTGTCCACACAGATAGGGAGCTTAGAGAAATTAGGGATGGACACAGGGGTGCACACAGTTAGGGAGCTGAGAGATATTAGGGATGGACACAGGGGCGCACACAGTTAGGGAGCTGAGAGAAATTAGGGATTGACACAGGGGTGTACACAGGGGTGCACACAGTTAGGGAGCTGAGAGAAATTAGGGACTGACACATGGGTGCACACAGTTAGGGAGCTGAGAGACATTAGGGACTGACACATGGGTGCACACAGTTAGGGAGCTGAGAGAAATTAGGGACTGACACATGGGTGCACACAGTTAGGGAGCTGAGAGACATTAGGGACTGACACAAGGGTGCACACAGTTAGGGAGCTTAGAGAAATTAGGGACTGACACATGGATGTACACAGTTAGGGAGCTGAGAGAAATTAGGGACTGACACATGGGTGCACACATTTAGGGAGCTGAGAGACATTAGGGATGGACATATGAGTGCACACAGTTAGGGAGCTGAGAGAAATTAGGGATGGACACAGGGGTGTACACAGTTAGGGAGCTTAGAGGAATTAGGGACTGACACAGGGGTGCACACATTTAGGGAGCTGAGAGAAATTAGGGACTGACACAGGGGTGCACACAGTTAGGGAGCTGAGAGAAATTAGGGACTGACACAGGGGTGCACACAGTTAGGGAGCTGAGAGAAATTAGGGACTGACACAGGGGTGCACACAGTTATGGAGCTGAGAGACATTAGGGACTGACACAAGGGTGCACACAGTTAGGGAGCTTAGAGAAATTAGGGACTGACACATGGGTGTACACAGTTAGGGAGCTGAGAGAAATTAGGGACTGACACAGGGGTGCACACAGTTGGGGAGCTGAGAGACATTAGGGACTGACACATGGGTGTACACAGTTAGGGAGCTTAGAGGAATTAGGGACTGACACAGGGGTGTACACAGTTAGGGAGCTGAGAGAAATTGTTGTAAACATGTTATGGCTTGGATAGGTTAAAATAGTTTAAGGCAAATGACATCATGATAAAATTAACAATAAATATAATTTTTATTGACTAATGAGTGAACATGAATATTGTAATATTTATTATAGGTTAGAAGACAATGAATGGTCATTTTTACACAGGGAGAAAATTGATGTACCGATATTTTCAACTTTTATGACAATATGATTAACTTAAACATAGAATGTTAAATATTCGTTATAGTTCACCGTAAATGCCATGTGTGACTCAATTATTGGAATACAGCATCATGTTTTGCATGGAATATCAAGTAGAAAGTCATTATCATTTATGAAACATATGATTTCCTATGAAGTAAATCATCATTCAGGTGTTATGTTATAAAGGGAGGTAATTCACTGTGACTTACATATTCAAGCTCAGTAACTCACGAAACTTGTTATCCAAATAATTGTAGCTGGGAACAGGTATCCATACTATTGAGGGTTCACTGTACTGTTTATAAAGTACATGGGATCTGTAAATTAACATTTTAAAAAAATATATATCATAGATATTCACCACTATATCTACCTGAATTTAAAACAGAATTTAGTGGCATAAATTGGGGAAATGTAATTGAAATATACAATATTATTTTTGAAAATTTGAAAGATATCCATTACTGTTTTCTTCACATTGATAAATAGCTGCACAACATTTAACTTTTGGACACAAAATATAGAAACAGGAGACAAACTGAAACACAGACTTGTTGATATTTATTCATGATGTAGTGGTTTATCACAAGTTATAACAATATATAATAATCTAGTTGTAACACAATATATACAATCTAGTTGTAACACAATATATACAATAATCTAGTTGTAACACAGTATATACAATAATCTAGTTGTAACACAATGTATACAATAACCTGGTTATCACACAATGTATACAAACCTGGTTATCACACAATGTATACAAACCTGGTTATCACACAATGTACATAGTAACCTGGTTACAATACAATGTACATAGTAACCTGGTTACAATACAATGTATACCGTGATATTTTTGAAAATACATGTGCCACATTTATATTGATATCAGTACTGCATGTAAGTTTTGGTCAAAATTTCTTCCTTGAAATCTCGATTAAGAATGAAGGTTAGACAGTGCAATTTTTTGTCATGCTATGTTATAAACTGTCATGGGTTTTAAACATTTTTGTCCGTATTTCATTAACAGTATCTTTGTAAATACCATAGTTTAATAGCACATCTACCATCTCTATTCTGATTACAAGAACACTTTAAATCAGTTTACTGTGAAGAAACAGAATAAATGAATAGAGGGTCTGAAAGGAAATAAACCTATTTAACTTACCTCTGCTGACTCTAGTCTCTGAACCTGGAAATAACTTGACATTATATTACTGCCATATTTTACATGCGCTTACAATTCTAACTCCCTAACATTAATGGCTAGATTGCGAGCGAGCTTGAATGGCTGGTCAAACAGGCATTAACAGCATATCAGTAATAACAAGAAAGGTCTGTTTAAGTATGGGTACTTCTGAATGGTAGTCTGGTACACTACTGACCTCAACGCTACTGGTCCCTGACACTACTGGTCCCTGACACAAGTGGTCCACAACGCTACTGGTCCCTGACACTACTGGTCCCTGACACTACTGGTCCTTGACACTACTGGTCACTGTCACTACTGGTCCACAACACTACTGGTCCACGACACTACTGGTCCTTGACACTACTGGTCCCTGTCACTACTGGTCCACAACACTACTGGTCTCTGACACTACTGGTCCTGACACTACTAGTCCCTAACACAAGTGGTCCACAACACTACTGGTCCCTGACACTACTGGTCCTGACTCTACTAGTCCCTGACACAAGTGGTCCACAACACTACTGGACCCCAACACTACTGTTCCCTGACACTACTGGTCCTGACACTACTAGTCCCTGACAAAAGTGGTCCACAACACTACTGGTCCCTGACACAAGTGGTCCCTGACACTAATGGTCCCTGACACAAGTGGTCCACAACACTACTGGTCCACAACACTACTGGTCCCTGACACTAGTGGACCACAACACTACTAGTCCCTGACACTAGTGGACCACAACACTACTGGTCCCTGACACTAGTGGACCACAACTCTATTGGACCACAACACTACTGGTCCCTGACACTAGTGGACCACAATACTACTGGTCCCTGACACTAGTGGTCCCTGGCACTACTGGTCCCTGACACTAGTGGTCCCTGGCACTACTGGTCCCTGACACAAGTGGTCCACAACACTAGTGGTCCCTGCCACAAGTGGTCCACAACACTACTGGTCCCTGACACTAGTGGACCCCAACACTACTGGTCCCTGACACTAGTGGATCACAACTCTATTGGACCACAACACTACTGGTCCCTGACACTAGTGGACCACAACACTACTGGTCCCTGACACTCGTGGTCCCTGACACTACTGGTCCCTGACACAAGTGGTCCACAACACTAGTAGTGGTCCCTGCCACAAGTGGTCCACAACACTACTGGTCCCTGACACTACTGGTCTACAACACTACTGGTCCCTGACACTAATGGTCCCTGACACAAGTGGTCCACGACACTACTGGTCCCTGACACTACTGGTCCACAACACTACTGGACCCTGACACTACTGGTCCACGACACCAGTGGTCCCTGACACTAGTGGACCACAACACTATTGGACGATAACACTACTGGTCCCTGACACTATTGGACCACAACACTGCTGGTCCCTGACACTAGTGGACCACAACACTACTGGTCCACGACACTACTGGACCCTGACACTACTGGTCCCTGACACTACTGGTCCCTGACACTACTGGACCACAACACTACTAGTCCACAACACTACTGGTCCCTGACACTACTGGACCACAACACTACTAGTCCACAACACTACTGGTCCCTGACACTACTGGACCACAACACTACTGGTCCCTGACACTACTGGACCACAACACTACGGGTCCCTGACACTACTGAACCACAACACTACTGGTCCCTGACACTACTGGACCACAACACTACGGGTCCCTGACACTACTGAACCACAACACTACTGGTCCCTGACACTACTGGACTACAACACTACGGGTCCCTGACACTACTGGTCCACAACACTACTGGACCACAACACTACTGGTCCCTGACACTACTGAACCACAACACTACTGGACTACAACACTACGGGTCCCTGACACTACTGAACCACAACACTACTGGACCACAACACTACTGGTCCCTGACACTACTGAACCACAACACTACTGGACCACAACACTACGGGTCCCTGACACTACTGAACCACAACACTACTGGACTACAACACTACTGGACTACAACACTACTGGACTACAACACTACTGAACCACAACACTACTGGACTACAACACTACGGGTCCCTGACACTACTGAACCACAACACTACTGGACTACAACACTACGGGTCCCTGACACTACTGAACCACAACACTACTGGACCACAACACTACTGGTCCCTGACACTACTGAACCACAACACTACTGGTCCCTGACACTACTGGACCACAACACTACTGGTCCCTGACACTACTGGACCACAACACTACGGGTCCCTGACACTACTGAACCACAACACTACTGGACTACAACACTACTGAACCACAACACTACTACAACACTACTGGTCCCTGACACTACTGAACCACAACACTACTGGACCACAACACTACGGGTCCCTGACACTACTGAACCACAACACTACTGGACTACAACACTACTGGACTACAACACTACTGGACCACAACACTACGGGTCCCTGACACTACTGAACCACAACACTACTGAACCACAACACTACTGGACCACAACACTACGGGTCCCTGACACTACTGAACCACAACACTACTGGACTACAACACTACTGGTCCCTGACACTACTGAACCACAACACTACTGGACCACAACACTACTGGTCCCTGACACTACTGAACCACAACACTACTAGTCCACAACACTACTGGTCCCTGACACTACTGGACCACAACACTACTGGACTACAACACTACTGGTCCCTGACACTACTGAACCACAACACTACTGGACTACAACACTACTGAACCACAACACTACTGGACTACAACACTACTGGACTACAACACTACTGGACCACAACACTACGGGTCCCTGACACTACTGGACCACAACACTACTGGACTACAACACTACTGGACTACAACACTACTGGACTACAACACTACTGGACCACAACACTACTGGACTACAACACTACTGGACTACAACACTACAATTTCTGAACCATGAAATCCCTGACCAACTCTGCTGCCTTGACACCATTGGTCCTAACATTGCTGGGCCTTGGCACTACTTGTCCCTGATGCCATTGGACGTAAATGGTTTACTCTCACACTTGCTTTAACATGTTATATGAAGAGAAACAATGCGTTGATACTCATTGTAAAAATGGTGAAAAACATGTTCCCTTAAACATGAAGAGAGAATATGCTGACAAGCATGTATGTTAAATGTTGTAGTCCATCCCACAGAGAAATTGGACACACATCGTGTGACCAACTCCCTTACGATCACCACTATACTGGCACAGCACCACTGTTTTCTGGTCAAAGGTTAATAGATCATAGTCCATTGAAGGGTTGTTTTTGGCTATGGAGATATGGATTTTTTACGGAGGCGATGCCAGTATTGAATATCAAGTATTATCCAATCAGTGACAATGGGCTAAGAAGCATCTGTTATGAATTAGTGTTAGCCAAAGGTTGTCTGTTAGTACTGAAGGGGAAACAGGGGCTTATTAAAACTCTGCATTTGTGTTGTAGGGGTAAAGAGGATCAGGTTTACAGATGAGATTAAGGGTATCAGATACCATGGGTTGTAGGGGCATCAGTTAAATTTAGTGTTTATGGGATATTGTTTAGGTAAATTTCACAGCTTAAGGGGGTATCGGTCAATCGGTCAGCTTTCATTGGCTGTAAGGGTATCGGTTGGAAATTTGTAGCAGAAGGGGCATTTATTAGATTGTGACTGAAGAGGCATATTTAAAATTCCATGGGCTGAAGAAGTATCCATTAGATTTCATGGCCTAAAGGGGTTAAAGGGGTTAGATTTCATTTGCTCAAAAAAGTAACGGATAACTTTAGTGTGATGAAGGGGCTTTAGTTAAAGCTACAGGGTTTATAAAGAATGGATCAGTACTGAAAGGTTTATAAATATCAGAAGGTGGTGATATTTAACAAATGTGGTGCCAGGATCTAACACAGTGGATGGCTAACAGAATAGCAAACAGCATGACTGTGAATAAATATTGTTGATCATGTGATGTGCACTGTTGTGAGTCATGGATCTACAAATATTCCTGGTCATGTGACTTTAAGTGGTAAGGTCATATGTTCAGTGCTTTGTTATAATTGGCTGATTTTTTAAGACTAAGTACTGTTGAGATGTTATAGATAATAAGTTTCAAAACAATATAGATTAATAAGACAGTGTTTTAAAGCCTTAATAATGATAAAATATAAAGTCTCTGAATTTGATCAAGTAATGTACCTTACATGTAACAATTTGGTAAATATGAGAAACTGTAATGTATAGTCATTTTAATATCCTCTCACCCTGTTGACCTTGCTTAGGATCAGTTTCCTTCTTTATCCTAGCCTCAGTACAGCCGAGATGACACAGCAATAGATGAAGAATCTCGTCAGATCAAATGTGAGTCTAGTCCCCCTACACCTCGATCCCTTCGCCTAGAGAGGGTTGCGGCAGCCATTGCCCAAAGCAGCGAGGACACGCCAAGGTAAATAAATTCAGCGATCACAGTTTTCACCATACAGTCGAACCTCGTTATCTCAAAACCAGCGGGACCTTGGGAAAACTTTGAGATAACTGAATATTTGATTTAAGAGAGTTTGAATGTTTCATGTAAAGTTAGGGAGGACCTCTAAAAGTTTCAAACTAAACAGTCTTTAGGTTGTACTAGTTCGAGATAACAAGGTTTAGCTGTCATTTTACTGGAAGTTTTAACTATCTCTTGGTAATGATATATGTCAAGTCTTTTTAATATTGATGTTAGAACTTCCTTAAATTTCATAAATTGGTAATTATTGCTTGACAGATTTTCAAATTGACAATGACTTTATTGTTCAACTGTTGAATCTGAAATGTCTTGTTTTAGTCGACCGGTGATAGACACGACTCAGGCAGCTGCTAGTCCCTTTAGTAGCAATAACAGTAGTCAGGACTCTCTACACAAAAACAAGAAGAAGGGCATTAAGAGCTCTCTAGGGCGCTTCTTCAGCAAGAAAGAGAAGGGCAAGACCAAGGACAGTATAACACGAGAATTGCTCCCAGCAGGTACATGTACGTCCTAATCAGTTCAACCCTTTTATGTGTTCATGGATACCAACATGTTCCAAAGGTTGCATATGTCCATAATTTAACTTTTCAAAATCACAAACCTTCATCTACAGTAATTATCTCTACAATGAATTATTACATACATTCTCCAATAACACATCTAGAATCCTTAATGTTTACACACATCCTCCTATAACACATCTAGAATCCTTAATGTTTACACATACATCTTCCTATAACACATCTAGAATCCTTAATGTTTACACACATCCTCCTATAATACAACTAGAATCCTTAATGTTTACACACACATCCTCCTATAATACATCTAGAATCCTTAATGTTTACACATACATCTTCCTATAACACATCTAGAATCCTTAATGTTTACACACACATCCTCCTATAATACATCTAGAATCCTTAATGTTTACACACACATCCTCCTATAATACATCTAGAATCCTTAATGTTTACACATACATCCTCCTTTAACACATCTAGAATCCTTAATGTTTACACACATCTTCCTATAACACATCTAGAATCCTTAATGTTTACACACACACATCCTCCTATAATACATCTAGAATCCTTAATGTTTACACACACATCCTCCTATAACACATCTAGAATCCTTAATGTTTACACACATCTTCCTATAACACATCTAGAATCCTTAATGTTTACACACATCTTCCTATAACACATCTAGAATCCTTAATGTTTACACACACATCTTCCTATAACACATCTAGAATCCTTAATGTGTACACACACATCCTCCCACAACACATCTAGAATCCTTAATGAATCCTTAGAATCCTTAAGGTTTACACATACATCTTCCTATAACACATCTAGAATCCTTAATGTGTACACACACATCCTCCCACAACACATCTAGAATCCTTAATGTTTACACACATCTTCCTATAACACATCTAGAATCCTTAATGTTTACACACATATATCCTCCTATAATACATCTAGAATCCTTAAGGTTTACACATACATCTTCCTATAACACATCTAGAATCCTTAATGTGTACACACACATCCTCCCACAACACATCTAGAATCCTTAATGTTTACACACATATACATATACACACACACATACATCTTCCTATAACACATCTAGAATCCTTAATGTGTACACACACATCCTCCCACAACACATCTAGAATCCTTAATGTTTACACACACACATCTAGAATCCTTAATGTTTACACACATCTTCCTATAACACATCTAGAATCCTTAATGTGTACACACACATTTACACACACACACATACACACATATATCCTCTTAATGTTATAACACATCTAGAATCCTTAATGTGTACACACACTCCTCCCACAACACATCTAGAATCCTTAATGTTTAGAATCCTTAAGGTTTACACATACATCTTCCTATAACACATCTAGAATCCTTAATGTGTACACACACATCCTCCCACAACACATCTAGAATCCTTAATGTTTACACACATATATCCTCCTATAATACATCTAGAATCCTTAAGGTTACACATACACATAACACATCTTCCTTAATGTGTACACACACATCCTCCCACAACACATCTAGAATCCTTAATGTTTACACACATCTTCCTATAACACATCTAGAATCCTTAATGTTTACACACATCTTCCTATAACACATCTAGAATCCTTAATGTTTACACACATCTTCCTATAACACATCTAGAATCCTTAATGTGTACACACACATCTAGAATTACACACACATCTAATGTTTACACACATATATCCTCCTATAACACATCTAGAATCCTTAAGGTTTACACATACATCTTCCTATAACACATCTAGAATCCTTAATGTGTACACACACATCCTCCCACAACACATCTAGAATCCTTAATGTTTACACACATATATCCTCCTATAATACATCTAGAATCCTTAAGGTTTACACATACATCTTCCTATAACACATCTAGAATCCTTAATGTGTACACACACATCCTCCCACAACACACACATCCTCCCACAACACATCTAGAATCCTTAATGTTTACACACATATATCCTCCTATAATACATCTAGAATCCTTAATGATTTTACTCGCTTCATTTGTTTGTAACTATCTTTTAACATACATATACATCATGACAGTAAGTTTTGGGTGTTAAGAAATCTAGTTCTAAGAGATGAATACCTGGTAGAGCTGATTTATAACATAATGTGAAAGGTTATTTTGTTGAAAAAACTAAAAACAGCAAAGGTGTGATTGCTTGCTCTCTATGGATTTATTTTGGACTGGAAATATTGTGATCTGTTGATATTTTAATGTATATGTGTCAGCTGACACAATTGTACCTAATTATAATCATTTTTAAACAATACTACAGTCTGTTGTGGTTGTTATTTTAGATGTTTGAATATTTAATGAAATCATTGCTTTCATGGTCATGCATGATTTGCCTTTGTTCATAGATATGGGAGATGGTGGTGCTGGGGATGCCCTGACACTGGGTCTGGGACAGTCAGAGTATGACAGGAGAAAGAAGAAGAAGTAAGTATTAGTGTTGATACATCAGCTCGATATCTGATTTACAATATTCTATTGTCTAGTATAGAAACTCTGTGAACTTCCCTAAAATCAGTACTTCAATTGTCAAACCCTGAGAGGCTTTTTAATTACTTGCATGATAGAAATAATAAAAAAGTGTTTCCTCTGAGATTTTTCAGTAGCAGTACATTATAATAATCAGTTCTTACTGATATACTTCATTATGTTTGTCTTTTAATATTAAGACATCAGATATGAATGTAACTGATTTGTTTTGTGACTGTATCAGGCAGTAATGGCTGGATGCTGGTGGTAGGTTGTATATAAAGCTTGTGGAATTATGTTTTCAAGATGTCCCTTATGTTAATCTGCATTATGCATCTTACAACCTCCAAATGGAAGAAATCACTTTGACCCTGTGAATAACTTCAATGTCAATGCTTTGCATATTGATGAGGAAGAAGATGGACGATGTCCTTATACATGAATGCATGTCTCTTTGGATTTAGATTTCTGTTGTTTTTGTTTACTTGGGTACCTCTTGTCAACAATAACAAGAAATATTTTTCTTGTTTATACAGGATACAGATTGAAAGACCACCATAATTTTTTTTACAGTTTTTCTGGATTATAAACCGCTCCTTTCTTACAATATGGTGACCATGCAAAGATATAGGGCCTGATGTTACATACAGTATATTAAACAATCCATCAGTGTCTGTACTGTTTAGATATTAATGAAGGCCCTTGCATGCTGACCAAATTCTTATAGTCCCATATCATTTCTTCTTGTAAGTTACACAAAGCCATTCACATTGTAATCAAGCATTGCGGATATTCTAGAATTTGACCTAAAACCTGATGATCTATCGATCCTAGGATGCAACAGGCCATTGTAAACTTCTGCTATGGCTTTGAAGTAACCACAATAGTCCAGAAGATATTATTGTAATTCATGTTAAAAGGTAGGAGTAATTTAATAAACAAGAATGTTATTTTTATTTTAATCTTCAAATTGTCCTGGTTACAATTGCAAATGACAGTTCAAAATGATCTGTTTCAGTCACAGACATGCGATGGGCAGGTACTCGAAAAAAAAGCAGTACTGTCTAGTACAAACAAGTGTACTTCCATCTAAAAAAAAAAGAAATTTCTTGCCTGTTTCTTTTTCATTCGCATTTAAGCCGCATGCCCGACTCGCGAGGAAAAAAGGTGCAGCTTGTTATCAGGAAATACAGAAATAGAATAAACCATAGATCAACATATCCGAGACTGTAAAGGAAAAGTGAACACAAAATGTTAGGTATTAATACACTTCAATATATACAGAACACAAAATGTTAGGTATTAATACCCTTCAGTATACAGAACACAAAATGTTAGGTATTGATACCCTTCAATATATACAGAACACAAAATGTTAGGTATTAATACCCTTCAGTATACAGAACACAAAATGTTAGGTATTAATACCCTTCAATATATACAGAACACAAAATGTTAGGTATTAATACCCTTCAATATACAGAACACAAAATGTTAGGTATTAATACCCTTCAGTATATACAGAACACAAAATGTTAGGTATTAATACCCTTCAATATACAGAACACAAAATGTTAGGTATTAATACCCTCAATATATACAGAACACAAAAATATATACAGAACACAAAATGTTAGGTATTAATACCCTTCAAAATATACAGAACACAAAATGTTAGGTATTAATACCCTTCACTATACAGAACACAAAATGTTAGGTATTAATACCCTTCAATATATACAGAACACAAAATGTTAGGTATTAATACCCTTCAGTATATACAGAACACAAAATGTTAGGTATTAATACCCTACAATATATACAGAACACAAAATGTTAGGTATTAATACCCTTCACTATACAGAACACAAAATGTTAGGTATTAATACCCTACAATATATACAGAACACAAAATGTTAGGTATTAATACCCAATATATACAGAACACAAAATGTTAGGTATTAATACCCTTATATACAGAACACAAAATGTTAGGTATTAATACCCTTCAGTATATACAGAACACAAAATGTTAGGTATTGATACCCTTCAGTATATACAGAACACAAAATGTTAGGTATTAATACCCTTCAGTATATACAGAACACAAAATGTTAGGTATTAATACCCTTCAGTATATACAGAACACAAAATGTTAGGTATTGATACCCTTCAATATATACAGAACACAAAATGTTAGGTATTAATACCCAAAATGTTAGGTATTAATACCCTTATATACAGAACACAAAATGTTAGGTATTGATACCCTTCAATATATACAGAACACAAAATGTTAGGTATTAATACCCTTCAGTATATACAGAACACAAAATGTTAGGTATTAATACCCTTCAATATATACAGAACACAAAATGTTAGGTATTAATACCCTTCACTATACAGAACACAAAATGTTAGGTATTAATACCCTTCAGTATATACAGAACACAAAATGTTAGGTATTAATACCCTTCACTATACAGAACACAAAATGTTAGGTATTAATACCCTTCAATATATACAGAACACAAAATGTTAGGTATTAATACCCTTCAATATATACAGAACACAAAATGTTAGGTATTAATACCCTTCAGTATACAGAACACAAAATGTTAGGTATTAATACCCTTCAGTATATACAGAACACAAAATGTTAGGTATTGATACCCTTCAGTATACAGAACACAAAATGTTAGGTATTAATACCCTTCAGTATACAGAATATAGAATTAGTCTTACAATTTACTGTTACAAACATTGTAACTGTTCATTATTCCATGATTATCTACAGTCCAAATATAACCAACCTTGTTAATCTTAAGTCCATACCAACACTGATGCTATTGATAGGGCCTTGATACTCTCAAGTCCAAACCTCATCAACATTGATACTATTGATAGGGCCTTGATACTCTCAAGTCCAAACCTCATCAACATTGATACTATTGATAGGGCCTTGATACTCTCAAGTTCAAACCAACATTTATACTATTGATAGGGCCTTGATACTCTCAAGTCCAAACCAATATTGATACTATTGATAGGGCCTTGATACTCTCAAGTCCAAACCAATATTGATACTATTGATAGGGCCTTGATACTCTCAAGTCCAAACCAACATTGATACCATTGATAGGGCCTTGATACTCTCAAGTTCAAACCAACATTTATACTATTGATAGGGCCTTGATACTCTCAAGTCCAAACCTCATCAACATTGATACTATTGATAGGGCCTTGATACTCTCAAGTCCAAACCAACATTGATACTATTAATAGGGCCTTGATAATCTTAAGTCCAAACCAACATTGATACTATTGATAGGGCCTTGATAATCTTAAGTCCAAACCAACATTGATACTATTAATAGGGCCTTGATAATCTTAAGTCCAAACCAACATTGATACTATTGATAGGGCCTTGATACTCTCAAGTCCAAACCAACATTTATACTATTGATAGGGCCTTGATACTCTCAAGTCCAAACCAACATTGATACTATTAATAGGGCCTTGATAATCTTAAGTCCAAACCAACATTGATACTATTAATAGGGCCTTGATAATCTTAAGTCCAAACCAACATTGATACTATTGATAGGGCCTTGATACTCTCAAGTCCAAACCAACATTGATACTATTAATAGGGCCTTGATAATCTTAAGTCCAAACCAACATTGATACTATTGATAGGGCCATGATTATCATAAGTCCAAACCTCATCAACATTGATACTATTGATAGGGCCTTGATACTCTCAAGTCCAAACCAACATTGATACCATTGATAGGGCCTTGATACTCTCAAGTTCAAACCAACATTGATACTATTGATAGGGCCATGATTATCATAAGTCCAAACCTCATCAACAATTGATACAGTAAAGAGGACTCAGCCCGTCCAGCAGTGAATTCTACTTGTATGCCAGGTGGAAGTTCTGGAGTAAGTTCTGTATCCATGTTACCATTTCTCTAAATTCCCACCAGTATAACATGACTTATATATACATTCTAACAGCATGTATCCTGTATTTCCTTTTTGCATCCCCTCTCACCTGTTTCTTCTTCTGTCTCCAGGCATGAACTATTAGAAGAAGCCATGAAAGCAGGTACACCATTTGCCCTATGGAACGGTCCCACAGTTGTAGCATGGCTAGAGGCAAGTATGCAACAGATCACTCAGGCTTGGGGGTATTGTTCAGTATCCCTGCTAGTGTTCATACCTATCTTCTGTTCTGTTATCTACAGTATGAGAATGTTACCCTGGTCATTTCCTGCAAGATTTTCTTCCTCAATTCAACAGATACTGAGACAAGATATGTGAGAAAGAAAAAATGGTTCAAGTGGATAAAAAAAGTTACAAGTTATCAAGGGATCAAGGCCAATAACAGGGGCAACAAAGTCTGCTTGAATAAATTTGACTGTTTCTCTTTCAAGCATTTTGTTATGTTTCCTTTGCCATGATGTAGTTTGGAATGTCAACAGGTACAATAACGCTTGCTTGATTGGCAGGCGAATATACCTGTTGTATGGTAAAGTTCATTCATGCCAAATGTTTGGGGTAAGGAGATTATATCATTAAATTTTTGCAGATTGTTTAAAATATTTAAAATTGATATCTGCATATTTTTTCAATGAAATTGGAATTTATTGATGTTTATACTCTATGTAAACAGTTTTATTATGTAGCTATGTGTAGGAATACTTGTGTGGTACACAAACTGTTGATGAGTATAAATTCTATGTAAACTGTTTTGTTATGTAGCTATGGGTAGGAATACTTGTGTGGTACACAAACTGTTGATGAGTATAAATTCTATGTAAACTGTTTTGTTATGTAGCTATGGGTAGGAATACTTGTATGGTACACAAACTGTTGATGAGTGTAAACTCTATGTAAACTGTTTTGTTATGTAGCTATGGGTAGGAATACTTGTGTGGTACACAAACTGTTGATGAGTATAAATTCTATGTAAACTGTTTTGTTATGTAGCTATGGGTAGGAATACTTGTGTGGTACACAAACTGTTGATGAGTATAAATTCTATGTAAACTGTTTTGTTATATAGCTATGGGTAGGAATACTTGTGTGGTACACAAACTGTTGATGAGTGTTAACTCTATGTAAACTGTTTTGTTATGTAGCTATGGGTAGGAATACTTGTGTGGTACACAAACTGTTGATGAGTGTTAACTCTATGTAAACTGTTTTGTTATGTAGCTATGGGTAGGAATACTTGTATGGTACACAAACTGTTGATGAGTGTAAACTCTATGTAAACTGTTTTGTTATGTAGCTATGGGTAGGAATGCCTGCATGGTATGTGGCAGCCTGTCGAGCTAACGTCAAAAGTGGAGCGATCATGTCAGCATTATCAGACCAAGAGATCCAACGAGAAATTGGCATCAGCAATCCCCTACATAGGTTAAAATTGAGGCTGGCCATACAGGAGATGGTCAGCTTGACCAGTCCATCAGCCCCCAAAACTTCCCGTACTGTAAGTACTTAGTATAAGGAGTGATTTGATTTGCTTAGAACAAATTATGTAAATTAATAAGAAAACTAACAGATTCCTTCTCTTAACATTTCACTTTTAGTCTGAGATATATTCTATCGAGCATATGAATGTATACTGGAATCACCTGGCCCTTTCTGACTGTCTGTCTGTCTGTTCAGACAACTCCTAAACCTATTAACCAGTTTCAATGAAAGTTATCAGAATCATCAAAGACTTCATCATTATTTGCATGTGTTTTTTTTTCTCCTTGGGAAATTTTGATTGTGGTGAAAACCTTGTCACTATACACAAGTTTTTGTAGAAACACCCTTAGCTTATCATCCCTGTGATAAACTTTATTGAAACTGAGTCGGATGATGTGATAATGACTGATTAAAGCCTTTAATTTGATAGAGTAGATGTTTTCAAACTTGTAACCATGGAAACACAATCAAGACTTATGATTGTCAAAATTAAGATATTGTTTAGTCAAGCTTAGAATTGATATCTGAGGATTTTGAAGGATGTCAAACACAATGGTATTATTTTTCAAAATGTCGGTAGTCATTAGTTTGCCTTACTAACTAAAAGAAGACCTATATTGTATTAACCCAGATATCTGATCTATTATCAACCAAGAGGCAGACATCTGATCTTGTGTGTTAAGTCCAACACTAATATGATGTATGTCTTTTCTCAGACCTTAGCATTTGGCGACATGAACCATGAATGGATAGGTAATGAATGGCTGCCCTGTCTAGGACTACCCCAATATCGCAGTCATTTCATGGAGTGTCTAGTCGATGCTCGCATGCTGGATCACCTCACCAAGAAAGATCTACGTGGCCAACTAAAAATGGTGGATAGTTTTCATAGGTAAGCATGAGGCTGACAATTTCACACAATCAGCCATAGTTACTTCTCGAATGTTCAAGGACCTTCCAACCAATCGACAATAAACACGATGCTGTGTTCTCGAAAAAAAAAATCCATGTTTGTAATTCTCACTGATCAATTCATGTATTTTTTCTTTTTTCTTAGTCGATTGGTTAAGTGAAATGATTCTAATGTTAGATGTCAGAGTTTTGGAAATTTTCTTAATCAGTTCTACATGTGAAATAAAAATGATTTTGGTTGGACTTCATGAGATATTGTTATGTTACTACAGAGTTCTATTGAGAAAGCTGATGGGAAAATGTGAATTAGTACAACCAGTATACTAGTACTGTGGAGTGTACTTTACTAGTACTGTGGAGTGTACTTTACTAGCACTGTGGAGTGTGTTTTTCTCATACCTCATTATGTTTTATCTTCACAGGACAAGTTTACAATATGGTATTAATTGTTTAAAAAGATTGAATTATGACAAGAAAGAATTAGAACGAAGGAGAGAAGACAGTTCTTCAGAAATGAAAGGTGAGATGTTTATTATTTGAAATATATGCCTGACTTTGTATTGGGTAATATTTAACTTTATATCTATCAACTTGTAATTCCAAGAGGAAAAGTTTAAACTCAGAAATTTTATTTGCTGAAATTTGCCTAAATCAATTTTCAAATAAAATCAAAAATTTTGTAATCTGCTAGAAATGAGACATAATATACTAACCTTTACAATTTTGTTTTCACAGATGTTTTAGTGTGGACGAATGAGCGGGTAATAAAATGGGCACAATCAATAGGTCTCCGGGAATATGCAAACAATCTGATAGAATCAGGTGTACATGGTTCTTTGGTTTCACTGGACGAGAGCTTTGATCACAGCAGTCTAGCTCTGGCCCTCCAGATACCAACTCAAAATACACAAGTAAGTATGCCTCTCACATTGGAAAACCGACCACTAATATATGCATATGTAAAGTCACAGAATTGGCTACCGAGTCCCAGTGTGCTAAAATTATGATTGTTGAAAAGTCCTCATTGTGTAAAAAAAGAACACAAATAAATTTTCCTGTGATAAAAATTATCATAAACTCAGTCCATTGTGTGAATCATATCACTGATTGTTTATTTAACTTGAAAGAAGCTTGCTGAAATGAAAAAGAAATCAGATTTGTGTCTTGAACTTCATATTAGAAATTTCTAACTGAGGTAGGTCAGTTTTAGTTTCTTTTCATGGTTCAATGATTCGAAATTCTTTGATTTTGCTTTGACTTTGTGGATTGCAGTATTTATAGTTCAAGACGATACCTATTTTTATCATATTTAAACTGATGCAAGATTGTACAAAATGTTAATTTGAGAATGAGAATAAAAGAACTTGTATGACATACCGACCACATTTATTGTTTAAATGTATCAATGTGTAAGGGTCTGTGATTCTACTGATTTTACAGAATAATTTGATTACTTCTGTCATAAAAAATGTGTTTTTCATCGACAGGCTAGGCAGATATTGGACCGAGAATTTAGCAATCTTCTGGCAATGGGTACTGACCGGCGGCTGGATGAGGTAGGTCTGTGTCAGTGTACATGTAATATGGCTTTGTTGCCAGCTTGAGTGTAACGCCTTGGCTTTGGTGATGGGCACATGTAGCTGCGGTGACGGGTGAGTTATGCACATGCCCAGTGGAAACTTGGTGGTCAGAAGAATCAGCATTGTGTAATATCTCAGTCACTATGGTAACAGTATTCTGATGACATATTTCTGGTCACTATAGTAACAGTCTTTTGCCAACATAACAGATTTTTGGCCACTATGGTAACAATATTTTGCCTACATAACATATCTCTTGTAACTATGGTAATAGTTTTCTGCCCTAAATAAAATATTCCTCATCAATACTGCAAGTCTTCTGCCTACATAGAATATTCCTAGTAACTATGGTAACAGACTTTCTGCAGATATAGTATATCTCAGATCACAATGGTAATCCAGCATGTGGTCACTATTGTAACAGTCTTCAGTCTACATATTTGAGTAAAAATGTTAACATTTCTCAGTCTATATTTGAGGATCTTACCAATTTTGGCCTTTCAGCTACAGTAATATCTATTTGAACCAGATGATTTTGTGCTCATATGTTAGGGTTTGGGGAAGGGATTGGAATCGGTCCTTCAAAACTGACCATGGAATGTTGACTGAGGAATTACTTAAATTGCCCAAGAAACAACGACCACCAGGTCCAAGGGATGTGTTTAGTCCATACTATTTCTCCTTCATTGCTCCATCTGTTAGAAATGTTGCCTTTGTCATTCTTTCAGTCCTATCACAATGTGATTTTAAGTTTAATGAGCCCTTTTCACTCCTCAATGTTTTTTGGTTGAAAGCACCCAACTTATTCTGTCACAATAAATGTAACGTAGGTTACTCTAAGTATATCCCCTGTTTATCAGAGAGACAGTCGGACTGTTCATCATATGATTATTATCTCCTCCCCATCCTGGTATGAATCCTCTCTTAGTGTTTCCTTCGTAGTTGTGCCCTCCTCAACAAGGATTTGTGTTGTAGTTCTTGTATAAATGGTACCTCCAACATCAGGTGGATCCCACAGATGTCCTTTTTCATTAGTGCTGTTTTTGATGAGGTGTGCTTCCCACTCCATGCTTCACAGTAACCCTTTACCAAGAATGAATATGTCCTAGATGTGTCCTGTTACAATGATGCATGAAGATGTCCTTTACCATGTCTTTCTCATTGGCGCCCACTTTATCAAGACAGGATGTGATGTCTTATCTGATTGGCATCCCATTAGATACAGGGATGATTGTCTTTCACATGCATAAGTGGAACCCCCCTACTCAGAGAGATCATGTCCTTGTCTTCTTCCTGTCTCACAGGTACCCTCTTATCAAGAGAGATTGTGTCCTTGTCTACTTCCTGTCTCACAGGTACCCTCTTATCAAGAGAGATTGTGTCCTTGTCTACTTCCTGTCTCACTGGTACCCCCATATCAAGAGAGATTATGTCCTTGTCTACTTCCTGTCTCATTGGTACCCCTTACCTATATTTGTTATGTCCTTGTTTACCCCTACACCTCAGTGATAACCTAGATCAAGAAAAATATTTTTCCTTGCTTACATCTTGCCTTAGCTGTGCCTTTCCAGTCAAGAATAGCTATTTCCCAGCTTTTCCCAAGTTATGGCCTCAATCCCAGAGTGGATGTCCCTGATCAGGCATTAGTGTGTCTTCACCTTCAGCATCAATCTTTTCCTGGTCAGGAATTTGTATGTCCTCATTTACAATTTCTGAGGCTTTCCCCTAATTATCCGTTTGTGTAGTGTCCACATCTACTCATCACCTGAGGAATTTTCTAGATCAGGTTTTCTGTAATGTTATCTACATCAGCTGAGGAATTTCCTTGACATTTTGGTGATGTTTCCTCGCCTACAGTGGCTAAGACTTTCCCCAGATAAGTAATGGTTCAACTTCACTGACATTATTCTGTAGTGTTACCCTCATCAAGAATAAGTGCACCTTATTTACATTCTGACACAGTAGTATAACTATGTCAAGAAGGAATGTGTTACCTGCTTCTTTTATGAGTAGTGCTGCAGTCGAGTGCTTTTGCCTACATTTTTCTGTCTGTTTAGACAGGATGTCGGTGATGACCGTAGGATCACAGTGCAGTTCTTCCCCAAGATAGAATACGAATTGAGTTTTTTAAATATTTATTGATTATATCTGATTTTATTGACAGTCTACTAACTCCTCATAGCAATAGATATGTTACCTTTATACAGATGCTGTATGTCTAACACTAATATCCTTCGGTTTGGAAGATGTCATTATTCGCCAACAGATGGAACAGAATGCGAGAGCAGAAATGTTTTGTGATCCTGAGATCAGCATTCTCCATCATGGATATTTTTACCTTTGATATGGTGGTTCCCTAAGTAAAGAAATGCGGATCCGTTTGACCCAACACATCAAATCATTAATCTTAACAGCTGTTTGGAATATACGATTCAGTTTAAAATTTACTATTTAATTTTCATTTGGAATTCGTAAATGTGACAACTTTACTTGTCTGACACTTCATTTTACACTTTTTAAATTGAATAAAGCACAGTTCCTGCTACTCTGAATCCATTTCAAGTACTAAAAACACATGAATGCTTTGTATTTAGATCAGAGATATTTGATTTTATGATGTGATGTGTGAAGCTTTGTTAACGTCTGGTCTGTACACAGTAGTATCAGGGGCTGTATACAAATTAGTACATATTGGGACACTTTGTGGATATAACACTCTATAGACACCATATACTTCATCAGTTGTTATAGTGACAAATGTATATACTCAACACACAGCTCACTTTACACTCTACTTCATATCTGTGTCACTCCCATCCTCTTTATTTGTATCAGTGGGTTTTGTTTGTGAATGGTGCGACCCTCAACTTTTTATTTGAGTTCCCTTCACCTTCCACATGTATGACCTTAACCTCCACTAAATGTTAGTGTCCATGACCTTCACCAGTGTCTGTGACCTTGTCTTTTTTTTTTTTTTTTTTGTGTGAATTGCACTTGTGTCTTGCATTCTGTGAACTACACAGTGTGATATTGATACTGTGTAATGATGTGACATGTTGTGAAGTTTTACTATTAAAAAAGTGACCCTACCCCATCCTTATCAAATCTAGATATTTGTATGCCCACTAACATTAAAACTATCGTACTTATTCAATATATTCAGATTTGAGAATTCTATGATATTGAATGTTCATTTTTTTTCTTCTGTAATTAGAATGAAGGAATTAGAATGGGAAGAAAATATATATATGTGTGGTGTGTAATCAAGGTCGAAGGTCATGTTTTCTATACGATAGTTATTAATGTGTTTGTTACTTAATCAAATAGAAAAGAAGTTCAGAATAGTATTGAATTTCCAATGTGGTTCTATACAAACCATGGAAAATTGACAAAGAGCATATCATACCCAAGAATTTATTATTTACAGAATCGCAAAAAATCACAGGTCTGTAGATGTGTATAACTAATACTGGTGGTGTATAGTGCCCCCATATAACTGGTCTAACCACTCTCTGAGGCATTTTGAACTATCATGTGTAATGCTTTTTGGGGAGAGAATTATATCTTTACATTAATACTCCTCAGTACTACTTCAGAAATGACGTATTTTTATCCTACATATTTAAAATGTCATTATTCTACCTATATTTAAGACTGATCAAGTACAGAAACTCCTGCTATTGTATTTATGGAATTTTGATCTGTTTTCTTATCTTAATAATTATCAATTTGAACTCAATTTACTCTCCTTTAGAATGCCACTAACTGGATGTTTCTCTGCAAATTTCAAGACATTATGAAAAACATCTTTGACTTTGATATGGCATTGTTAAGCCTCTGTAAATGTGATGCTGGAAAACTCTTTATTTCCTTCCGTTTATCTCTCTATCTGCTCCATTAAAATTCTATTGGAAGCATAACACTACTAAGTATGTTTTACTGTGTGTAGTCTAATTTCATTAATAGGATTATAGATAAGTTTGTTTATGCCCAACTTGGAAAAGATTAACTTCTAGAATTGGTCTCTACTTAAATTTGGTGTTGAACCAGTTTAGTGCTGGACATCACTTTAAATATGGATCGTTGAGTTCAGTTAAATGTAGTCTAGATAGTCTTCAATAACAGCAGTGTTTGTAAATTATATGTGTGAAATCTAGAATGAAACCACTTTTATCAGGTGAATTACAAAAAGGTAATGCCTTGCCTTTTTAATGTCAAACTCTGATATCAAAATCTGACTAGATAACAACAAACTCTTATATTAAGGTTAGGATTCATTAAACATGGTATCATTTATAGATATAACTGATTTTAAATAACTTGTTATCAAACTGAAATAACCCAAGATATTCAATAATATTATACAAAGTTCATATAACTTGAAATTCAAACAATCTAGTGTGATACACTGATCTCCACTGTAAGGTCATCCATATATTTTGATTGAATGATTTTCAAAGATTTATATATTTGGAAATTTTTCTGTTGCCTACATTTTGAGATATAGTGATAACAAAACATTTACTAATAATCTTTGCTGTTTTAGATCTAAATAGCTAATACTTGAGGCCTTCTCAACCCTGTTTTTCACATCAACTAAGTGTTGATTTTGCTCATGTGAACAAATAGTGTTGTAGGGCATATGCCCATGTTACTGTTACCACATATTAATTTTGACTTCATGATATTATTTTATGATACGAGACCGAGCATGAACTTAATTATTATATTGCATTATTTATTGTTGTTTTTTTTAAACAAATTATGAATAATAATTTATAATATATTTGAGTTAAATGTTTTTGATCTATTTGAATTAAAGAGTGATTTGTATATGTAATTGATTAACTTAAGTAAATCTGCATGCCTAGTAATACTGTTATACTAGATTATGTGTTAACTGTGTTGTTTTACATCAACTTTCTCTCTGTTATACATGCATTATAAACAAAATCATATACCGATGTAATTTTCTGATGTTTCTACTCTATGATATATGTAAACTGAAATGATAAAGTATTTCTTCTGTGAATTTTTTGGTATAACATGATTTCCACTGAATTCTCTCCAGTACTGATTCCTACACATGTTAATTTTCTTTTTAAGTGCCCGCATGATATTACCACTTGATTGTGTAGAAATAGACACAGGTAGGAAGCTCTCAAAGTCATCTGTGTTACATAAAAAAAATTGGAAGCACGTTCCCTAGGCAACAGATTTTGGTCTAAAAGTACCAAATTTTTAGACCTTTTCCCCTTAATTGTTCATTTTTTTTTACCAGTGAAATCTGACGTATAACCGACAACAAAGCTGAATTCCTGTCTCTGTTTTGAGAGAGTGATGAAAACTTCAAGATTTCATTTTGCTGGAGATTTGTTCATCACATTATCTGTTAAATGAAGATAAAGCTATTAGAAATTGCTGCATAAACACACACATTCCTTACTGTATACTTATCATTCCTTACTGGAAAGGTTGGGATAACAGCTTCGTTAAGGTTTGTTGTGAAACTCCAGCCATGTATATTCTCTCTAGTGATTAAGACAAGCACAGTTGGAGAGAGTAACTTTTTTAATATTTGCACACCAGTGTTAAAACAAGTAAGAACTGGGAGTGTGTAGCAACTGTCACACAAGTCTCGTTTAGTTATGTCCTATGTAGACAAGCTTGATTTTCTAGTTTTCCTGAGTTCTTACTCTGTTGCTCCTTGTGTACTGGGAACTTGCTTTCAATGTATTTTTTTTTAATCTATTCATTTGATCTACATTATGTTTATACTGCAAATGCTGTATATGTGTATACATTCTTACATTCTAATGATCATGACAGTCCTGGTGTCATACACGCAGTCATTCAGACAGGTTTACTAATCATTGTTGTAATACTCGGGACAATTTTGATTGGCTGATTTTGAATTACTGATTTTGCACAGGTATTTGGTATAAAGGCTCCCCGCTTGCTTAGCTAGCACTCCTTACCCTCTCAGCTATATTGAGAAATCTGTCAACCAGATTATTGTGAAAAGTTAAGAATAAGTTACATCCTTATTACTGAATTTTTATGTGTTTAAACATTCAAAGTATTCTGTATTTTACATTAGATTTACAGCAGTGATTTTACAGGACTAATTCTACTTATTTGACACTGTGAATTTATAAATGACTTAGGAGGCATATCACAGTGATATCTATAGATTGGACAAACATATGAAGTTGGTAAAAAGAGAAGTGAGCTGATTTTAAACAATGATATCTGAAGTCCCCAAGTTGATTTATATTTTCATGCCAGAAATTGATTTCTGATGTATGGTTTGTGGAATTAATAATTCAAATTTCAGCTTTTCAATGTCAATATTTGTGTAGTGTTCTAAACTTGTGAATGTCATTACAATACTGATCTTCTTCAAAATAATGCACACACATTTTCAGTAATAGACACTTTATTTGATTAGATTATGTCAATTGTTCTAACATTCTATTTACACTTTTGGGAGATGGGGGGAAAACGAAACAGAAAACAAAACAAAAAACAAAGGATCTTGTTTATCTTATTTGTAATATTTCATTGATAGTTTTTTCTTGCTCTAAGGAAAGAAAGAATGAAAAATACCAAAATGTTTGCGTTATGTTCATTACCCAGTTAACTTTTATACTTGGACTTCAAAGGAACACAAAATACCGATAAAGCTTATCAGTAGACTATTGATGATTGAGTTTAAAGATGACATTATTAAACTTTGACCTTTGCACCAGTTTTGTTAATTATTTTGAGGTCAGGCATGCAAAGGTTCAAGGTTATGTGTTCTAAAGAATACAATTCTTAGTCAAAAAGTAATGAGAATGCTGGTTTCTCTTGTACAGGGTGAAGGTGGAAAATTCAGAAGAGCCCCATCTTGGCGCAAGAAGTTCCGGACAAAGGACAAAAGTCGTGAGGGTGGGGAAGAGGGTGAGGCTGGAGAGGCAGGCACACAAACACCTCAGCCGTCGCAGGCACAACCCAGTCAACAATCACCTCAGCACGCCCGCCGCGGCACAGACAATGCCGCTGCTGCCACCACAGCCGCACAGCGCAGGCCCCCGGAACAAATGCGGAATTTTTGACATAATAGTGATTAATCATAGTCAGACATTAATCATAGTCCGACATTTTTACAATTAAATTCATTCTAGATTATGAGATGTAGCGTAAGTTTGGGTCAGTATGAGGATCAGACATTCTCATTGGACATTACTACTCAGTGTTGTCATTGTTAAGTTCCATTGTAAGTGAAACAGTGTGTGTGTACTTTAACCTACCATGTGGTAAATGTGACATAGGCCATACCTACTATGGTGAAGTGTATTACACCTATGGTAGGGTGTATGTAACCTATGATAGGGTAAATATGTTACACTCCTATGGCAGGGTGAATATGTTTCAGACTATGGTAGGGATGATAGGGTGAATATGTTTCATGTCAAAGGTATGGTGAATATGATTCAAAACTATGGTAGGGTGAACGTTACCTTTGAAAGGGTGATCATTTTAAATACCTATGATAGACTGAATACATTGTGTACTTTATGGCAGGGTGAACATGTTCTATACCAATGGTTGGGTGAATACATTACACACCATTGGTTTGGTGAATAGGTTACACTCCAGTGGTTTAGTGATTATGTTACACATCAATGGTTGGGTGAGCATGTACACACCAATTGTCGGATGAATGTTATCAATGAATGGGTTTAATGTCGTCTATTGTAGGGTGAAAATATTACCCCTGTTACAGTGAATAGGCCACATACCTATAGTAAAGTGTATGTTTTACTTATGTAAGGGTGAAAAGTCTACATACCTGTAGTAGGGATAGTAGTAGAGAGATTTAAATGAATAATGTCTTTGTTAAAGCTATGTTGGGGTGAATACGCTACCTACTTAGAATAGTGTGAATATGTGACCTATGGTAGGGTGAATGTTATGTATGATAGGGTGAAAATATATTGAATTGCAATGGCAGTGTGAACATGTTACCTTTGGTAGGTTGAATACATTGTATAGCTATGGTATGGTGATTAATTTACATACCTATAGAAGGATCATATGTTACCTTTAGTAGGTAAATGTGTTACCTGTGTTAGGGTGGACATACCTAGTTATATCTCCCACACTGCCTATGGCAAAACGAGGGGGCTTCTTCTCAAGCACTAGTCCACTAGCAGACCTTTTATAATTGCATATTATATCGACAGTGGAAATTACTATGGTAGTGATTTTGTGATGTTGGTAGACTTTCAGTGTGATGTGAATTATTATAGAATATTCCAGGAGATAAGGGTTTCATCACCTGACAGTAGGTGATATATATTGAGATAAAACAATGGAAGAGTACAGATGAGAAGGCTGTACCTGCTAACCAATCAAGGAGCAATAGAGTTACCTGCCCTTGTTCAGCGCCAGATTTACAACAGAATCATGAGTTATATCTGCTTCTGCTAAGCAAATGACTTTAATTTGTTACTGTGAAGCAGCAGAGCACTAGATGGAGATTGGGTTATCTGCCCTTTTCATTTCACTTATTTGTCATACATTTTGTCGTAGATTTCATACATCTTAGCAATCTGGGAGGATCTGTGGCCACAGAACAAACCGCGCGTATGCACCAAAGTGAGCAATGCACACATGCGACGGAGCAAGGTCATTGGAGGTTAATCTCAGGAACACAGTCATTTTTTGTCACATTACTATATATAGCACAGTTTTTGTTGCCTTTGGCAGTCAGTGCATGTAGATCTGTTATAGGACTTGTCCAGGGACCAGCGACAACACCTTTAGTAGAGATTAACAGGCGAATGATGGGAACTTGTGACGTAAGAGTGTGAAACGAGATCGGAAGTGTAAGTGAGAGGTATAGTGTGTAAGTGGTAGGAGTGTAAGGTTGAGAGTTTGATGAGAAATAAATGGTCTGGAACATGAAAGGAAGAATTTTTGTAGACAAAAGAGGGTTCTAGAAATGTCAGTGATGAGCTAATGGTTCACACAAGCAGGTTAAATCTTATACAACCAAAAAAAGCCAAGTTTGTTTAGGCTTATTCAATAACAGGTCAGTACTAATAATGATATTGACCATTACAGTTGTACTAAGTGGTCTGGTTTGGGTACTACACATAACAGTAAACTGCCTTGTGTTAACCAGCAGGTCTTCATTAATAAAACCAGACTGCATTTATGTGACAAGTGAGTTTACCTGTATAAATGTCAGTTGAAATAGTATGTCTGAAATATGATATATGTGTTTTTTATGTTAAAGATATTTTCTTTTTGTTTATTTAAAACTGCAATATAACCATGATATCATTGATAGGTTTTGTCCCTCCTTAGATACTTGAATATTTACCGAGATGGAGTACTAATATAGATAACATAATCCAGTGACAAGTCCCTGTGAGGGCAGTGTATCATAAGGTTTATATATAGTGATGACAAGCCCCTGTGACTGTAGTCTGGGGGAATATTTTATACTTCATAGACTTAGTTCAAGATATCTATTATCGCATTTAATGAAAACGTAGTAAGGGAAACATTTACTTACCCGGTAATTGTCAGTTTAGATGTAACATGAGGCCCCAGTTACTCTAAAGTTAACAAGTGGTTAGTGAAGGATAAGTTAATAAGTGGTTAGTGAAGGATAAGTTAACAAGTGGTTAGTGAAGGATAAGTTAACAAGTGGTTAGTGAAAGATGATAATAGCTGCCACTGAACTAACAAGAGTGTTGAACACAACTTTAATACTCTAAATATATCAATATGACGTGTCTCAACAAATCTACCCGTATCACATTTAAAACTTTTTACTACCACTGGTTATCCTTAACAAACAACTGGGGCCTGATGTTTGTCAACATTTAGAACTATGATGGATGATATATCCTACTTTTATACTAGTTTATAACCAAAAGTATTTTATATGATGAATTATAAAGGAAGTAATCAACTTACATAGCTTTCTCTTTTTGGCCCAAACAGCCTTGAAAGAAATTGGAATATACACAGAAAACCCAAATGATAAAGAAGGTGACCCCATGGTGTGATAAATGAGTGATATGTCACATGACACTTCCAATAACAAGTCGATTTATAGTGAGGATCCATGTTATTGTTTCCAAAGATAAATCTAGTTCCAAAGATTAGCCGAAACGTTTATATATAAAGCCAAAAATGGTCATGAAGAGGTGGACTTCAAGATTTTGCAGTACATTGCAGACTAAGCTGATAGTTCTAGGCACTGTTTAAAGCAGGTTAAAAAGATTAAAGAATTAAAACAAAAAATGTGTTGATTATTAATATGGGAAAATGATTAAATGTGGATGAGGCAGAGTTGACGTGCAAGTAAGACTGTCCCATTCCAGTGATTTTACACATCATTTCAGTTCTAATGATTGTTCCTTCCTTCCCCCATTCAAATTAATGTCATCTTGAGAACTCTGATTCGGTTTATGTCAGTGAAGGTCAAAGGTTACATTGGACAACTTATGCCATTTCATCAAACGGTGATACTGATGTGTATGTTCATTCATTTGTTTTCATCATGTAAATCTAAATGTTTTGTTAAGATTACTCCCCTCAAGTTTTAATTTTCATCTACTTAATGTATCCCATGACCAAGTTCTCAACCTTTATAAAATTGTCAGCACACAGATAGTGTCATATATTTGTATATGTATGAAGTATGTATTATGATAAGTTACAGAATGAATTAACGTGGCTTTTCATACAGGAGTTAAAATTTACTGTCATAGTAACGCAAACCAGTTTTAGTTAAATTAAGATTGTCATTCATATTACAGCTGATCATTAACAACAAATATGTGTTCATTTCCGCAGTTCTTTGATGTTCGCAATATGTCACAAAGTCAATAAATGTACAAACTAACATGGCAGATACAGGTAACATAAGTATTAGTCATTCATAGAAGTATTTCTACATGTATCAGTCATTTTAAGTTAACCCCTTACAAGTCATTTCATCTCCAACAAAGAATTGTTATGTGATCAAATGTTTTCTGCTGAAATCACAAAGAACCCATATATGGGAATTGTACTTGACCAAGCTGAGCTTTTCTGTTGAAGTTAATGTGAATTTTAATTGAAAATATGTATATACTCTTCTGCTTATTATTTTGAGGTGTCCAGTGGGGATAAGAAAAGACAAAAACATCTAGTGCAAAACGTAGTTTATCTTTTGAAATGGTTCTGTTTGTCGCGAATTTCAGTATCCAAATATTCACTGGCATTCAGCAATAGAAATATGAAATCTAAAAAGAGGTGAAGAAAGCATGAGCATTTAGCAGACAAGACTTATTAGCATGTACAGTAAAATCATACAAGGAATCAACAGTTCAAATTCACTGCCAGCTCTTACTACATTAGCAGTGGAATTTTACTGTAAATAGTCAAGGGGTTGTGACTGTATAAATGTTTTTGTTCACTAGGTGCTGTGTATCATGGTGTACTTAGATGAATTACGTTCCATTTTTGATTTACTACGTAATATTCAATACTCGGTTTAATATGTTAAGTTGTTGGACTAGTTACTGTTTTTGTTACGAGCGTTTGTGGTCCCTGGATGTAGTACCGATCAGCTGGTCCAGTGTGTTCAGATGATTTTAGATATACCTGGTCAACTAAGTGTAGCTGTCAGGCATGTTCGTGATGGATCTGTGAGTGGCATGTGATATCTACAGTTAAGATTTTGTATGTATTAAAACGCTTCATCTGTGTCCATATTTATTATTTCTTAACAATGTAATAACATGTGATATTTGATACCAGCAGGTTCTGTGTGGCATCGCACAAATATGCAAATACAGCGTCTCGGCTCCATCTTGTATTCAATGGTTTTGTATTTACTGCGATGATAGAATAAATGATTGATGAAAGTCAAAACCGTTGTTGTTAATTTTCAGGTGTTGTATTTCACATACTTTCGGACAAAAATAACTGTTAATGGAGCTTGGTAGTTATGCAGGATTAGGCCATGGATATTTTTGTAATAAATGGTATTTATCTGTGTAAATGTTATTGATATGATAATACAAATTTATTAATAGATTGATCACGTGGTGAGAATCACACAAAACTTTGTATCCTTTGGTCTGATCTACAAGTCATAAACAATTCAAGTCTGTCCTTTAAATCATATCTTGAATATTTTATCCTAAATTCCTGTGTTGTATGAACAATTATAGTTTGTTTACAATTGCTTGTTTGTTTGCTGGGTTTCAGTGAACAACCAGGGTCATTTTTAGGCAGCATCTCCCTTTACTTACTGGTGGCTACCTCTTAGACCATGATATGGGAGGCCCACCACCAGCTATTCTTATTCCTAAGAAACAAAACATCTCTGATAGGAGATTTGGAACCATGCACCTCAGAGCATCACCTGATATAACATAAACAGATTGACTTTTGCAGCAAGGTGATCTCCATGAAATTAGTGATGTGTCAAAAACATTAATTTCTCCTGTAAAGTCTAATGAGCTGGGTGTATGGGTAGAAACATCATTAATTTGGTCCCCATGGTCTCAAATTAAAGGGGACACAATGACATGGTTTATAGTTTTAATACCGACATGTCCTCCGTGTACCTGAAAGTGAAAAGTATCTTAATAGTATTCTTCTTTAAATTGGAGAGTAACGCAATGTATATCTGAAAACTCTCGACGCCTGGGCAGTATACACATTCCATAGTAAGATCCCAGTTGATCTCTAACATGTAATAACAGATACAGGTCAATTTATCATTCCCTGATTAAGGGGAATTTTTATAAACTCCGGACATGACTAAAGAGGAAGATGAGCATGGCCATAGGGAAACAGAACTCTTCCTTAAAATAACTTTTATGTGTTGGCAATCTGTAGAAGGTATTTCCTTTCAACCACATACATACATAGAAATATTTATTTACATATCTATAACGAGGTACGTAGCTTCAATTGGGCCGACGGATTGGATTCAATGAAGGAAACTCCACAAGATTTTACATGGAGATATTAATGTTATGTAATTGTGAGAGCTCCATGTCTGACCTGTTCTGTTTGACAAATCATTATGGTTCATTACAATCCAACTAGACTGAATGATAATATAATTCTGAAAAGTAACGTTACAAGTATGTGATCCGAAATGGTTACTGTCAGATTTTGTAGTGGCATTGCGTTCCATACCTACAATTCCACACAAATGAACATTTGGACACCGCAAATGAAACGGATCTTCTACTTCTGATAGATGATGGTTCGACAATCGTTGGACTTGGGGAGCTGTGTAAAAAGTAGTTCATTTTTACAGACGTTTATAGTATGTTATATACGTATCTGATAGGGCCTATTAACGAATGACGTTCTAGGCGAGTTTGACAACATATAAAACGGTTTGATCGAATAATGACGTCATATAAAACGGTTCAATCCAATAATGATGTCATATGAAACAGCTTGATCCAATAATGACGTCATATAAACGATTTGATCCAAAAATGACGTCATATAAACGGTTTTTATCCAATAATGACGTCATATTTTTTGCTGTTTTTCAGTAGCGAGTGTTAGAGATTGGTGGAAAACTCTTCAGATACAGTTAATTCTTCCTCACAGTGGAGATTATGACACTAAGGTAGCAGTAAACAGTTAATTTGCATTTTTCCTGAAATTATTTGTCATGTTTGAGATATACAGGTATAGCAGATTGGTTATGAAAAATACATCATTACATGTATATATATTTATAAACTATATAACAATTACATTAACAGTAGAGAGATGAAATTTGTGTAAAAAAAATTTCCTTTGATTTCTGACATTTGATTGTCATGGTTACCTAGGAAAAAATGCTAAAAATGCAAAAATACTATTATGGATGTCAACATCATCCGTTGCTTTGGATTTTTATTTTGGTGAAGTTCTGTGACAATCGGTATGGATAGACTTAAAACTTGAGTCTGTTTTGTGTTATGTTACACCATCAATTATTTTACTAAATTTACAAGCTCCAAAAGTTTCCCTGGAAAGTTTTAGTTAAAGGATCCGTAGTGCTCGTTAATAGTAATGGGTATTTATTGGCATTGTCCACTTTAACATGACCAATTTTAGCAAGGATTTTTTTTTCATTTTTAATTAAAACCTTTATAATGGGGTAACGTTGACAAAAAATCACCCATGGCCACACCGAGAAACTGTGTACTGCTACCTAATCATGGAAACAAGAAACTTGGGAAAGGTTTGGTGAAAGAAGTGGATGTAGAACAACATTCAAGGAGGCGTGATTTTTTTCAGGTCGCCTAACGTTATTGCAACGAATGAATAGACTGACAGTTACTGTAGGAAGAATGTATTTATGGTGCAGACTATTATGGATGTCAACATCATCCGTTGCTTTGGATTTTTATTTTGGTGAAGTTCTGTGACAATCGGTATGGATAGACTTAAAACTTGAGTCTGTTTTGTGTTATGTTACACCATCAATTATTTTATAATTTACTATTCCAAAAGTTTCCCTGGAAAGTTTTAGTTAAAGGATCCGTAGTGCTCGTTAATAGTAATGGGTATTTATTGGCTTCAGCTGAGTTTCCGAAGTCTTCAATGTAAATGTACCGGGTCATTATAACGTTGACGAAAACACCTTGACGGTTGAATAAACGATATTGACCTTTTTACATGTAATCCAAATAAAATTTTAGGAGAACATATTTATTTTAAAACTATACCGGATCAAGGACAGGGAGGAAAATCTGAAGTGATAAAAAAGTGTCAAAATAAGGAGGTGCACTTGCTCGATATTTCAATAATTTTTGTAGTTTCCATGTATCTGATGATTTCAAAAGAACAAGTGCATGTGTATGTTTTGAACAGTGCCACTATTCGATAATCGCCTATTCAAGGAGAGTCGAAAGTTAGGAAAAGCGCCTATTTAACAACGTTTTAAGTGTGATATCTTTCTGTCCTGTTACACATGATATGGGAACTCAAGTATTAAGTGTGATATCTTTCTGTCCTGTTACACATGATATGGGAAGTCAGCTATTAAGTGTGATATCTTTCTGTCCTGTTACACACGATATGGGAAGTCAAGTATTAAGTGTGATATCTTTCTGTCCTGTTACACACGATATGGGAAGTCAGCTATTAAGTGTGATATCTGTTACACATGATATGGGAAGTCCTGTTACACACGATATGGGAAGTCAAGTATTAAGTGTGATATCTTTCTGTCCTGTTACACACGATATGGGAAGTCAAGTATTAAGTGTGATATCTTTCTGTCCTGTTACACACGATATGGGAAGTCAGCTATTAAGTGTGATATCTTTCTGTCCTGTTACACATGATATGGGAAGTCAACTATTAACCACCTTTTAAGTGTGATATCTTTCTGTCCTGTTACACATGATATGGGAAGTCAGCTATTAAGTGTGATATCTTTCTGTCCTGTTACACACGATATGGGAAGTCAAGTATTAAGTGTGATATCTTTCTGTCCTGTTACACATGATATGGGAAGTCAACTATTAAGTGTGATATCTTTCTGTCCTGTTACACATGATATGGGAAGTCAACTATTAACCACCTTTTAAGTGTGATATCTTTCTGTCCTGTTACACATGATATGGGAAGTCAGCTATTAAGTGTGATATCTTTCTGTCCTGTTACACACGATATGGGAAGTCAAGTATTAAGTGTGATATCTTTCTGTCCTGTTACACACGATATGGGAAGTCAAGTATTAAGTGTGATATCTTTCTGTCCTGTTACACATGATATGGGAAGTCAGCTATTAAGTGTGATATCTTTCTGTCCTGTTACACATGATATGGGAAGTCAAGTATTAAGTGTGATATCTTTCTGTCCTGTTACACACGATATGGGAAGTCAAGTATTAAGTGTGATATCTTTCTGTCCTGTTACACACGATATGGGAAGTCAAGTATTAAGTGTGATATCTTTCTGTCCTGTTACACACGATATGGGAAGTCAAGTATTAAGTGTGATATCTTTCTGTCCTGTTACACACGATATGGGAAGTCAAGTATTAAGTGTGATATCTTTCTGTCCTGTTACATATGATATGGGAAGTCAACTATTAAGTGTGATATCTGTCTGTCCTGTTACACATGATATGGGAAGTCAACTATATAAGTGACATCTTTCTGTCCTGTTACGCATGATATGGGAAGTCAACTATTAAGTGTGATATCTTTCTGTCCTGTTACACATGATATAGAAAGTCGAGTATTAACCGCCTTTTAAGTGTGATATCTTTCTGTCCTGTTACACATGATATGGGATGTCAACTATTAAGTGTGATATCTTTCTGTCCTGTTACACATTTGTCAACTATTAAGCGAGATATCTTTCTGTCCTGTTACGCATGATATGGGAAGTCAACTATTAAGTGTGATATCTTTCTGTCCTGTTTTGTCTATTTTGTAGGTAAACCTCTTATTTTAGTGATAATTTTCGTAAGATAGGATGGATACATATATTGTGAAATTCTTCACTTGCAATTTTGCATGAACAGTAAAAAAAATCCGCAAACCTGAGCAACAAAAAATCTTGATATTTTTCGCAGTTCATGTCCGATGACCTGATGGTTTTGCTAGAAACCCCCATATGATATTGATGTTCTGATGAAATGAAGTTTAAGCCAACCATAAATTCATACTTTTATTCAAAATTAAAAGTACCCTACTATGTCAATGTACTGTTCTAATGAAGGGAAAGAAAATGTGAGATTTGCTTGAATATCGCATCACAACTCCTCTTTATCATAAGGACAATTACTATTGTTCCTATTACCTACCGAGCTATTTTGTAACGCAATTTCATTCTGTCAATTCCTGCCAAAAATTATGATAAAACAGAAAAATTAAACATTTTGTTGTTCAAAA